GATGGACAGTGATACATAACAGTTCTATAGATTTCCCTGACCTATATGTAGCTTAGACGAGGATGGCTACACATAAAGACTACACACAATGGAGTATATGTTGCGAGAATGTCCAAGATAGCTCACAGCATGATGTTCTGAGACTAAGGGATGTGCCATGAAGATGGTGGGTGTTTTTTAAGATTTGTCGTACTACAGACGGTAGTGGCAGTTTTGCCAGTATGTTCAATATGGAGCGACGGGCTGGAGTACCTAACGGGAAGATGAACGGAGTGTGTAAGTCGGTGAACGGCACTCTGCAGACGCTGGTGTCGCGGCAAGCCATCGCTGCCAGCTTCCAGTTAGAGCATTGCTGGTTCTGTGGCAAACCTATGTCGATCCCGGGGTGAGTGAGAGAAGCAACACTGTCATTGTTGTTGTCGTTGTTGTCGATGTTGTTGTTGTCTCAGCAGCAGATGAGATTATTGTAATTATTATCATCATGATTGTGCATGGGTGAACAAAGGAGGACTGATTGATACTGATGATGATGATGATGGTGATGATGATGTGATTGTGATGATGATGTGATGATGATGAGGATGATGATGAGCAAGTTAAGTTTTACGCAAATTTTAGCAATATTCCAGCAATATCAATATTCGGCAGGGAACACCAGAAATGGGTTTCACACATTGTACCTATGTGGGGGATCAAACCCAGATCTTCAGTCTGACGAGAGAAGGCTTTAATCATTAGGCTACCCCACCGCCCTGATGGTGATGGTGATGATGATGATGAGCAAGTTAAGTTTTTCGCAAATTTTCGCAATATTCCAGCAATATCAATATTCGGCGGGGAACAACAGAAATGGGTTTCACACATTGTACCTATGTGGGGGATCAAACCCGGATCTTCGTCGTGATGAGCGAAGGCTTTATCCATTAGGCTACCCCACCACCCTGATGATGATGGTGATAATGATGATGGTGATGATGTAATTATTGTCCTCATGATTATGCAAGGGTGAAGATGAGAAGACTGATTAATGCTGTGATGATGATGATGATGATGATGATGATTATTATTACCTGTCCTCAATGTAGGACAAGGAATTAACAATTAATATTTAAAAACAGCAGAGTTACAAATACAGGGATTGTGAGTGTGAAATGATTTGTCTGATCAGTATTCAAGCCTGTTCACACAGCGTAAGAGACGTTATAGATCTACAATAACATATATTGATTAGTATAGAATGGCAGCTTCCGTTAAAGTCAATTGTCAATGCCATTACTGGAACACGAGATAGGTCATATTGACACGGTATATGCAGCACAATGCCAGCTTGATGACACAGATCAGTACTTCTGACTCCCGGATGGCACCGCCTCCGTGGTGTAGTGGTTAGAGCGCCCGACTCATGAGTGGAAGGTTGTGGGTTCGATCCCCGGCCACGTCATACCAAAATACTTTAAAATATGGTACTTGTTGGTCTCTGCCTGGCGCTCGGCACTAATGGGTATGACTGGTCTGCCCAGAGTCAGTATAATGTGCCTGAGTGGGGTATTCATGCTTCACTGCGGCATGGTATCTCAGTGGGCTAGCACTATAAAACCAGCTTCAGTCTGGGCTACAACAAGCAGCCGCACATACACATACACACGCATGCACGTCGTCATATGAGCGAAATATTCTCAAGCACGACGTTAAACCCAATTTCACCTCACCTCACCTCACCTGTTCATGCTTAACTGCGACATGGTATCTCAGTGAGCTAGCACTATAAAACCAGCTTTAGTCTTGGGCTAGTACAAGCAGCCACGCATACATATGGATGCACATCATCATATGAGCGAAATAGTCTTACATACAACGTTAAACCCCATTTCACCTCACCAATTCAGTGATCAACAGCATGAACATCGATCTACGCAAATGGGATACGATGACATGTGTCAACCCAGTCAGCGAGCCTGACCACCTGATCCCGTTAGTCGCCTCTAATGACAAGCATTCGTTGGTTACTGAAGACCAATTCTAACCCGGACCTTCATGGGTATCAATCACTGGATGGTCTGGTCTACACAGACCTGGAACATTGCTGAGTGTCATGTTATCAGACAAGACAAAAAAATGCAAGATTTACTGGGAAATTGTTTTCAAGTTCTTCATACAGTGGCACCATGTTTGGTCCACCAAAGGTTGTCTCATTGTGTCACAAGTTACTAATGTCAGTACGGTTCCAGGAATAAATGTTCTTATTTGCAGATTTTTTCATTGGACATGTAAAAACATGAAAAATTATTGTGTAATTACTCCTATAAGACTGCTTTACAACATCTGGAAAGAAAACTTCAACAACTTGTGTAAATAATGCAAAATAGCTTTAGTGAAATTTGAGTTTAAGATAATATTCTAAAAATAAAAATCATTAGAAATCCTACCCGGTTCATCTTCAGCCAAATTAAACATCTAAACAGTTCTTTAATGAAGAGCATGTTATGAGTTAAATATCCTGTGAAAGTGAATTATGTATTAAGTCAGTTACGAGTTGAATAAGCTTTGTTAACCAAAACCAGCGTGTCACTAACATCTTTTAAGACTCTGCCCTCAAAACATATCTTTTAAAGTGTCAGTTTCCATCTTAAGCGCACAGAGCATTTACTAGTGAATGATGCGCTATATAAATGCAAATATTATTATTATTATTATTTTTATTATGTCTGGTTTGAGCTTGATTATTTCCAGACTGCCATCTCTTAACTGTGATATGGCTCAATACACTGGTTAACTAAGAACGAACCAAATCTTGTCAAATAATGTTTAATCTTATTGACTGATCTCATAGTGTGCCTACAAAGGGCACAGGTTCACAAGATAAGATAAACTTGTTTTGGGACAAATTTTGTATTTGGGTATTTTTTATCTTATTTATTTGAGCAACATGTTATCAATGGGTGAGGTTAGGTAATGTCATGTTTTTATGAACATTTATGTGTAACTGTACCAGCTTACTAGTATATTAACATTCTTACCTTATATGGAGACATTCAAGTGACAATACTAGGGCTGCAACCATTCACCCAGGTTTCGATTCGATTCGACTTTCGATATTATATTCGATCGATCATTTTAGATTCAAGTCAGCTTTTTTAGTGTGAAATCCATTGTCAACTTGGCGATATCTACCAACAATAATTCTCATTGGATAATTAGCCCGGCCCCGATTTCTCGAAACAAACTTAAGTTTTTACTCAAATTTCAAACTGAGTTGGACGATTTGAAACAGCTGAATTTTTAACTCAACTGCATTTTTTAAATAAAAAGCCCAAACAACTTAAGTAATCTATCCACCAAACTCAAATTGTCTACTATGTTTGAGTTTAATATCGATTTTAGTTCATTATGGGAAATGCATTTTTTCAAATTTGAGTAAAAACTCTAACTTAAGTCGAAACACAGACTTAAGTTTGTTTCGAGAAATCAGGGCCCAGTGTCAACCAATCATGTTTCACCTTATTTCAGCGTTTGAAACTGCTTGAGTTGGAAACACATTCTCGCTGTGTGGAAATAATTAAAAGAGATATCCAAATATTGAATCAAAATAGTGATAAAATAGGAGGTTCGATTTTCGATGAATCTAACCGAATTGTTGCAGCCCTAGAATATACACATATTCTGTGTAGCCATTCAATCCCCATTCTGTTACAATATCAAAACTGCAATTAAATCACCTTTCATTTTGAATGTTCCTTAAGAGTGAGTATGGCTTTATGCCCTTTTAGCAATATTCCAGTAATATCACAGCAGGGCACATCTGAAATCAATTTTTTTGAAAGTTCTTAAAGTATTTCTTGATGAAATGGCTTTTAAGAACTAAGAGAGTTAAAGTACTTGGGAAAGTAGGTTAGAGAAGTAGGATGACAAGGTGGTATTTGTGCCATATATTTATCGTTGATTGCAAGAGTTTGACTGCAGACTTAAACAGTTTGTATTGAGTCATTATTGAGAACCCCTGTGTATTTAACCAGTCATTAATCACATACATAGGGACCTATGAACATCAAAGCTTAGGAAATAGTGATGAGTGTGTGTGAAATGTGAACATTTCTTGCCCCATCAGTGCACCCATCATACACACATGCAAAGGAGGGGTGGTGGGATAGCCTAGTGGTTAAAGTGTTCACTCGTCACGCCGAAGACCCGAGTTCAATTCCCCACTTGGGTACAATGTGTGAAGCCCATTTCTGGTGTTGTGATATTGCTGAATATTGCAAAAAGCGATTGTAAAACTATACTCAGTTGCAAAGGAAATTCAATGTATTTATGTAACCAGTTGAAACAAACAAGCCTTTCATGCTTCCAGGTGAAGTCAATTTTTCTCTTGCCCTTTAACATTGCTACTGGATCTGTATGCATTTTCCACCAGCTCAACAGTGTTTTTCCATGTTGAAATCTAGTTTTATGATTTTGGCATTTGAACATTTTTATGATCTGTTGATTACAACACATATTTGGAAAGTCTGAAATCTCAGTGTCAAAAAAACCTTTCTTTTTTTCATAGAAACAAATCCAACTCAAGGATTTTATTACTTTTAAAATGTGAAGAACTCAATATTTTCATGATATTAAAAGAACTCAAGTGATATTCCGAACCTAAACCAGAGGAAATCTAGACTTGCTTCATTTAGGGCTTTTACATTATATACAGGGCTGGGATGAAGTTTATTATGTCTAGTGTCTGAAATACTGTTTGCTGCATGTTTGCCTCTGTTGACCCAGCAGTGAATGGGTACCTGGTGGGATAAGTCATTTGACTGTTAACCTGATGGCATCTCACAGGCAGCTTGGCTTAACAAGGGTTATAATGTCTTGGTGCCTGGAGCATGCACAGGTGGTTGGATAGGTGCATAACCAGCAATTATTATTATATTGAAATGTTACATAGCTTGTCAAAGGGAGTAATGTGTTTTGTTAGTGTGTTTTGATCCATATTGAGTGTTGTGTTTCTGTTTCAGTTTAAGCAGTGGAGAGGGGCAGCTGGAGAAACTTGCAGAACTGGAGCTGCTTCTAGCACAGGCACAGGCAGACAAGCTCCATCTGGTGGAAGAACAGGTTAGATAACTCTTACTGAACAGATTGAATTTCTTCTTGCAACATCCTGTGAAGATCTGGGTTAGAATTGGTCTTCAGCAACCGATGCTTGTCATAAGAGGCAACTAACGGGATCGGATGGTCAGACTGACTGACTGACTGAGTTTGGTTTTACGCCGCTTTTAGCAAATATTCCAGCAACATCACGGCGGGGGACACAAGAAATGGGCTTCACACATTGTACCCATGTGGGGAATCGAACCCGGGTCTTCGGCGTGACGAGCCAACGCTTTAACCACTAGGCTACCCCACCGCCCCTTGCATGGTCAGGCCAAGTAGTGGTAGGTGTGCACGGTATGTCATCCCCTGTGACTATATCTATTTTCTAAAGTGGTCATTTATATTTCATAATATACCGATGTAAGCATTCAGTATTTTTCCACACAAAAGGTGATTTGGTGACCATTTTGTTTTTCAGTTTTGAGGTTCATAAACAATTTTTTCAGTTGGTATCCAATTTTTCCGTGATCAGCAACCTTTAAATGTCAAAAAGAGTCACGGTTCACAACATTTGAAAATAAATAAACAGTTACAGGTGATAATATGCCATACACACCTACCTCTACTTGAGGTGACAATCGTGGCCATTTTGTTTTTAATTTTGAGGGTCCAAAAACATTTTTCAGCTTGGAATCCTAATTATTCATGATCAGCACTCTATAAATGTTTTAAAATGTCAAGTTTCCAAAATTTAAGAATTAGAGATACAGTCATAGGCATAATACTGTGCACATATACAACTGATTTACCAAATCCAACTAAAGCAATTCCTCAACACAGGGGTGGAAATAACCCATTGCCCGACGCCCCAGTCCAGTGTTTTTTTCTGTCGGGCAAGCAAATTTGTATATCACACTGTACCGGTGTCCAGTTGACTTTCCAATGTTAATTATGTTGTTTATTTAAAAAATCAACAAGAAAATCTGCCAGTATAGTGAAAAAATTATCAGGGCAAGTGATTTTATATGTGCCACTGTACCGGAGTACACTAGCAATTTTAAAGTTATTTCCACCCCTGCAACATCTTCTATTTGAGCCTTTTTCCAGAATCTGGCCTGGTCTAATAGATCGATGCTCATTATGTCAGTCACTGGACTGTCCAGTTTATTTACAGACTGCTGTCATATAAAGAGGAACACTTTTTATGGATAGACAACTTCTTTACTGCCATATATGCAACGTTTCGGTGTAGATCCTAACACCGTCATCAAGCCAGTCATTTGCCGAAACCAAATCTACACGGAAACGTCACATATATTGCTATAAAGGAGTTGTCAGTCCGTAAAATGTGTTCCTCTTCATCATACCAGCTTCTATATGCCACTTAAGGAAGTTGTTGTCATGTAGCTGCAACACTGTCGATCATTGTAGAATGACCTTTGTGATGTCAATTGTCTGACCAAGGCTCCAGTATTTACAAACTACTGTCATATCGCTGGAATACTGCAGAGTGTGATGTTGAATAACAACGGAGTGTTTGTGTGTTTCCTATAGCAGGCTGACTATTTCAGGTACATTTTCGTGAAGCTGAGATGATGGCTCTCCACGAAGAGAGACAGAAGAGAGAAGTACTGGAGAGGAAGTTACAGGAGGAGACACTGCTCCGTGAGGAACTGGTGCAGCAACAGGTCAAGATGAGGGAAAAACAGATACAGCAGGTGTGTAGAAATCCTACAGGTGTTTGCTGAAATAGATCCTACAGGTGCTTGTTGAAATAGATCCTAAAGGTGCTTGTTGAAATAGAACCTACAGGTGCTTGTTGAAATAGAACCTACAGGTGCTTGTTGAAATAGATCCTACAGGTGTTTGCTGAAATAGATCCTACAGGCTCTTGTTGAAATAGATCCTAAAGGTGCTTGTTGAAATAGATCCTACAGGTGCTTGTTGAAATAGATCCTACAGGTGTTTGCTGAAATAGATCCTACAGGCTCTTGTAGAAATAGATCCTAAAGGTGCTTGTTGAAATAGATCCTACAGGTGCTTGTTGAAATAGATCCTACAGGCTCTTGTAGAAATAGATCCTACAAGTTGTTGTTGAAATAGATCCTAAAGGTTCTTGTTGAAATAGATCCTACAGGTGCTTGTTGAAATAGATCCTACAGGTGCTTGTTGAAATAGATCCTACACCTACAGGTGCTTGTTGAAATACATACTACAGGTGCTTGTCGAAATGGATCCATCAGGTGCTTGTTGAAATACATCATACAGGTGCTTGTTGAAATAGATCCTACAGGTGTTTGTCGAAATAGATCGAACAGGTACTTGGTGAAATAGATCCAACAGGTGCTTGTTGAAATAGATCCAACAGGTACTTGGTGAAATAGATCCAACAGGTGCTTGTTGAAATAGATCCAACAGGTGCTTGTTGAAATACCCCTCAGGGGGAGTCATGCCTCAAAAAGTAGGAGAGTCAGCCAAGTTGATCTTGGAATCTCGGGGTGCAAGCCTCAGTACAACCACTTCTGGAGCAGATCTTGATGATAGTAGCAAATATTCAGTTATATTGTGTAGTGGTGGTCCGATTAATTGAAATAATCGAAGATTGGTCGCAATGACTAAACAACCAAGTAATCGATCATTTTTTCTCATAATCGAACACAAACAATTCTGGAACACTTGTTTGCATTAACAATATTTTTCACAAGGTCGGTTTTGTCTGTTACATTTCATAAACATTACAAGCTCTTTCCAAGTCAGGATTGAATTTTTCTTAAAGACTCCAGGAAATTTATGTTCCTAACATAATAGTCATCCTTTAAAGATGTTAATTTTGCACATGCATTTTGTGGAATTTGCAAAAATACTCATAAGAACTACATGTTTTTTCTTTGTTTTTCGTGCAGTAACAAAGATAACCAGAAAAATTTGATAAATGATGCTGACCAATTATTTTCGATGATTGATTGGTTGTAATGAACCAATCATCAATTATGAGATTTTATCCAATTCCCAACACTAATATTGTGTTTTCTTTTGGAATTTGGCTTTGCACTGACACAATTCTTTGCCTTGTGTTAATATTGATGCTCTCTTTCCTAGGCACGGCCATTGACACGGTATCTACCAATCAGAAACAAGGATTTTGATCTCCGACAACACATAGAGACCGCGGGTCACAGCATCGACTCGTGTCCCCAGGTGAACGTCACTCCCACTAGTTGCCGTGGTTTCCTACACAAGATGGGGAACAAGTTCAAAACGTGGCATAAACGATGGTTCGTGTTTGATCGAGTGAAGCGATCATTGTTGTACTACGTGGACAAAGGCGAGACCAAAGCACGGGGAGGGATATATTTTCAAGCAATCGAGGAAGTTTACGTCGATCATCTCCGGACGGTGAAAAGTCCGAACCCTAAACTGACATTCTGTGTAAAAACCTATGATAGGACGTATTACCTCGTGGCGCCTACTCCGGAGGCGATGAGGATTTGGATTGATGTCGTTTTCACAGGTGCTGAAGGGTATCAACAGTTTCTATGATATCATTATGTTCATGATATCGACTGATATCACAGTGCTGATGGACCATATTTGCTTGTATAGCAACCTGTCGATACAGTGCTACTTACAATGTGACCATATGAGTTTCTATTTGTGATTGAACCAAAGTTTGGTTCCCAGGATGTGCCTGTTCTGAAATGATGTCACTTACTTTTCGGGATGATGTCACTTCCTGTGAAGGATGTGATTTTTTATGGGATTTGCGATGTCACTTCCTGCCTGATGACATCACTTCCTGTCTGCTGGCTGCTCAAAGCATGATTAAATTTTAATGGTTTTATTTTAGTCATATTTTAATGCATACGATCTGATTTCACTTTTAGTTTTTTCATGAATTTTTGTTTTGTCTCTGTGTGATTTTATGGGTTCATTGTATTTGTGAATATTCGGTTTTTATTTGTTGTGTTTAATCTGCTAACGAATTAATGTCGAAGCCTTGAAACAATACTGGGTGTAAATCACAAGTGTATTGTGTATCACACAAACATGACACAAAATAATGTCAATAGTATGTACATTTAATTCAATAATTTTGTAAAGATTCTTCATGCAAAATTGTAATATATATTGTTCAGAACAAAACGAATGTAAATTTTCCATATTCATGAAATATTTATCAAACAAGGTGATTTCATAGGGCAAATATCCTCAAATTTTGTTGGTCATGAAAAGTAAGTGAAAATTTGCTTTTATTAAACTAAATGTTCCTATTAGTATACGTGCCTGTGTTCACTGACTGACTGTCGTGTATTACCTCTACAGAATCCTGATATTCGGCGTTGGAGATATCCATGCGTCTTTATGTCTTGCATTTAAGAAACTTGAGTTAATTGGTGATATATTTGTTTCAAACATCAGGATTCACCAATTTAATTTTCTCTTATTATAGATTTCTTGGACAATATGCCCAAATTGAGATAGCGAAATAGAAGCTAAAAATATCAAGCAAGTGTAATTCAAGGTTAATTTGTTTGATATAATATTCCCCCGATAACATTTCTTGTAAAACAATGTTTAACGTTTTTTTAATATTATTGAATTTATTATAACCATTGTTATTTAAGTTTTTGTAAAATAATATACAATAGTTTGTTATACCGTACATAAAGTGAATGTTCTTACTTTGACATAAGAATGAAATGTCAATGTAAAATGATTCATTTTCAAATATGATTCAAATTAATTCATAATTGGTATTTTACATCTGCGTGACGATGAAGTGTTGAAGACAAAATGGAATTTGAATCGATTCCCTGGTTTAACACTTGCACCATGTCAAGGTGATTTCAGGTATTTTAGGATTGACAAAGATTTAATGAAACTTAACATCTGGGGTCAGGTGTTATTCGATAATTTTGTTTTACACTTTAGTTGGCCTCAGATCACATGTCATTACAACACTCGAGCATCATGTCTGGCAGATGAGATTTTTCAGTTGATACTTTTGTGTTGTACAGGGATGGCAATTTTCCGCTGATCCGCAGATTTCCGCTGATTTTATTTCAAATTGTTCAATTGTGAATCATCTAAATCCATTGAGAAACCCTCAACTCGATGACACAATATTAAGTTTTCAGCTGAAAATAGATTTCCCTGTTGCCATCCCAGGTTGTACTTGTTGGAAACTTTGGTTTTAAGTCAGTTTTGTTAAATTTCTAATATGTGATATTTTGGTCATGGGGTGAACTTTGACCTGGGTTAGAGCAAAGGTTAAGGGTTATGTTGTGGATTGTTCTTCGGAATCATCACTGTATCAGCTTCTGTTGAAAGTTTCATCACTGTTGTCATGGTAACCAAACTGAACAAAACGAGCACATTTTGTGTAATCTTTCTGAATCTTGTGTCTTTTGAACCAGGTGATCAGAATATACAAAGAGAATCTAAGAATTACTATCTAACAAAGTTTGTTTTAAGAATAAAAAGGGCATTTTCGATAGTAATTATAAATATAGAATCTTCTGAAAGATATTTGGTATATTAACACTTAAAACTAATGTGTAATGTACTCATGTGCAAAACAAACTGTCAGCCAATCAAAAAGCCCTAACCAGGTTGGAAACAAAAAAGTAAGGGAAGTAACTCTTGATTCTGTGCCACAACCACCTCCATGAAACAAGCAGCCCCGAAACCTCATCTGTAACAGACTTTTGTGTTTTTTAATTCCTAATACTAATTATCATCCCAACATGTTCATTAAAGTGAACTTTCATAAATATTTAAATACAGGTTTCATGATTCCCATGTTGAAAACAAAAAAAACCAATCGATAATCAACAAAATGAATTTGTACCAATACGACATTGTACAATTTGTCTAATGATTGGGGTCGTGAAGTACGACATATCATGCTGTGAATGGAATGACATGCTGTAGAGAAACAGCTGTGGCTATATCCTGCAGTTCAACATACTACCTGCTGATTAATGGGGGTGAATGGGAAACACAGGTGTCTGAACTGAACTTTTCAAGATCCCGAAATACAGTCTGAAAATGTATTGAGACATCTTTTCTGCTATGTATTTATCAAAATTCCAAGGAGCAATGATGGCATATTTGTCTACGCATCCAGGGTGGTGGTGTAGCCTAGTAGTTAAAGCGTCCACTCGTCACACCGATGACCTGGGTTCGATTCCCCACATGGGTACAATGTGTGAAGTCCATTTCTGGTGTCCCCGCCGTGATATTGCTGGAATATTGCTAAAAGCTGCGTGAAACTAAACTCACTCATTCACTTGATTGTCAGGTCCAGACTCGAATATTTACAGACCGCCACCATATAGCTGGAATATTGCTGAGTGCGTCTTGAAACTAAACTCACTCACTCACTGGATTGTCAGGTCCAGATTCGAATATTTACAGACCGCCACCATATAGCTGGAATATTGCTGAGTGCGGCTTGAAACAGCAAACAGACAAGACAAGACATCCACATCAGTCTCACAGGCTGTGATGTGATCTAAGTGATGTTGAAAACAGCGTTTCACCATTTCACCAAAAACTCCCTCACTCACTGTTTCTATGGCTGGGTAATGCATGAGCATTAATCTGTGACACAGTTTCCAGGACACACTGGCAATAACATCTCTTGTTCATACTGTAAACGAATACCACTGGAAATACATTTCTTCAACAAATCATTTCCATTTTGCAAACGGCTATTAGCAAAGGTTAGACTATTTCAATCTTATATAATCTCTGCAAACAACACAAACTGGCTACTTGTTTGAATTAAATTGTTTCACCAACTGTTTTTTGATGATTTTCGTAATGCATTTGGTGGACTGTTTGTCAGGCTCCGGTTTCAGTTTGTGACTTGCTTTGTGAAATTAAATGGGATTGAAAACATGTTCAAAGATCTAAGTTATTGCCAAAGTATTAAATTGCAGAGAGTATTGATCTACTTCAGGAGATGATTACATGAAGATAAAAGGCAGAAATTAAAAACAGTTATCTATGGAATGAAATTTTGAAAGTTCAAATGAGTCTTATTTTGTGTTTGAAATGTTTTCATGGTTTTGAGTCGTTGAGTCAAACAACAGAAATGTCAGAGAAAACATGTATTTGTAAGTAAACGGTTCAGGCATGTTCTGTTTCAGGAAGAGGTGTCATATTCCAAAAAATTATAGAGATTCAAGCAAACAACAAGAATGTTCATATGAAACAGTGTTAAGAAAACAACTGAAATGTTCATATGAAACAGTGTTAAGAAAGCAACAGGAATGTTCATATGGAACGAGGAATGTTAAAACAACAGGAATGCTGATATGGAACAAGGCATGTTAAAACTGGAATGTTCATTTGAAACAAAGAATGTTAAGAAAACAACAGGAATGTTTCAGGGAAATTATTGTATTGTTCAAGTAACAATGAGAAACAGTAGCAATGTAATGTAACACAATAGGAATATGTAAACACGGGGAGAGTCACAGTGAAACTGGAATATTCAAGTAACACAATATGAAAGTGTTACAGAAAAATTACTGTTTGTTTATAATAGAAATGTGTAAAAATGAAATAAGTAGAATGTTCAAATTAAATAAGAAGATATTCTAAGTGAAACTGTATAAATATACATGTAACATAGGAATGTGTAACAGCTGAACATTTAGAATGTTCATAAAACATAAATGTGTTGAAGGAAAATGATAGGAATGTTCGTGTAACAACAGGAATGTGTAAAAATGAACTAAGTAGAATGTTCAAGTGAAACAATTAGATGAAAATTAAAGTAAAACAATAGGAATGTTCAAAATAACTGGGAATGTTCAATTGACACATTTTCAGAAGTTACTTCTGGTACTTTTGATATGCGTTTTAAAGTGTTAAGTCTATAAGCATGGCAATGTGTTTGTTCACCCTATGACCAAATCTCAAGTCACAATCCATTTTTACTACTTATTTAAAAAGCAAAGAAGTCCGGATTGTATTGGTTACATTGATGGCATTACACAGTGCAAGAGACTCTGATTACAAACATTTGTAACTAAATTGCAAGCTGATGTAAAATTATTGGCATAAACCTTCATTTTTGCTCATTTCCAGAGTTGTCAATTTAAAGAAAAAGAGGAAATCACTGTCAAGGAAGAAAAATGTGATATAGGAAGTCAGGGCCCTGGGGTACAATAGTAGGGCCCTTACTAGGAATTATTTTAAAAAATATGGATCGGAGCCAAGTTATGAAACCTACGTCATCTCAAAGATCCAAGATCATACCGTTATGACATTAAGTGTGCCATTATGTCCCACCCTTGACAGTCATCTGTACACACCAGTTCTACAATATACACATGGTCAGGGCACATCAGAGAAATAGCAGAGCCCTGACTATGGACAACTAAGTATAAACCATGGTAACCCCATATTACTGATTGTGTAAGTGTGTCTGATGTCCGGCTTGGTTTTAGCTGTCCTTGACCTTTATGTTGAGCAGTCAGTATGTCCAGTAATGGTGGCTTTTATTTTTATGTTCTATATCAAAAACTTTTATTTTATACACAAGAAAGAAGAATAAAAATGTGAATATCTTACATTGTGCTTGTTATTGCTTTGACAGTGTTTTATTATTTTTGATTTAACAAATAGGCATAAAACACATCCTTGTGGTTGATACTAAGAGCAGTAATGCAAACAAAAACTAATGGTTAATATAAAGAGCACATGTGCACACCAAACCGGTGGTTGATATAAAGAGCACCGACGCACACCAAACCAGTGATGAGGTGAAATGGGGTTTGAGGTCGTTTCACTCATATGACGAAGTGCATTCGTGTGTATGTGTGGCTGCTTGTACTAGCCCAGACTTAAGTTGGTTTTATAGTGCTAGCTCACTGAGATACCATGCCGCAGTGAAGCATGAATACCCCACTCACACATTATACGGACTCCGAGCCGACCAGTCCTTGTTGTACCCATTAATGCCGAGCGCCTTTTGGTATGACGCGGCCGGGATCGAACCCGCGACCTTCCGCTCTCCGGGCGGACGCTCTAACCACTACACCACGGAGGCGGTGATAATCAATGCACCAAACCAAAATACCAACTCAGTTGTATGCAGACAGTGGTTATACAGCTGGAATGTTGCTGAGCGCGGCGTTAAACAAAAGTGTATCCACAAACGTTACTCTGAGTGACATGTAAGTATTTCGTGTGTCTATGTTTATTCTTGGAGAAATATACACAGGTTTGGCGGCGGGGTAGCCGAACGATTAACGTCTTCGCCCGTCACGCCGAAAACCCGGGATCGATTCCCAGTATGTGTACAATGTGTGGAACCCATTTCTGGTGTCCCTCGCTGTGATATTTCCTGGAATATTGCCAAAAGCGGCATAAAATCACACTCACTCACACTTGCAAATCGCATTGAATAGTTATACCTGGCGAGATCGCAAAGAAATAAGAACTCTTCCTGGAGCTTCGTCATTTTTCTTGATATAATAACAATCGTACGTAATAAAACTGAGATGGATATACAAAGCTGCAAGGATTTAACGATGTCGTTAAAACGGGGAATGTTATTCAACAGTAAAACAACCCGTTTTTTTACATGGCAAGAAGAAAAAAACCTACATTGCTGCCAAACACGTGGTAGGGAAACTTCCACTTAAATGTATTATAATGTGGTGGTTTGAGTAAATGTTTTGAAAGTCTGGTATTGCTATGTTGTTTTTGAGTTTCGGCCAACTCAAGGCGCACCAATGATAAAATAAAGATTTGCCGTTAAATAGTAAAACAGTCTTTTGTCTGATCACATCGAAATCAGAAGGTATTCTGTATGTATTTAGATGATGCACAGTTCATCCATTAGGATGAGTGAGTGTGTTGGGTTTTAAGCCGTATTGAAGCGTATTCCAGTTATGTACGTATTCAAAGATACGTATGAGCGTAATTTCAGAGGTTTATAGTTTGTTTCGCTCGTTTGTTGTTTTACGCCGCACCCAGCAATATTCCAGCTATATGGCGGCGGTGTGTAAATAATCGAGTCTGGACCAGACAATCCAGTGATCAACAGCAGGAGCATCGATCAACGAGAATTACCAGTTTGGTGACACCCACGATCACGCACATCTTTAAGTGGGCGGTTTGGTGGCGTTGTGGTTATTACGTTTCCTCGCCACGCCGAATATCCGGTTTGATTCTACACAGGGGTGCGATGTGGTTAATGCGGTTGCTTGTCATGTCCAAGGTTCGAATCTCCACATAGGTCAACGATATTCCATACAAGCCCGCACTCAGCACTCGCCTGGTCCGTCGAGGGCCGCTGAGTCGGACGATCGTGACTCCCAACTGACAACTTCACATTCAATCAATGAATCAATCAATCTTTATTCACTACTTTAACGCCACAGGCCTGTAGTACATTTAAAGTTTACATGAGTAGATAGAAGTCATTTATAAATTCTTTTCTGTAACAATCCTTTTTCTTAAACTCATAGCGAAATAGATGTACATTGCCAGATTCTGTAATATTGATGTGGTAGTATCTGTTAACAGTTGAATTAATTTTCTTACACTTCGATGCCTATATAATACTATGGCTTTAGGTATTTCGTTCGTAGAGTCGTATAAACAGGACAGATTAGAAGGAAATGTAGTTCATCCTCAACCGTATTCATATTACATAATTGACACATTCTGTTTTCTCTTTGAATACCTGCATACCTGCCAGTTTCAATAAATAATTCATTGGAAGAGCAGCGAAAACGAGAGAGAGCTATACAAAACTTCTTTACGTCGATTTTTGCAAAATAGTCTTCAAAACGTATGTCCGATTTCCAGTGATTATAGTATAAACATTTTGTGGATAGAAGTATTGATTCCGACCAAGATTGAAAATACATATATTTCATTCTTTGTGTAAATGATATGATAAAATTTTCGTGGGACTGACACATAACCATAGCCAAATCTCTAAAATCAGTCACCCAATTTCTTTTCCAATTTTCGTCATACAATGTCATAACATTTTCTTCGGAAACCTGTGGCATGGCATATGCAGTAATCTTACCCAATACTTTATGGCTTTAATGGAGGAATATATAAACAATGGAAATCTACCTAATTCTCCATGAACTATATAATATTACAGACAGACAGACAGGTAATTTACTAACGTCTCACTGCATGTACAATATATACAAAAATAGACAAAATACCATTCTTTATGGAATTATGAGAGACTAAATCTAAAATATATACAAGCTACTAAAAGTCATAGAAAAACGTTTGCGCTAAAATAGAAAATTAAAAAATATATGTGTTCGGTTTTACACCAAGAAACGTTTTGCACGCAAATAAATGAACTTTCAATACTATCATATTGCTGTAATCCTCATATTTCAGAGCTATATAGAAGTATTGGACTTATCTTCATATCGAATATTTTAAAGAATGTGTTAAAGGATATTTCACCAAAAGATCTCATATTTTTACAAACACTGATTAAGATTTTCAAGGCTTGTACTGGCGCTTGTTTTGTGTGTTTGGGCCAGGAAAGGCTATTAGAGAAATATACGCCAAGGTACTTATAAACACTGGTAGTTTGGAGTTGTTGCCCTTTATAATACCATTTTTCTACTTCAGAAGGTTTTCCACCTTTCTTAAAGACGATAATTTTGGTTTTGTCTCTGGTTACACACAGTTTATTTTGGTCACATTCACATTCATGCACTGCCTCACATTCACTAAACATTAGAAAATTACAACAAATTCATTATTACATTTGCGGGTATTCTCATGTTTGCATCAATGTTCTGGATGTTTGTGGAAAGCGATGAAGACAGAAATTCGCGAGTTTCAAAGGAGATTGATAGTAATATTTGATTTGGTGATTGTTTCGTGGCCATTTAATTACTTAGTAATCATGAGAGTCGGAACAGGTTAAGCTAACAATCAGGAAGAGTAGTAGAGGTATGTGCCACCCATCAACGCTGTCCCGTGTTGTTTATGAAACGATTCACGTGAGTTTATAGAGTTTTTAGTGAATCAAAACCATAGCACATATAATCAATGTCTGGTCAGACTCGAACCGTGTACACAGATACCTTTAACACTAGTAGAGAGGTACGTGATTTTATTGTGACTGGGGACGAATCGCCGTCGCTCAGTGTTCCCGTTCTCGGGGGAGCCTATCCTGTCTTATCGAAGTTGCAGTTCGGTTGGTTGGTTCGCTGTTTAACGCCGCACTCAGCAATAATCCAGCTATATGGCGGCTGATGATCGATGCTCATGCTGTTGATCACTGGATTGTCTGGTCCAGATTCGATTATTTACAGACCGACGCCATAGCTGGAATATTGCTGAGTAGGTGTAAACTAAAATCACTCACTTACTGTAAATAATCGAGTACGCAGTTACGACAATGTCACATATATATTGCTCAACTTTTGATAAGGCCTGATTCTCATAATATTAATAAGATAAACTGCCTTATTTCATCATCCCAGTCAAACTTTGTGTTGTATCATGTAACTTTCCAAGAATTTAGTACCCGTTGCAATGAGTTTGATAAGCACCCGCCATTGGTCACGTAAGGCCACATAAAATAAATTTCTTGTTTCTCATCACTTTTTTATTAAAAAAATTAGTAGGTAGGGCGCATTTTATTATCTGATTTTCTATACAATGTTAGTCGAAAACTTGGATCGAATGCCGGCAGCTGACACGGATTTCGGAAGTCTGCCGGCTTATTACACGCAAATTTACCAGAGCAAAACATATATAAAAAAGAATTTAGGGTCGGGCGGTAATGAGAAATAAGAACTTATTTTTATGTGGCCTAACCAATAAATTAAAAGTATGTTTAGAATTGTTTGTTTCGGGCTAGTAAGACTGGTTGAAAGTGATTTATACAACCTTTGTTTGGGGCATTAAACGTGTCCAAGTATGGATGATTGTCACATGACTATTTTCGCGCGTCCGACTTCATGTAGTGCATGCTTTTAGGTCACGTGATATCTGGTCTTCAAACGTGATGGCGGCAGAGACCATGTTGTCTGGTCAGGATTCACCGGGAGACACTGCAGGCTGGTGGAGCTAACTGTCTCCTATGTTCATCGGAACAGAAGAAGTTGAAAGTGCACAGGAGGATGTAAGTGTTGAGGTTTCGTTTTTCTTCTTCAATGTGAAGACAGCCTTTGTAGCCAGGACAGCTGAATGTCTGCTCGAGACTCGATCATTTACAGGTTGGGGAAACCTACCGATCGGCCTACAATAGGCCAAACGGGATATAATAGGCCGTTCCGCCTATTTTGCTATAGGCCGTTCCGCCTATAATTATGATATTTATCAAATAAATTTGAAGTGGTGCATTTCCGCATGAGGATATTAACATCATTCAAGTGTTGATGTCCTAAGGTTTTCATTCAAACCATTTTGAGCATTTTCATCACATAATAAAGGAGTTTGGAAATTGATAAATAAATATAAGACTATAATATTTTTGAAAATTTTCACTGAAAATTAATGACATAGATATTTAGTTTTAGTTGTCAAAATGAAAATCTTGGCAAAATTGTGTTCTTAAATGAAACATCTTTTCCTGAACATTATATAAATTTCCATTTTGCCCCAAAACTTATTTTTTTCAAGCTGAGCAGGTCCATTAAGTATTCATCTCTATGATCTAATAAAACTATTTCATGCGGAAATTGATAGTTTGTGAAATGTTAATAATAATGGTCAAATATAGCCTGATCGGCCTATAGCAAAATAGGCAGAACGGCCTATAATATCCCGTTCTGCCTTTTATAGGCCGATCGGTAGGTTTCCCCAACCTGATTTACAGACCGCCGTCATATAGCTGGAATATTGAGTGCGGCGTTAAACAACAAACAAACAAACAAACAAACAAACCTGTAAGCACTGGGTATGTACGGGCAAAGATCCTAAAGACGATACGGTTTCAACTAACCCCATCTCACAAAAGAAGATGCTTTTTCTCAGTTGCCGCTGCTGGTGATAGAACGGCGTGGTGAAATTGTGGTTACTCTGCTTGCTTAAATACAACCAAATACTTTCTAGAATCCTCTTATATGACTTAACAATACTAATACCCAATGTCGTGAATATGTCTTGGGCTACCTGTACATCGTTTCTGAACCCGGAAGATCCGGGTAAAGATTGATCTTCAACATCCTGTTTCTTTTCTACGTGAAGATCCGGGTTAGAACTGCCCCCGGGATCCTTAAAGTGTCCATATTTTGTCTTAACTCTTAAGACTAAATTATGTCTTAAATCGGGGATCACGAAGCTCGATCTTTGAGAAATCTAAAGTCTAAAACCAAATTTGAGCAATTATCAGACTTAAGACACTCTCTTGATCCCCGTGACTGTTGTCCCCCGCCGTGACGTTGCTGGAATATTGCTAGAAGCGGCGTTAAACCATACTCACTCACTCACGATACCGGGGCCTAGATTTTTGAAGTTCACTTAGCGCTAAGACAGTCGTAAGTTAGTGTTAATGAATAGCACTTACGACTATCTTAGCGCTAAGAGAACTTCGAAAATCTAGGCCCTGGTCTTCAATAACCCATGCTTGTCTCCCCGTGAAGATCCGCGTTAGAACTGGTCTTCAACAATCCATGCGTTCAAGTAGTTAGACGCGCTGACTTGGTTGACACGTACGTAGATCGACGCTCAATCAGCTGACTGTCTGACCCAGTGTCTGCTATTCCGACCGTGGTAAGATTTCCTCCCGTTCCCCCATCCCAAATAATATTTATAAATTAATATATACTAAAATTATCAACAAAACCTAGCACAATAATTACTAGAGAACTCCCCAAAATAACTAAAATCCCCCAAATTAATTACAATATATAGGGTCGAACCTCTTAGCGTTACCTCTGTTAATCTGCGGAAGAAAGAATATGGGGGAACGGAAGGAACTCTTTCCATTTACCGGTTCAGACATGAAAACGATACGTATTGCGATACGCTGATCGAAAACCGGTATTTTGACTTGTATTTGGAAAACGACGTAACACTCGGAAATCTTCGGATATTTCCTTGTTTTGTTTGTGCCAAATATTATTCACATTTTTATTCTATCATGATTAAAATTTGTTATTAATGCTTAATCAAGCATAGTGAATTTGTTGTGTTTTTGCGCTATAAATCAAGCAGTAACTCGATTATATGTAGTTTTTTGTTTAAAAATACTTCATGCAATATATATTGCAATACATATCGCAATACATGCTTTGGCATCGCAATATATCGCAATATGAACATTCTCTGCAATACCCACCCCTACTTCCAGTACTTCAGTCAAACAGCCCGCCAGGATTAATATTTGTGTTTTACAAACATCTTGTATCAAAACGTACCCAAGATACCGATATAGTGTTCAGTCATACTGTTTACCAACCTCCGTCAGAAGTATTCGAAACCTGATCTGAAATATACATCATAAGCAGGTTAAATATACGTTGGAAGTAGTCCCGAACATTTGTTTTGGTACGCCCGTTTCTCGCCCCTATCCGTAACCCCCAAGAAGACTTCTCCCGGAATAACACGAGTGATTGTTTTGCGGCTGTCGTGTTATTCCGGGAGAAGTCTTCTTGGGGGTTACGGATAGGGGCGACTGGTGACGACTGGTGACGAAAGGCACGAGTCGCTTCATTCAACACTCGCACCTTTAACTTGTCCCGGAGGAACACGAGTGGATCACGAATGGTGTCGCTATTCTGCTTGTCCCGGAATAACACAAGTTGGTCACGTATAGAATATTGCTTGTTAAGCGTCGATTTTCAAGTTGTAATATTCAGTTAAACTATCACATCCATATTATCGGAATTCGTATCCTATCACACTCGTATTATCGGAATACGTATATTATTACATATATATTGTCGCGATGCGTATATCATTACACCCATGTTGTCGCGATGCGTATATTATTACACCCATATTGTCGCGATGCGTATATTATTACACATATATTGTCGCGATGCGTATATAATTACACCCATATTTACGGGATGCGTATATCATTACACCCATATTGTCGGGATGCGTATATAATTACACCCATGTTGTCGGGATGCGTATATTATTACACCCATATTGTTGCGATGCGTATATTATTACACCCATGTTGTTGCGATGCGTATATTATTACACCCATGTTGTCGCGATGCGTATATAATTACACCCATGTTGTTGCGATGCGTATATAATTACACCCATGTTGTTGCGATGCGTATATTATTACACCCATGTTGTCGCAATGCGTATATAATTACACCCATGTTGTTGCGATGCGTATATCATTACACCCATATTGTTGCGATGCGTATATCATTACACCCATATTGTCGCGATGCGTATATTATTACACATATATTGTCGCGATGCGTATATTATTACACCCATATTGTCGGGATGCGTATATCATTACACCCATGTTGTTGCGATGCGTATATTATTACACCCATTTTGTTGCGATGCGTATATCATTACACCCATATTGTTGCGATGCGTATATTATTACACCCATATTGTCGCGATGTGTACAGAGCGGAAGGTCTGTGGTTCGGTCCATGGTCTCGTATACGTATTTTTTTACGTTAAATACTGGTGTTTGTTATTGCCCTGTCTGTGTCGTGGCATTTGGTGGATAGTACGAAGACTGGTCGGCTCGGAGTCAGTCAATTCAAGCACAGTTGTGTCGAAGTAGAAATCCCTTCGAAAATACTCCCACATGATCCAAAAACATCATGCTTTGTGTTGTTTGTTTCTTGTCCCCAATTGCGCAGATCGATGCTCATGTTGTTGACCACTGAATTGTCTGGTCAAGACTCGATTATTTACAGACCGCCGCCATATATCTGGAATATTGCTGAGTGCGGCGTAAAACTGAACTCACTCACTCATGCCATCATGCTTTGTGTTGTCTGTTTCTTGTCCCCAATTGCGCAGATCGATGCTCATGTTGTTGACCACTGAATTGTCTGGTCAAGACTCGATTATTTACAGACCGCCGCCATATAATGGGAATATTGCTGAGTGCGGCGTAAAACTGAACTCACTCACTCATGCCATCATGCTTTGTGTTGTCTGTTTCTTGTCCCCAATTGCGCAGATCGATGCTCATGTTGTTGATCACTGGATTGTCTGGCCAGACTCGATTATTTACAGACCGCCGCCATATAGATGGAATATTGCCGAGTGCAGCGTAAAACTAACCTCACTCACTCACTCACTGTTTTTTTTTTCATCCTAATATAGCTTGACGTAATTAACCCGCGTATGTTAACCCGCATTGTGCGTAGTTCCCCAACATGGTGACGCGATATATAGCCCATTTTACATTGTATTGTCCAAAAATAGTTTTCAACTTTTAAAGATATATGCTAGCTAGTTTTAACTCATTTTGTGATAATCTAGTAATTTTACTGTCCTTCGTTGACAGGGTTTTATATATTATATGTATGCATTATGAATTTAGAACTAGTTTTAGTCACGATATGGCTGAAATATTGCCAATGTGACTTTAAATTTTAACTCACTCACTCACTCACTCCCATGTGCGTAGTGTCAAGAAAGACCAAACACACTAATACATATACTGTTAATTGTTCAAGTTCAGTTATGTAATTTGTTTGATCTTCAAGGTACAACCCTACAATCATGTTTTAGAGCCATGACAGTGAATAATCGAATCTGGACCAGACAATCCAGCGAGTGGTATCGAGCGCGCTTGACAACTTCATTTTTGACAGGCGCCTTTTCGGACAAGCATGGGTTGCTGAAGATCGATTCTAATCCGAATTTTCGCGAAAGAGGGTGCGGGCTAGCATTGTGGATAAAGCGTGCGCTCAGACCCGGTTCACATTTCTGGTGTCCCCCGCCGTGGTATTGCTGGAATATTGCTAAAAGTGGCGTAAAACCATACTCACTCACATATGTTTGTTGAGGGCGGTGGGGTAGACTAGTGGTTAAAGCATTCGCTTGTGACGCCGAAGACCCGGGTTCGAGTCCCCACATGGGTACAGTGCGTGAACTCCATTTCTGGTATTGCCCACCGCCATATTGCTGGAATGTTGCTAAAGCGGCATAAAAGTAAATTCAATCACGGGAGAGCTATGCAACAATGAGCACAGGTTGCTGGATATATTCTAACGGTGAACCTGACGAGGAAGCACGTTTCGATCACGCACGACACGAATGAGTAAGGCCACTCGTCACACGCTCCATCGCGGATTTGTACAGGACGTGAATTGTAAAACATACATTTACGACTTCACAGCACTTTTTGAATACGGATCCTAATACGTGTTATTTGAATTCTTCATGCTGATCACAGTCGCAAAACCACACGTGTGTCTTCGGGTTACTAAGGGTCAGTGAAGGAGGAAAACGGCAAGCACGTGTAACCATTACGGGATAATGAGTTCCTCAAAACCGTCAGTAGACGCCATGTATCAAGAATCTAGGCCCACCCCTTGTCCAATCCGGGCAGATCGCGATGGAACATCAGCCAGAGAAAAATCCAAGTTATTCAGAAAATTACAATAGAAATACGTCACTGATGGTAAATGGCTTTTTGACTTTGCTGTGCATTTTTAAGTATATAATTTGAAAGGTATATAAGTTAAAACGTCTGGTTGTCAATTATTTCTGAACATCTTAAAGTCACTATGGGAGGGGTGAGCCTGGGAGATGCTTCTAGCTGCGCTTTCTTCCTTATATGTGAGTAGTTTTCTATTTCATATCGCCTTCAGCAGTCTTTGAACTGTTACCACATTTTGAGTCTTTAACGATGACGCCTTGGACATTGGGGATAATGAATTTGTCCACAGCTACCGGTATTGGTAGCTGTAAAGGCTGAGTTACTGTAAAGGGTCCTTTACGCCTGTTCTTGGGTTCACCAGAGGGGGGGAATGGGGGAAGCGGTCGGTTTCTGCTGCCACCTTGTCTGGGTACAATGTGTGAAGCCCATTTCCGGTGTGATATTGCTAAAAGCGGCGTAAAACTAAACTCACTCACACATCTTGTCTGCTGTCGTTATCCAACAACTTTACACACGCGATACTTCAAAATTCAAGAGATCGAACTTACTCACTCACTCTAATATATAGCGGGGCGGTGGGGTAGCCAAGTGGTTAAAGCGTTTGCTCGTCACGCCGAAGCCCCGGGTTCGATTCCCCACATGGGTACAATGTGTGAAGCCTGTTTCTAGTGCCTCCCGCCGTGATATCGCTGAAATGTTGCTAAAAGCGTCGTAAAACCATACTCACTCTGATATGTAGTTAAAAAACAGGAACTAAATTGGAACAAAACACTGGCGGGGGATATTGATCACCATGTCTTGTTTGAATATATTTCTGTACGCCACCCAGAGATATTTAACGTTCGTTTTCTAAGGTTCGTGAATAGCGTGTGTGGAACACGAAATGTATTTGATTTTGAATGTTTCAGATTTTTCTTTTGGTTTACGAGTAAATGAACACATACTTCACATAACATTAACTAACAAGTTCCATTTTCTTTTTAAAAAATAAATGTTCTTTTGTCAGAGACAGGTATACATCTTCTTGAAAGCGTAGGTTTTTTCCTATGTAACACCCCTAAATATTGCTCACCCGTGAAGATCCGGGTTAAAATTGATCTTCAGCAAACCCATGCTTGTCGTAAGAGGTTTGGGCGAGATTGGGTGGTCAGGCTCACTAACTTGACACATGCCATTGTCACCCGATTGCTGTTGATCACTGGATTGTCTGGACTCAATTATTTACAGACCGCCGCCTTATAGCTAGAATATTGTTCAGTGCAGCGTAAAACTAAACTCACTCACTCACTCGCCTCCCAAATATTGCTTCCAGGTGTTTTCTGTCAGCTTGTCTGTGGCCGTGTCATCCTGAGACGCAACACCCTCTTTCGGGCTGATGAAGATCCGGTCAAGGACAGTCTCATGGAGATGCTCCTGATCAAGTTCAGAGGGTCGTTCGCTCGAGACACCAACGACATGTATGCACCGATGGATCTGATCAGACGCCACTACACCGACAGGCAAGACGTCCCCGTTGTCACACGCCAACAGAGACGTGACTTTGACGGTGTCAGGGGGATTATGATGTAAGTGATTACCAGATGCTTCCCACCAAAGATGTTTTGTTCCACATGGACGGTGGAATATTCAATCTGGGTTCTGTGATGAAATTCTCGCCCATATCCATTCTGCTTCGGGGGGAGACAACCGAGAGTGGATGTGGACAGGAAGATGATGGGAAGGGCATCAGGAATGATGTTAACAGGAGACGGAGGAGTCGTGTCGATGAAGGTGATGCCGACAAGGAAGTCGAACACAATTATGTCAGGAGTGAAAGAAGGGACAAAGATTGGAACAAGGGAGGGAAAGGTGATAACAGGAATGGTCACAGGGTAAGGAGAAGTGCTGCTGATAAAGATGACAATGGTCCAGACGATAAAGATGGTGAGGAAGACGATAAAGTAGATGACACAAATGATAGTGCAACTGATAATAAGGATGAAAATGGTCGTGATTATAATGATGACAAAGCTTCAGATGATAAAGATTGTGATGAAGATGATAAAAGTGATTGGAAAAATCGTGTAAAAAGAAGTGATGATGACGATAAAGATGACAATGGCCAAAACGATAAAGATGACAATGGCCAAGACGATAAGGATGACCAAAATCAAGATAAAGATGATGACCGAAATGGTAAAAGGAGAAAGAGAAATGTTGATAAGGATGACAATGGTCCAGATGATAAGGATGACAATGGTCCAGATGATAAGGATGACAATGGTCCAGATGATAAAGATGACAATGGTCCAGATGATAAGGATGACAATGGTCCAGATGATAAAGATGACAATGGTCCAGAGGATAAAGATGACAATGGTCCAGAGGATAAAGATGACAATGGTCCAGACGATAAAGATGACAATGGTCCAGAGGATAAAGATGACAATGGTCCAGAGGATAAAGATGACAATGGTCCAGAGGATAAAGATGACAATGGTCCAGACGATAAAGATGACAATGGTCCAGACGATAAAGATGACAATGGTCCAGACGATAAAGATGACAATGGTCCAGAGGATAAAGATGACAATGGTCCAGACGATAAAGATGACAATGGTCCAGACGATAAAGATGACAATGGTCCAGACGATAAAGATGACAATGGTCCAGAGGATAAAGATGACAATGGTCCAGAGGATAAAGATGACAATGGTCCAGACGATAAAGATGACAATGGTCCAGAGGATAAAGATGGTAAAAGGAGAAAGAGGAGTGCTGCTGATGATAAAGATGAAGACGATAAAAGTGATGACAAAAATGAACAAAAAAAGAGAACTGCTGATGATGGTAAGAGTCGAGATGATGAAGATTGTCAAGATGACAGGGTCAAAAGAAGTGCAACTGATGATAAAGACGACAAAGGTGATGACAGGAGTGATAACAAGAGAAACAGAAGTGCCACCGATGACAGTCTAGATGATAAAGATTGTGATGAAAACAATAAAAGTGAATAGAAAATAGAAATGATTAACAAGGAAACACAGAAGTTCTGTGGATGATAATTGTAAGGACGCTGAAGACAAATATAAAAGTATAGGAGAGCAATGGGCTGCTATGGGGTAAGAAGCCCATGAAGAATATATTCAGACGCTGTCTTATGGAACCAGTCCCGTGACAGGGAAACCATGTAAACATTCTTGCCATGCAGTCCCCATGTAAACATTTACTGTCTGTTTACTGATAAACACGTCAACAATGGTGGCTCTGTTGTGTTTACTGATACCTTGTGATCTTTTGCAAAACTTATCCTTGTCTGGCTGTGGGTCACTTATTTAAAAGGTCACCTCAGCACAGTGTTTAAATTTCAAGAAACTCCAAGTGTTGTCAGTGAATGAGTGTAGCTGGGTGACAAGGAAGGAAGCGAGTGAGTTTAGTTTTACGCCACACTCAGCAATATTCCAGCCATATGGTGACGGTCTGTAAATAGTCGAGTCTGGAACAGACAATCCAGTGATCAACAGCATGAGCATCAATCCACATAACTGGGATATGATGACATGTGTCAACCAAGCCAGCGAGCCTGACCACCCGATCCCGTTAGTTGCCTCTTACGACAAGCATGGGCTGCTGAAGACTAGGTCTAAAGGAGTCGGGTCGAGTGACAAGTAACTATTTACTGTCTTCCATTGAGAGCAATGTCTGGTGATGAGTCAGCATATATCATGAATTTAGCATCCACTTTGCCAGTGGAGTACAAGGTTTTCACCAGCAAAACAGATGTCTCCTCCTTCCCCCAATTCACCGTTGACACCTCAACTCATTTGATTCCTTCATTTTCAAAATCTTTAAGTATTGATAGTATGTTATGTTTGTAAAGTCTTCATTTAATATTTTTATATTCAATTGAACTTAACTGCTTATCAACAACTCCACAGTTGTGTGAAGTAGTTTTAGAGTTATGCTCCGAACACAAACCCTACCCTTCAAAAAGACCAAATTTGTTGCCATTGAAACAGATAAAAATAAAATTGAAAGAAGGGAGGGAGAGAGACATAATTGTATCGTCAAGCAGACGTCTGTCAATATTAATAGAGACATGTTTACCACTGCACTTGACAATATTCCAGCTGTACGACAGTGACCTGTAAATAAGAGTCCTGACTGGACATAACCAATTGAGTAGATCGAGTGTCATTATGTTGACACATTGTATTCCAAGTCCGCAAGCCTGACCATCCGTCCCTAACGGCAAGCATGGGTGGCTGAAAACCAGTTCTATAGTCTGTTTGCAGTGAAAACGTACCGATGAATTTCACTTTAAACAAAGTAAATCAAATAAAGTGAAATTAAGATTGCGAATCCTCATAATTTACCTTGCCAGTTGAACATTTAAATCTCAGAATTTTATTCATCATAGAATAAAAGTTGTTTAACAAACGATCATAGATTCAAATCGCTATTATTGGTTTGTATTACAAGGGGGTAAGCACAGTAGTTGGAACACTGAAACAAATGTACGTGATGAGCGTTAACTTAGACCAACCCTACTTGTTCTCGGTGTTTTATTTAATGTGAATACAAACGAATAATAACGATTTGAAACTATGATCGTTTGTTAAATAAGTTTTATCCTAAGTTGAATAAAATTCTGATATCTTAATTTCACTTTATTCGATTTACTTTCTTGTTTAAAGTGAAATTCATCGGTACGTTTTCACTATAATGCGGATAACACCCAAGACCAACCAGTAAAGTTCTGACTAAAATTTAGCTCAGGTCACTGACAACATGCACAAGACATACTTTGGATGAGTTTATTGATCTGATGAGGATGACAGATGACGCAGGGTACGATATGTACACGAACTTCCATACCTTGGATCAACCAAACATTGTTAATGTGTGAAGCAGTAACCTACCTGTTCAACACTACGTAAAATATTTTCGTCACAGAATCAACCAATGTGTTACACATAAATGCTAGAATGTCCCTGACCACCAATTGCTAAATAACATTCGCGCCGCTGTTAGTCGCAACACACTTCCACACAATAACTAATTTGACACAAAGAATAAATACGGATAAACTTAACAGTAATTCAGATAATTATGAACATCCAGTTTCAAACAATGTTGTGGATGTGAGCCATGAAAGGGCAGACAGTGCTTTGTACACTTGTATATAGATAATAGCACTTGTATTACGGCCATCCACGGACCTCAGTTCCCTCCACAAAAACAAACCTTATTTGCTTTCAGTACTAGACATGAGAACTTTCCTTCTCACAGAATGGTTAGTTTGGCCTTTGACCATCTTTGGGTTCAGATAGTAGCAATTATGGTTGACATCTTACACATCCCCTCATTAATTCCGTTTCTTCTACGAATCCTGAAGTGACTTTTTTCATACAAACTCGGGCGCATACGAATTAAAAATTCCATGGAAAGGAAGGCAACTCTGCACCGTTACCTTGGACAGTGGGATATTTACAAGGAATGTATGGATGAGCATGATCCTAGATATACAAACTGACATGGGGACTGCAGATAAATGAAAAAAGAATATTTCATTCCATGTTAATGCCGAGCCCAATTCCTCAAAGGGGTCTTTTTCAAATCCATATTTTGGACTGATTAACATTTAGACTGAAATGTCAATTGCATTGATCACCTTTACGTGTTTTTAAGCATAAATGGATTATGAATACACCATGTTGGCAAATGGGTTATCTCCCCTTTGTTACCTACTCGACAAACCTGACTTGGGCACCCATCCGTGAGCTAATATGCTCTAAATTTTACTTGAACACACATACCAATGTGGCAGAGTATATCTGGGTCGGAACCCAGGATCAGATTCCCATATAGCACCTTAACACGTTGCCGAGTATTGCATTTCCGAAGAATACCATTCCATGACTAAAAGAATATTGGTGACACCAGTGTGTGAAATAGCCACTGGCCCGCTAGTACGTGGCTAATAAAACTCCAGTGGGGCCATGCAATCTCCCAACAGGCTAGTGAATTTTCATGTGGTCATTTTGTAAATATATCACTCTCTCCGACTTAAGTTATAATACACTTTTAAATCATGCATAATGCCTGATAAAAATATTCATCATATTAGCAGCTTAATGATGAAACCTGTGTCATGCCGACAATATCTTATTCTCATTTATTTTTGAAATCTTTGCTAAGCTTCCACATTCAAATTTCGGGCTAGTGAATTATTTGGGTAGCTAGCCTGACTGGCTATCAAAATTTAGAAACTATTTCGCACACTGGGTGACGCTTTCTGTGTTGTAATGAGTACATGTGCACTTTTGGTCCAAACACAAGATGAGCACATAACATGTTAAAAGTATCAACAGTATAGGGATTACAGCAGAACAATAGCTGGCTATCGACATATCGCCAATTGATAACTTACAAAACACCGGAGATATTCTTTTTCAGAAGAAGTCCTCCTTGGGGTACATATAAGCATTAAAATGTCCATTTCAAATCCTACAACAGTTGTAACTATATTTTTCAATAAAATATTTACAAAACAAAAAACACCGGACTCCCTACAGCCAAGAGCAGGTAACTCTTGCCGTCTACCTCCCAGCTCACTTTTTCATGCTGTCGTTCTGTTGAATAGACATGCGTGGTGTTCGTTTCGAGTTTGCTCTCCTACCGATACGATGAGTGTAGGATTTAAAATGGACATTTTAATGCTTATATGTACCCCAAGGAGGACTTTCTTCAAAGAATTCATAACCTCTACAGGTTTGTATAAATATTTAGCAGCTTTTGAGCATAAAGGTCCAAAAGAATCAACATTATGCCAAGCATAGTGCTAACAAAATTTGGAAACTGCCCATGAATAAGTATTTTAATTCAATATACATAAAACGATTTCTAATGACAGTTATCCCTCAGAATTTAAATGGTTATGGATGATAATTGGAGAACTATTTTAAAAAAAATGTTAAAGGTTAATTACTTATAATATAAATTTTAATAATTAAGAGGAGAGAAATAATTTGGCATGTCAACCAAATAGGTGGGTGTGGGTGAAAATCTAATAGTTCATACACATTTGCAAGAATGACAGAAAGCAATGCAAATTCCAAAACAGACGACAAACTGTACAATCAACATGTCAGTGACAATGTCTCAAAAATAACAAATAATTACAGTCTTTAAAATTCTCATAATTCACTGTTAATCCCACCAACAAGGTCACTTTTCCCATTTTCATTTCACAAATTCCACCTGTCACAATTAGCAAAAAAACCCACCTCAAATTAATATAAAGAAAATTAAAAAACACACCCTATCTTAAACATTAAAAAAAAAAGACATTTAAGTGTAGCAGGCATTTGACGTATACATTAAAGCAACTTTGTATCACAAAAAGTGTGGCCATCCCTATAGCAAGTAATTCAACAAACCCGTTCACCTGGGATTTTTTATTTTATTTTTTGTTTTGACGGCTGCTTCGGCCTCTTCTGAGCAGATTTGAAAGAAATCCCTCACAGCAGAAATTCAATCATCGATATTAGACACGTGAAACCAGTGGTTGACATAATGATTACACAGATGGTTTTACCACCCAATCCCCTTACTGGTTGGCTCTGTATTAATACGGTCTATCATCCTTAAAAGTCTGGGAAAAATGTTCGTCTCTCCTCTACAAACGCAGACCTCAGCATATTTAGTGTTAGATATGGGCAGGTAAACTTACTAGACTTGGTAATCAGACTAGCGGCTAACATTACAGACCACCACTGTTGCAGTCGCCACGATCACTTCTCTTTGAAATATTTCTATAATACTGCAACATGAACATATGTTATATTTGGGATTAAAGTTTCTTAGTGTAGTACAGATTCTAGTACTTTAGTTGAGTCCCATCCGGGATTCGAACCCACACCCTCAGAGTCAGGCACCTAATTGCTGGCAGTGTAATCCCAGATGTAACATATGTTACATTGGACCACTTTCTAAATGGCATTGGGTAAGCATGCAACAAGAAGACAAATATTTCTGGGTGGACTCGCTCACACATCTCAATATGCTTCATCCCTAAAACCTTTCACCGTCACAATAATGATTTTTTTACACACTGCTTCACCAGAACTCAAACAATGATTTACTTCAACATGTTGAAAATTCAAAACAAAGTCAATAAATAAGTACAGATTCAGACAAAATGAATTTCCTCGTCAATTCACCATGCACATGATTCCACTTGAAGGTCTCATCCTGAAAATACAGACTCACATTCACGTCGTCGTTCATTACCGTAACTGTCAGACACACTCCTCGGAACTTTCAAACCAGCATCAAAAATAGACATATAATCGTGTGAGAACAATGGAGATATATATAGTGGTCATTTCCCTACTGGTTTTGCCGTTGTTATAACTCAGTGTGTTCCTCTTTTATAGGTTCTGAACCACCTGCAAAGAAAGAATAGATGGTTAAAAAATAATCAATAAGTGTTTTTTGCTTGTTTGTAGTTTAAAGCCATAAAGTAGTGATATTGGATCTGCGCACTCGATTTTAACAGTAAGTGAGTGATTTTAGTTTTACACCGCACTCAACAATATTCCAGCTATATGGCAGCAGTCTGTAAATAATTATGTCTGGACCAGACAATCCAGTGATTGACATCCCAGTATCAACTACACAGTTGGGCTACAATGACATCACATGCACCTATAAGGAATCAAACCCATATCTTTGGGGTGCCAAGCAAACACTTTATCTACTATCTACAACGCTGCCACATTGTCCCCCAAGCCACGTCATCTGTTTATCACTTACCCAGAGCTCCAGATAAGATTTAGCTCATGTGGGTACTGTACCCACTGTATTTTTTTGGAGTGGGTATTATGAATGTTGAGTAGGTATTTCATTTTCCGTTACCCACTGCTTTCAAATAGGTGAGTAAAATGACTGAAATACGCACACAAGTATTATGTCATTGAGTAAGTTTACTAAGCAGGTATGTTCTGCCTTATGTCATACCTAATCAAAACCAACTTAAATACAATGGAAATGATTTCATAAAAAATCACTCATCCTATACTGACAGTACAACACTTGTCCTATACTAACAGTACAACTTGACAGTAATCGATGTCTTTTTCATTACGCAAGCGATTTTTATAAATAAACTTAACTGCAAAAGAAACGCAAGTTACTATTTTCAAAACATACGTTCCAAATGCATTCCTATTAGGACAACAAAGTATACCATTATAGAACCAAGCATTCGAAGATGGTTTTGCCGTTGTTGCCGCTTATTCTTGACCATATCGCCCAAACGCAATCATTTTCATGTTTTTCGTGTTTTTTGTGTTTCACACAAAAATGCGTTCATTGCACTCCAATTTGAAGCTTTATAAGGCAGGTCATTCAAAAAACACCATAGAACACAAAATTGACTGTGACAACGCGGAGAAAACATGCCACGTCTAACTGAACAGCAACGAGGAATCGCCGTTGGAATGTTGCAGACCGGATCCACACCAACTGCAGTGGCCAGGCACTTCAGATGTCACGCGTGACAACAATCACAAGACTATCCGCAAGGTATCGTCAAACCGTAATATTCGGAGACCCGACCACGTTCAGGGACGCCCCAGGGTAACAACGCCAGCGCAAAGATCGTCACATCCGGGTTACTCATCTGCGTAACTGACAGCAACGAGCAACACAGACAGCTGCAACCATTCAAGGGCCACAACGTCACATCTCTGCAGACACTGTTCGCCGCCGTCTGAGGGCAGCAGGGATCAGATGTCGCCTCTCCTTACGCCGGACCGATTCTGACGTAAACGTCACCGCCAAAATCGTTTACAGTGGGCGACAACACCAGCGTTGGCGACGCCAACAATGGCAACAAGTGTTGTTTTCTGATGAGTCCAGATTCAACTTGTCCCACCGATGGACGATTGCGTGTATGGAGGCGATGTAATGAACGTTGTGTTGGAAGCTGACCGCTGGGGAGGTGGGAGTCTCATGGTATGGGGTGGCTTCAGTTACCACCACAGAACACGTTAACACGTGTTTCGTCAACGTGTGACTGCTGTAGTCTACAGAGACCAGGTCCTTCAACACCACGTTGTACCGCTATTCCAGGCCCAACCTCAGCTCCAGACGTTCCAGCAGGACAATGCTCGTCCTCACACTGCACGTGTGTCGAGCATGTGTGGGATGAAATTGGTAGACGGATACAGACAGCTGCTCAACCTCAAAACCTTAGAGATTTGGAAGCCAGATTGGTCAGGGAATGGAATCAAATTCCCCAAGCCTTCTTTCAGACACTTGTTGACTCGATGAGACGTCGTTGTGCAGCCTGCATTGCAGCCAATGGTGGTCACACGCGCTACTGATTGACACACTGTTTCGTGACATTTTTGGTGTGTGAGGGTGGAGTGATAACATATGCTTTTACAGTAAACTTGAGTGTTGTTTTCACCAGAGACCACGACTCATTTCTTCAACAATCACTTGTCTGTTGTTTTTTCGTAGAATTAAGATTGTTTGTTCCATGGATTCAGAAATATTGACATTTCTACATCAACTTGCGTTTCTTTTGCGGTTCAGTATATATTCCGTACGCATTTGTTTTAAACTTTTTGCGTATCATTACATATTAAATGCGTAATTGGTACGCAACAATTATTTTTCAATGCGTAATTGGAAATTTTATATGCGTGTTTTACCCGGACACGCAGTTTATCTGGGCCTCTGCTTACCAATTTTTAATGTTTCCTCTTCTTTATCTTTTGTGTCTGTGTCTTTTATATCTTCATTTTTGGTGCTTTTATCCGATTCTGCTTCTGTAGGAGCTTCTTCTGAAATATGAAATAAGATAATAACTTTGGGAAATACAATGGGGGTTTACCATCACAGATTACACTGACTGTCTACTGAGATAACCTGCCGCAGTCTTCCAGATATCCCAGTCAGAACCAGCGTACTAACTAGAGCTAGTTCTAACCATCAATTGATTGTTGTTTAACACAGAGCTCAGAAGTATTCCAGCTATATGTCAACGGTCTGTGATCCAGTGATCAACAGCATGAGCATCAATGTACCCAATTGGGATACGATGAAATGTGCAACCCTGACCACTCAACCCCGTTAGTTACCTCTTACGACAAGCATCGGTTGCTGAAGATCATTTCTAACCCAGATCTTCACAGGTGTGTTCTAACCCTGTATGTCAAGCACGAGGCAGGGTGACAACAAGTACCATTTTTTATGTAACATCTATTGGTGTGATGCAGCCATGTCTTCATTGACTTACATCTCGGACTGAGGTAAAAATTCCAGTTACAATGTATGGTACTGTTTAAAAAGTATTCAAGCAAGGAGACATTGAATTATCCGACACGCTGCATAGTCCAACATTTTTTCCTGGTCCCAGTGAGTGTCAGATTATACAGCTTCCACTGTATATGGATGACATGTATTCTTCAAGTACACAAGCATCATGCTTTCAGAGTATGATTTTCTGTTAAGGAAACCAGTCACTTGGATCATTATCAAGTTGACAGATATGCCTATTTATTTTTTGGAGTGAGTTTTATGCCGCTTTTAGCAACATTCCAGCAATATCAAAGCAGAGGACACCAGAAATGGGCTTCACATATTGTACCCATGTGGGGAATCGAACCCAGTATTTGGTGTCACAAGCAAACACTTTAACCACTAGACTACCTTACCCTTAATTACTTGGACCACATAACAATACCTTGAGATTCTGGAGACTGGGTTGTTGCGTCATCAACCTTAGGCTCTGCCTGCTCGGGTTTAGACTCCGCCTCCTCAGTTTTAGACTCCGCCTCTTCTGTCTTAGTCTCATTGCTGGGTTTTTCTGTGCTGTTTGTCTTCTTCTTGTCGTCTGTCTTGGGCTTAGTCTTGGGCTTCCAGTACTTGGCCTTGTTGATGAGGTACTTGACCTCGCGGTCCAGGGCCTGTATCTTCAGAGCTACGTCCTCCACGAGCATCTTTGGGTTCTCGTGATCCTTCAACTTTTTCTGCTCTTTCACGTTGGTGTTGCGCCATTCCTGGAAGTCACATTAAATGTTATTCTACATACCACAAAATGACATAATCAAATGATTTAACATTTTCTAAATACATTGTCTGAATTTAGACTTCCTTAGCAAACTGACTGTTGCTTATGACTCATATCAAAACAATTTGCACATTTTTCGAAAACTTACTGCATCAGGGATTATCCGTCATGTGACACTGTCTTATCGTACATGCAGAAAACAAATACACAACTGATTATTTGTCTGCTTTAGAAACCAAGAAGAAGACGACAAATCCTCCCGCACCCCACATATTTGAAAGAACAAATCATCTGACAGGTACTTAAAGTCCAACTTGATTTCTCAGACTAAGCCCAGATGGTAAATCATGAAAAATGAAAATGCCAAAAATATGCAAATAGCAAAAGGCAATACTTCAAAATCTGTTTGATATATCTGCCAAGTCTTGTAGAAAGATATCGAACAGTTTTCCAGAAATGAAGCCGACCCCTCTCTTGTGAGACTAAGTCCAAATCGTTTCCATGGATAACGAGAAAAAAGAAATGCCCAAACTCTGCAAATAGCAATATGCACCTTTTGGGATCTGCCTCATATATCTGCCAGGTTTTATTGATAGATATTGAGTGATTTTTTAGTTATGCTTCACAATGATATCCATGTGGAGAATTGAAACCAGGTCTTTGGCTTGATGAGCGAACACTTAAACCACTAGGCTACCCTACTACCCAAGCTACTGCTATGAAGGACTTGAGGACAACCTACCAAGGTTTCATTGATGAGGGTGTCCAGTGTAGTGACCTCCACCTCGGTGAAGATGGGGTCGTCAGTGTTCGACAGGTTCTTCACGGACTTGAGGAAGTGCACAGAGTGGTTCAACATGGACTTGAGAGCATCTAGAGCCCTTGGTCTTTCCTCCAGCTCAAACACACGACGTGCTACATCCTTCAGGCCGTCCTTGAGGGACTTCAGCTTCTTGACAAACACCTGGAAGAACAGAGTTTGTTATACATGATGCCAAGTTTGTTGATAGCTTGCTATATGTATTTTTACTAAATATTTATGTTGTTTTGTATTTTTAATTGTTTGGGTGCAGACTTGCAGCTTCACTGAGTTTATGTTTTAACTGTTTACTTGATCTGGGTTTCAAGTTTCTTGTCAGTTATTAAAAGAGACTGAAACTACTTCAATTTGTTTTTATTTTATAAACTATACATTCATTTGGGAAATGACTTCAAACGACACAATTCAAGGATTGAAAAAAAACCTGTTGCAATAGTTGGTTGCCATAGACTATCGCAATAGTTGTTTCCCCCTCAATAGTCACCCCTTCTATTTGATGAACAACTGGGAGAGCATGGCTTGTTATATAAGACGCTCGGTTTGAATATACTTTTTGACGAGCGCCTAAAAAACAAAGTTCTTATACTAGATGCCCAGCATACTATAAGACAAACACCTGCAAGAACACAGCTATTTCACGACGTGATTAGTATGAGTGTACTATTTCCATAAAAAAACCAAACAATCTGGCTGTCATGAAATACTGTAAAGATTATAATTGGGGAAAATAGGAGCATTTCTCCCCTGGAGGTGAAGTCTTGCCACAGTCAGCAACATTCCAGCAAGATATGAGAGTTTAAACACCTGATCTCGTTAGTCGCCCTTACAACAAGGATGGGTTTGTGGAAGACCAATCAGAACTCAGATTTTCATTGACGAAGGGAGTGATGTGGGGATCAATATTGATCTGAATATCATGCCAGCCACACAACATGCTTCAACGATGTAAACTATGGGTTCGTTGGAAAACGCGGTGGCTGAGCTGGTAAGGTGCCTGACTCTGAGGGAGTGGGTTCGAATCAACCCCAAAAAGTACTAGAATTTGTACTTTAATAAGACAGTGTAATCCCAAATATAACATGTGTTACATCTGACCACTTTCTAAAATGGCGTTGTGTATTTTCATTCATCTGAATTATGAAAATTTGAATGTCTGCTAATGACTCACGTCTTTCTTGGCATCGTCCGGTTGTTCGTACAGCCAATCAGAAGCCTCGGACATGACTTTGTTGAGCTCCTCTCTCTCTGCTTCAGTGGAGCACTTGACGTAGGAGTCCTGGGAGAGCTTGTCCTGGGAGTCGAAGATGTACGCCTCAAGCTCGTTCTTGGCCTTCTCCAGCTCCATCTTCTCCTTGTCCTTGGCCTTCAGTGCCGCCAGGCTGCAACAGTCAGTTGGTCGGTGAGTGAGTGAGAGAGAGAGAGAGAGAGAGATTAACTGGTGATAGTGAGAGAAAGTGAGAGAATGACTTGGCAGTAAGTTGGAGTGAGTGAGTAAGCAGTTGTTAAGAAACTGAGTTGTTGAGAGTGAGAGAACGAGTTAAGAAATTGAGTTGTTGAGTGAGAGAACGAGTTGTTGAGAGATTGAGTTGTTGAGAGTGAGAGAACGAGTTGTTGAGAGATTGAGTTGTTGAGTGAGAGAACGAGTTGTTGAGAGATTGAGTTGTTGAGAGTGAGAGAACGAGTTGTTGAGAGATTGAGTTGTTGAGAGATTGAGTTGTTGAGTGAGAGAACGAGTTGTTGAGAGATTGAGTTGTTGAGTGAGAGAACGAGTTGTTGAGAGAATGAGTTGTTGAGAGATTGAGTTGTTGAGAGAATGAGTTGTTGATTGAGTTGTTGAGTGAAGGGGACGAGTTGTTGAGAGAACGAGTTGTTAAGAGTGAGCAAGGGTAAGGATTTTGTTGAACACTGCAATCATTCAGCTGACAATCGAGATCAATAAGATCTATGGCCAGAGTAATCAGCTATATATCTCAAAACGTATTACAAACTGAAATATAATCTAAGTCCAAATCTCACGTACACCTTCTTGGCCTCCTTCATTCGTTCCTTGGTGAAATTGGGGAGGTCCAGAGAGCCCAAGGTCGAGTTGATTACCTCCTTAATGGTTGTAATTTTTGGCTTCTTTGGCTCTTCTTCCTTCTTCTTCTCCTCTTTGTCCTTCTCTCCATCCTTGCTTTTCTTGTCTTCCTTCTTCTCCTTCTTGTCACTTTCTTTTTCTTTCTTGTCTTTTGTTTTCTTTTCTGTTTTCTCTTCGGTTTTGTCATCTGTCTTCTCCTCTTGTTTTGGTTCCTGTTCCGATGACGCTTCGGTTCCCTCTTCTGTCGACTCTGATGGCTGGAGGACCAAATAATAATTGTAAACAACATGGACTCATATCACAGCATGTTAGCTCAACATAGTGATGTGGTTGGAAAACCCCAACAGATGAAGACTTCAAATTTTGGACATCTAAGGGAGGTAACTCTGAACAGTGAATCGTCAGTAAGTGAGTTAGTCCAGTTTGACACTGCTTTTAGCAATATTCCAGCAAAGATATGGCAGTGGACACAAAGAATGGGCTTCACACATTGTAGCCGTGTGGGGAATGGAACCCGGGTCTTCAGCGTGATGAGAGAATACTTTAACCACTAGGCTACCCTACCACCTGATAGAAAGTAAGACAATTCAAAATGTGATATATTTTTTTGGGAATGACCAAACATGTCAACAACAAAAATAAGATAATTAATCTAAGATGGTTTGGTTTAAAGGAATTCCAGTTATATCCCAGCATATTAGGTTTATTTAGGAGGAAGGTCTGAAGTGAGAAGTTCCCACTTTTGTGAAACACATGAGCACAATTATGGTGCCGACAAACCCAGAAACGATATTTGGGTAAACTGGGATTCAAACCCAGAATCACAGGATTGAGGCACGCTCAAGGGATGCAACTCTGGTGAGTGAGTTCAGTTTAACGCCGCATTCAGCAATATTCCAGCTATATGGTGGTGGTGTGTAAATAATCGAGTCTGGACCAAACAATCCAGTGATCAACAGCATGAGCATCGATCTACGCAATTGGGATACGATGACATGTGTGAACCAAGTCAGCGAGCTTGACCCAATCCCGTTAGTCGTCCCTTACGACAAGCATGGTTTACTGAAGACCAGTTCCAACCCGATCTTCACGGGCAGAATGCAACTCTGCAGAGCAAATCACGGCAGCTTAGACAACTACTGGCAAACAAGGATAAGTTGGACCGGCGCAGAGAACATGTTTACGAGAAGTAGGCGATGAAAAAAACAACAAATGTTTATGAGAAGTAGGCGATTGACGGCAATGAACAAACCCAATTGGTTTGTGAAAGATAGAGCAGATTTAGCCTAGTGCACATGCATTGCATGGCAATGAAATTGATTACGCGCGTAGCTGTCGAACTTGGTGTTTGCTGAGACAGGCCACACGCTTCACCCATTGCACTACACTTGATCGCGGACAACCTCGAGCCCCTTCGCTAACAATGGCAAGCACTCATATGGGTCAATTGTCAGGTCGGTGCTCAACTTATCAACTTATCCCTGTTTGCCAGTACACCCATGTCAGCTAAACTTTAAACATACACACAGGTCAGAATCCAGAGCTAAACCTAGAAAATGTTATGTTGATGTAGTGTGGACAACTTCATCAAGAAATGAATATTTTCACATGGAGTGCAGAAAATGAAAATGTATTGATACATCAGAGCAGGAAAATTACAAAAAGCTTATAATAATAGCCCAAAGGAGTTAAATCATGCGACACAATGACATTTCAAAGCTTGCAAAAAGTGACACATAAGCAGAACTTACAAACATTCAAAATAAATAATAATATACGGAACTAGCCACCACCAAACACTACACTAAAATACACTAGGACATATATGTCAAAGATTTTTTGGATATCAACTTCATGTGTAAAAGAAATAAAGATATATACAGGAGTGAGAATCGGTACGAGTGAAAAAAAAGAGGAAAATGAGCTGGGGGGTCTTCGTGGCAGCAGGTTTCGACGATTCACAAGAATGACCCCAGCACAATCAATTTCAACGTAATCCGTGGATCCGTAGAGCAATTCTCACCCCTCTATATATCCAAGAATATCTTTGACACATGTTCATCACCAAAAATGATATGTACATGCTCTCAGAAATTGATCTGTTCAAGCAAACCATCAACCAAGTTTTAAGGCCTGACTCCCAAACCCAAACGCATTTAGTTGTCTCCTACTTCAAGGACAGGTTGCTGAGGAACGAGCGAGTGAATTTAGTTTTACGCCGCTTTTAGCAATATTCCAGCAATATCACAGCGGGGACACCAAAAATGGGCAATGGAAACCCTGGTCTTTGGCGTAACGCGCAAACGATTTAGCCGCTAGGCCCCTGCTGAGGGATGATATGCTGATGTATCCCAAGATGACCGCACTTGTAAAGTTGTCTCTAAGTCCAGAGCTGTGAACATCTGGGTTAAAATTGGTCTTCAGCAACCCATGCTTGTTGTAAGAGGCGACTAATGAGATCGAGGGGTTAGCCAGGCTTCATATTTTGTCTACATTTATCATATCTAGAAATTTCAAAACCTTTTTATCTTCCTGTTTTCCGGAGGATTTCTCCTCGGTTTTCTTGGGTTCAGTCTCGGAATCAGACTTTGGCGACTCGCTTTTGTTAGTACTCTGCCCCTTAGCGGAATCCTGGTCACCCTTGCTAGCATCCCCCGCTGCTGCTGACGATGGATCCTAGACCACAACAACATCCGTGACAGTCACCAGACACCAGTCAGTACAACTTTGATAGTATTTTCCTGATGACTACCTACTTATGCTTTTAAAAAATTCAACAAAACAGGTTTTTTGTGGGTGGGACAATTTAATTCAACCATAAATTGAAATTTTTATAGTTTTTGACCAGGTAATTTTGCCTTAAAACCCAAACGTAAAAACAGTCACAATAGTGATGAATTGAATTTGATTTGAAACATTTTGCTGTTTTCATTGGGAGAGCATATCACAAAAATATTCAAAATTCAAACCAAATTCCACATTTAAATGTCCGCATTTTTTTTTATTAATATTAGTTGTGTTAGTAAGAAGAATTATTATTAAGAATAAAGGATCCCATTTGGCACCTGACAAGTATGACACAGGCAGTGTTTAAAATTTGGACGGACAAATTGATAAGCATTGGAGCTAGTCATCAAGAAAACAGTGCTGAGGATATCAGATAATTATATAGTAAGGTGACAACTTAGAGCAAATGTCGAAAATATCCAAAGCCATTCATTCAAGCTGCAAGAAATTTGTTTTGTGCAGTGCAGTTTCAACAAGATAACAGAAAAGTGAGTTTGTCAGCGGGTGTATAACACATTCAAGGACCAATTTTCACGGCTGTTGAGATGCAAAGAAAAAATGATGAAACTCAAGCAATCTCTTCATTATCACTGTGACACGAAATATATACTACAAGAAAAGGTGAAGCTACCCGTTTCTTTGGTATTGCCATAATTCATCTCTCATGGCATTCAATAACTATACAAATATGAATTGAGTGAGTTTAGTTTTACACCATTTTTTTTTTGCAATATTCCAGCAATATCACAGCACGGGGCCCCACAATTGGGCTTCACACATTGTACCCATGTGGGGAATCAAACCCGGGTCTTCAGCGTGACGGGCGAACGCTTTAACCACTAGGCTATCCACCGCACCTCTACTAATATGAAAGAACTCTGGTTGGTTGGTTGGTTGGTTGGTTGGTAGGTTTGTTGTGTGACCCCGCACTCAGCAATATTCCAGCTATATGGCGGTGGTCTGTAAATAATGGAGCCTGGACCAGAATATCCAGTGATCAATCCAATTAACTAATACGAAAGAACTGTGGCCTTGACATAACTATAAAAACATGAAAAATGGGGTGTTCCTTAATATCTGAAATAATCAGTTTAAACTGATGGCTTTAGAAAAATGACGAGGTTTAGTCTTGTCAGAACACAAATGGTCAAACAAAGCCTTCATGATGAGGCTCGTGTTTAAATAACATCACAACACTGAGCTAGACTACAATATTGCCACAAACAGAACTAAGTGCATGACAACACATGCATTTTGAGAATATGGTATTGCTTGAAAACCATGGTAACGTACCTCATTGGAATCCTCTACTTTAGCTTCCTTGTCCTTGCTATCAGATCCCCCAAATAGACCTCCAATGGCGCTCCCTATTTCTGCAAGAAGCACGGTGATTATGTTATAGTAATGTAGTTTGTGTTTTGTTGGAATGTTGTTTAATGCTGCTCTGTCCATCGATACCAATGAAATGCTGGTCCTGGGTTCGAATGCCACATCTGACTTGACTCTTTGTTTGTCAGAGTGAGTGAGTTTAGTTTCATGCCGCACTTAGCAATAGTCCAGCTACAGTGGAAACCGCCTAAGTAAAGACCGCTTAACTAAATAGACCTGATAAGTAAACACTTTTCTTTGGTCCCGGCAAATTTCTTCATTAATTATCACTATTAGAGTCTGGTTAACGAAACTCAGATAAGTAAACAATACCGCTTAACAAAACGTCTCTCACGGTCCCTGGAAGGAAATTACTTAACAAAAGAGACCGGATAACTAAATTAGCGATCACCACATGATCCGACATGAGGGGCACGTGTCACTCTCCAGCTAAACAAACATCCTACTTACTGGCATCATGCAGTTGACAAGACACTGACAACTGGAGGCCATATTACTTACAAATGTTGTCTGTTATTCTGCTGTATACATATACATGCATATGGTTGTCATTGCAGGTTTTTATTAGTTTGGATAAGTAAAATACCTGATAAGTAAACAATTTTGGCAAGTCCCTTGAAATTTTACTTATCAGGTTTCCACTGTATATGGCGGCGGTCCGTAATTAATTGACTCTGGACCAGACAATCATGTGATTTATATCATGAGCATCGATCTACGCAATTGGGATACAATGACATGCGTCAAACAAGTCAGTGAGCCTGACCACCTGATCCCGTTAGTCGCCACTTACGACAAGCATGGGTTACTGAAGGTTCATTCTAACCTGGATCTTCACGGGTTGTCATTGTGCATTACGAGCAGGGAAAAGTGCCGAGATACCAAGATACTGGGTAAATTGTGTTGGGTGTGCAGTGAATTCTGGGTGTTGTGGTGCCGTGTAGTCTTTAGGCGTGGTGGTTGTTATGGGTTTCGTTGTGATGGGTGTTTCGGGTTGTTTGATCTGTAAATCACGTGTGGAGTGAGTGAGTTTAATTTTATGCCGCACTCAGCAATATTCCATCTATATGACGGCGGTCTGTAAATAATCGAGTCTGGGTCAGGCAATCCAGTGATCAACAGGATGAGCATCGAGTTGCGCAATTGGGAACCGATGATATGTGTCAACCAAGTCAGCAAGCCTGACCACCCGATCCCATTAGTCGCCTCTTACGACAAGCATGGGTTACTGAAGGTCAATATTCTAACCCGGACCTTCACGGGTATCGTGTGGACCAGAAAATAGTGCATGTGCTGTTCAGCACTGTTGTGCGATGTGTGGCCTGGCGTGGCGTGGCATGGCGTGGCGTATAACAGTGCTATGTGTTGTGGAATATATTGGTGTAGAGTGCTAGGAGTGTTTGGTCCGTGAAAGACCGGCGTGGCGTGGCATGGCGTGGAGTGGAGTATAACGGTGCTAAGTGTTGTGGAGAATATTGGGTGGAGTACCAGCATGGCGCGGTGTGGCCTGGCGTATAACGGTGCTAAGTGTTGTGGAGTATATTGGTGTACAACAGCATGGAGTGTTTGGTCCATGTAGGACAAGTAACTTACTGGACCAGGCAGACTCGTCTTTCTCCTCAGCAACTTCACCAACTGTCTCAAACACGGACTCGACCTGAAGCCAAGAAGTACATCCTGATCAAAACCGGGACCAAACTCAACATTCCTTCTCCTTGTAAATACAACAGACTTCGGTGTCCATAGAGCTTTAAAATGAAGCAAAATGGCTTCCAGACCAACTCATATGAAGCCACTTTATTTAATGTCTGTACATTTGTTTGATTAAAACATTACCAGAAGTTCTGAAGTCAGGATTGCCTCCCCTTTGAAAGTCATTGTCCAGAAATATTTTCTACTCCATGTTAAAAGGGATATGTTAACCTATCCATGACACACAGAACCGATCCTCATATTATGTCAAGAGCAAATGTCAATATGATAAATCTGATGATCCTTTTTAAGAGATTTTTTGGAGAAAGTATAGATGTGCATTGTGATAGGGACAATGCATCCTCAATAATCTCCAGGGTATATGTTCTGATAAATCTCCACTATACCCTGGATGCATCCTTGGAGGGCTTTATATCCAATCAGGTGTCTACGCTGGGAAGATGAGCGTACCAATCACAACTCACTTTCGCTTCTTAAATTATCTAAATGATTAAACTTGGCAACACTATTTATGCAGAGGTACTCTGAAAGAGGTAGAAGGAGTTCTTGCATATTTCAGACCAAGTTTCAGACCTGTCAATTTGTCTGTATGATTTCCCCCAAAATCTGAGTGGGACTGCTAACAAACCTTCGTGGCTGCGACCGCTATGTTTGTTGACACTGGCAAGCTCGGTTGTAACGGCGGCTTAGCTGATTGGCTACTGTGAGAATGCGGAGCCAGCAAAGGGAGGTAATATAATTATCGGGCGGAACCATGGATGCATCCAGGGTACATGTGGAGATTTGTCATAACATATACGCTGGAGATTATCGAGGATGGGGACAATGCTGCTTTGCCTCACCTTATCTAAGTGGAGAATGCCACTTTCATCCATTCTGAAGTGAGCTTTGATGCCCTTGCTCTCTGCCCCCTCCTTGTGTTTCTGATATGCCTCCTCAATCCCGAGGAGTGACACGTTAGACAGCAGCAGCTGGGGGAACGACCTACACAACAGGAACATATTTATGTAGCGCCTACATAACAGGAACATATTTATGTAGCGCCTACAAAACAGGAACAGATTTCTGTAGCGGCCTACACGTCAGGAACATATTTCTGTAGCGCCCTCCACTATGAACATATTTCTGTAGCGCCCTCCACTATGAACATATTTCTTTAGCGCCTGCACAACAGGAACATATTTCTTTAGCGCCTACACAACAGGAACATATTTCTTTAGTGCCTACAACAAATAGGAACATATTTCTTTAGAAGCCTACACAACAGGAACATATTTCTTTAGCCTACATAACAGGAACATATTCTCTTTAGTGCCTACACAACAGGAACATATTTCTTTAGTGCCTACACAACAGGAACATATTTCTTTAGTGCCTGCACAACAGGAACATATTTCTTTAGTGCCTACACAACAGGAACATATTTCTTTAGTGCCTACACAACAGGAACATATTTCTTTAGTGCCTACACAACAGGAACATATTTCTTTAGTGCCTACACAACAGGAACATATTTCTTTAGTGCCTACACAACAGGAACATATTTCTGTAGCAGCCTACACAACAGGAACATATTTCTTTAGTGCCTACACAACAGGAACATATTTCTTTAGTGCCTACACAACAGGAACATATTTCTTTAGTGCCTACAACAGGAACATATTTCTTTAAAGCCTACACAACAAAAACATATTCTTTAGTGCCTACACAACAGGAACATATTTCAACAGTGCCTACACAACAGGAACATATTTCTTTTAGTGCCTACAAACAGGAACATATTTCTGTAGTGGCCTACAATAACAGGAACATATTTATGTAGTGGCCCTACAGATTTCAGGGCCTACACAACAGGATTTTATTTCTGGCCTGCACAAACAGGAACATATTCTAGTGCTGGCCTACACAAAACAGGAACATATTTCTTTAGTACTGGCCTACAAACAAACAGGAACATATTTCTAGTACTGGCCTACAAAACAGGAACATATTCTAGTGCTGGCCTACACAACAGGAACATATTTCTAGTACTGGCCTGCAATAACAGGAACATATTTCTTTAGTGCCTACACAACAGGAACATATTTCTTTTAGTGCCTACACAACAGGAACATATTTCTTTAGCACCACCACATACAGGAACATATTTTTTGGTGCCTACACAACAGGAACATATTTCTTTAGCCTACACAACAGGAACATATTCTTTTTAGTGCCTACATAACAGGAACATATTCTAGTAGCTGCCTACACAACAGGAACATATTCTGTAGCTGGCAATGCAGGAAATATTTCTGTAGCGGCCTACACAACAGGAACATATTCTAGTACTGGCCTACACAACAGGAACATATTCTAGTAATGGCCTACACAACATTATATTACTGAACACCTATGGCAGTGGTCTAAAAGTTTAAATATTAAGACCCTTTTTGATTTGTTTGGTCCAAATTCTCTTTCTAATTGTTTCATTCATTATTCCTTATAGCAAAGCAATTCCAACATAAAACCCCTGACTACAATTACAGAGAAAGTTGACAGCCTAAAATATGGTGAAATGTGGTCAAAACCTCACTTTTTGTCCAAGTCTGACAGGAAGCTCATATCTCCATATCCCACACTGAAGGAGAAGTCGGAGAAGTGCTTGTTGAAAGTCATCACCTTCTTCTGGGGGTAGGGATTCATCCGGCCAAAGAGAGTACGCTTGACAGTCTTGGATGTCTCACTCCCATCTTCAGAAGTTTGATGCTTTTCGAATTCAACCTGAAGCAATTAATTGAAATTCAACACTGAATGTACAATTTCAAAATTAATTGTCCATTTTGTCCGTAACATAATTGCAGTAAATATATGCAGTGAGTGAGTGACTTGTTTAATGCTACACTCACCAATATTCAAGCTATAGGCAGATCTGTAAATAATCGAGTCTGGGCCAGACAATCCAGTGATCAAGATCATGAGCACTGATCTACGCAGTCGGGATACGATGACTTGTTGAGTGCATGAGTGACTGCGTGAGTGAGTGAGTGAGTGAGTTTAGTTTTATGCCGCACTCAGCAATATTCCAGCTAAATGGCGGCGGTCTGCAAATAATCGAGTCTGGACCAGACAATCCAGTGATCAACAGCATGAGCATCAATCTGCGTAATTGGAACCGATGACATGTGTCAACTAAATCGGCGAGCCTGACCACCCGATACCGTTAGTCGCCTCTTACGACAAGCAAGGGTTACTGGAGATCAATTCTAACCCGGATCTTCACGGGTTGACTGCGTGAGTGAGTGTTAGGTCTTATGAAAAGGCTTTACTTGGTAGGAAAGCACTCAAGAATATTCCAGATTGACCACAGGTGACCCTAATTAATGTGGTGTCTTGACAAGACCAACCAATGATCGACATCATGAACATCGATCTACACAGTTTGGATAGAATGACATTCACAATGGTCACATGTCAACCCTCTTTAGGCCAACCAATTTTATTTCTTGTTTCACGGATCCGCCTGTTGTATTTTTTTCAAGATTAAAAAAAAAATAAAATTAATTTTCCCCGCTCAAAAAATAAAATCCTAATGGTTTTATAGGCCAAAAATGTAAACTTACAAGATAAATGTTTTTAAATGTTTTTTGCCCCATATACACTTCATAAATTGCCAAAAGTAAAATACTTTGAGTATTTAGAAGGAATATTACTTTGACTGGTGATTTTATTTTTATTTTCTTTCCCTCCTGCCTTCAGGTTTTCTGAGGACAAAAATCTGTAAAACAAGAAATAAAATTGGTCTGGCCTTACCAGGATATTACAGAAAGTGAGATACTGACAGCCTGTTGTTCCGTCTGACGACACTCACCACAATTGGGTAGATGTTGCCCTCCTTTACGGTGAAGGTCTTGACCTTGAAGCCCTTGCCAAGGTAGGCAGCTTGGTATACAGCTCCCATGGCTGCAGACTCGTCAGTGTTGATGCTCTTTTCCTAGCTCCGAACTGGAACATGTACCGAATGAGTGAGTGAGAGTGATTTTATGCCACTTTTTCCCTATCATTAACATCATGGCAGGGTGACACCAGAAATCGGCTTCACACACTGTGCCCATGTGGGGATTCTATCCAGGGTCCTCGGCAAGGCAAGAACGAATGCTTAAACCACTTAACTACTACAGTGATTGGGTGAGTCAGCTAGTGAGTAAGTGAGGTTTTACGCTGCTTTTGGCAATATCCTAGCTATATCACGACAGGGGACACAATATACACATATAGAGAATAGAGCCCAGATCTTCGGCAGGATGACTGAACTTGTTACAACCAGGACAGGAGACCAGCTCTAAGCCATGTAGAAAAAGGACGCACCTCTTCAGGAACGTCATCAGCCCCTCCTGCACCTTCGGCATCCTGGTCGCTGCTCCCATGAGGATAACCTCGCTGATCTCACCCTGCAACAAGGATCATAGTGTTGTATTTTGCTCTAAAGTGAGCAATTTGGAGTGAGTGAGTGAGTTTAGTGTTATGCCGCTTTTAGCTATATTCCAGCAATATCATGGTGGTGGTGGAATTGGGTTTAACGTCGTGCTTGAGAATATTTCGCTCATATGACGACGTGCATGCGTGTGTATGTGTATGTGCGGCTGCTTGTACTAGCCCAGACTTAAGCTGGTTTTATAGTGCTAGCCCACTGAGATACCATGCCGCAGTGAAGCATGAATTCCCCACTCAGACACATTATACTGACTCCGAGCTGACCAGTCCTTGTTGTACCCATTAATGCCGAGCGCCAGACAGGGACCAACAAGTACCATATTTTAACGTCTTTTGGTATGACGCGGTCAGGGATCGAACCCGCGACCTTCCGCACTCCAGGCGGACGCTTCTAACCACTACACCACGGAGGCGGTCAGCAATATCATGGCAAGGGACACCAGATATGGGCTTCACATATTGTTCCCATGTGGGGAATCTAACTTTTCTGTTTGCAAAACTTTCCCTCATTGACAACAGCCTTCAAAATGCAACAACTGATCTCTAAGTGTGACGAATTGTGCAACATTTCAGTGTTGAAGAATTCAGCCTTTCACTGCCGCATCTATTTGTTCTTTAATATTCTCTAAGATTATTTTTGTTTTTCCCTAATATGTCAGTGTTGGTGTTACAGCCATTTGTTTCTTCCTCACTATTCTTACGGCCAGGCTAGAAAGAATTTCATAAATAAAAACAAGCATTTGTTGTTTCCCAGAGTTTTGATGTCTCCTAAATTTTTAACACAAGGACCCAAATGTGCTGGAACATTCAATTCTAACATATGTTATATTTGGGATTACACTTTCTTAGTAAAGTAAAGATTCTAGTACTTTTGTTGGGTTGAGTCCCACTTGGGATTCGAACCCACACTTTCAGAGTGCCAATTTACACTTATCAGAGGGGTACACAAAGTCCGCAGTCTAGACTACCAGTTGTCCGACTTTATTCTTGTGGAAGTTGTGGTGGCTGAGTGGGTTAGACAGCTGACTTTGTGTGCTGGCGATTAGGTGCCCGACTCTGAGGGTGTGGGTTCGAATGGCATTGTGTAATCATAACATTCAATTCCTACACTCACAACCACTGGAACCTGTGGTAATGATAACATGCGACCATCAGTTGTGTGACTAAGTACGGCATGAAAAAACTTTTGACATACCAGAGTTATCTCAGAGGCATGGAGGGCGTCCTCTATTGGTTTGATGACTCGAGGGAAGACATCCTTACACAGCTCCTCCAGTTCTTCTCTCGTCACCTTGGCCCTGAAGTCTTGCTCATCCAGCAGACCCTCGATCTGGAAACATTGGAAGACGATGTTAACAGTGTCAGTAGACGATGTAAACAGTGTCAGTAGACGATGTAAACAGTGTCAGTAGACGATGTAAACAGTGTCAGTAGACGATGTAAACAGTGTCAGTAGACGATGTAAACAGTGTCAGTAGACGATGTAACAGTGTCAGTAGACGATGTAAACAGTGTCAGTAGACTATGTAAACAGTGTCAGTAGACGATGTAAACAGTGTCAGTAGACGATGTAAACAGTGTCAGTAGACGATGTAAACAGTGTCAGTAGACGATGTAACCAGTGTCAGTAGACGATGTAAACAGTGTCAGTAGATGATGTAAACAGTGTCAGTAGGCGAAGTAAAGCAGTGTGTGGTAGACCAAGTAAACAGTGTCGAGTAAACAGTCAGTGTCGAGTAAACATGGTGTCAGTAGATGATGTAAACAGTGTCAGTAGATGATGTAAACAGTGTCAGTAGATGATGTAAACAGTGTCAGTAGATCGATGTAAACAGTGTCAGTAGATGATGTAAACAGTGTCAGTAGATGATGTAAACAGTGTCAGTAGATGATGTAAACAGTGTCAGTAGATGAAGTAAACAGTGTCAGTAGATCAATGTAAACAGTGTCAGTAGATGATGTAAACAGTGTCAGTAGATGATGTAAACAGTGTCAGTAGACGATGTAAACTGTCAGTAGATGAAGTAAACAGTCTCAGTAGATGAAGTAAACAGTGTCAGGAGATGAAGTAAACAGTGTCAGTAGACGATGTATACAGTGTCAGTAGATGATGTAAACAGTGTCAGTAGATGAAGTAAACAGTGTCAGTAGATGATGTAAACAGTCTCAGCAGACGATGTAAACAGTGTCAGCAGACGATGTAAACAGTGTCGGTAGATGAAGTAAACAGTGTCAGTAGATGAAGTAAACAGTGTCGGTAGATGATGTAAACAGTGTCGGTAGATGATGTAAACAGTGTCTGTAGACAATGTAAACAGTGTCAGTAGACGGTGTAAACAGTGTCGGTAGATGAAGTAAACAGTGTCAGTAGATGAAGTAAACAGTGTCGGTAGATGATGTAAACAGTGTCGGTAGATGATGTAAACAGTGTCCGTAGACGATGTAAACTGTCAGTAGATGAAGTAAACAGTCTCTGTAGATGAAGTAAACAGTGTCAGTAGATGATGTAAACAGTGTCAGTAGACGATGTAAACAGTGTCAGCAGACGATGTAAACAGTCTCAGTAGATGAAGTAAACAGTGTCAGTAGATGAAGTAAACAGTGTCAGTAGATGATGTAAACAGTGTCAGTAGACGATGTAACCTGTCAGTAGATGAAGTAAACAGTGTCAGTAGATGAAGTAAACAGTGTCAGTAGATGATGTAAACAGTGTCAGTAGACGATGTAAACAGTGTCAGTAGACGATGTAAACAGTGTCGGTAGATGATGTAAACAGTGTCAGTAGATGAAGTAAACAGTGTCGGTAGATGATGTAAACAGTGTCGGTAGATGATGTAAACAGTGTCCGTAGACGATGTAAACAGTGTCAGTAGACGATGTAAACAGTGTCGGTGGAGATGATGTAAACAGTGTCAGTAGATGATGTAAACAGTGTCGGTAGATGATGTAAAACAGTGTCGGTAGATGATGTAAACAGTGTCAGTAAAGACGATGTAAACGGTGTCAGTAGATGAAGTAAACAGTCTCAGTAGATGATGTGTAAAACAGTGTCAGTGATGATGTAAACAGTGTCAGTAGACGATGTAAACAGTGTCAGCAGACGATGTAAACAGTGTCAGTAGATGAAGTAAACAGTGTCGGTAGATGAAGTAAACAGTGTCAGTAGATGATGTAAACAGTGTCAGTAGACGATGTAAACTGTCAGTAGATGAAGTAAACAGTCTCAGTAGATGAAGTAAACAGTGTCAGTAGATGATGTAAACAGTGTCAGTAGACGATGTAAACAGTGTCAGTAGATGAAGTAAACAGTGTCAGTAGATGATGTAAACAGTGTCGGTAGATGATGTAAACAGTGTCGGTAGATGATGTAAACAGTGTCGGTAGATGATGTAAACAGTGTCAGTAGATGATGTAAACAGTTTCAGTAGATGATGTAAACACTGTCAGTAGATGATGTAAACAGTGTCAGTAGACAAAGTAAACAGTGTCAGTAGACCATGTAAACAGTGTCAGTAGATGAAGTAAACAGTGTCGGTAGATGATGTAAACAGTGTCAGTAGACCATGTAAACATTGTCAGTAGATGATGTAAACAATGTCAGTTGACGATGTAAACAGTGTCAGTAGACCATGTAAACAGTGTCAGTAGATGATGAAAAACAATGTCAGTAGACTGTGACAACAATGTCAACCAACCTGGGCAAAAGTGATCTTGGTTAGCACTCAGGACTTGCTTCACACGATCAGCTTCTTTCAGCAGTTTGGCCATGGATCTTTCGTTCTTGAAGACATCATTCTTTGTCTTCTTCTGCTCATTGAACAACTTGGCGAGATGGTTCCGCAGTCTCAGTGTCACATCCAGGCCACCCAGAGTCCGGTCAAACCTGAAGAAATGGTGTAATTGATACCCTGAAAACAGCTGATGGGAACTATTCTAACCCCAGTCTCAATGAATCTGTCTAACAATAGAATGTTTGGACCAATTCTAACCCCAGTCTCAATTAATGTGTCTAACAATAGAATGTTTGGACCAGTTCTAACCCCAGTCCCAATTAATGTGTCTAACAATAGAATGTTTGGACCAGGTCTAACCCCAGTCTCAATTAATGTGTCTAACAATAGAATGTTTGGACCAGTTCTAACCCCAGTCCCAATTAATGTGTCTAACAATAGAATGTTTGGACCAGTTCTAACCCCAGTCCCAATTAATGTGTTTAACAATAGAATGTTTGGACCAGTTCTAACCCCAGTCCCACCCAATTAATGTGTCTAACAATAGAATGTTTGGTTCTACACCCCCAGTGAGTCTCAGGTTTCTAACCCCAGTCCCACCCAATTAATGTGTCTAACAATAGAATGTTTGGACCAGGTCTAACCCCAGTCCCACCCAATTAATGTGTCTAACAATAGAATGTTTGGACCAGGTCTAACCCCAGTCCCACCCAATTAATGTGTCTAACAATAGAATGTTTGGACCAGTTCTAACCCCAGTCCCACCCAATTAATGTGTCTAACAATAGAATGTTTGGACCAATTCTAACCCCAGTCTCAATTAATGTGTCTAACAATAGAATGTTTGGACCAATTCTAACCCCAGTCTCAATGAATGTGTCTAACAATAGAATGTTTGGACCAGTTCTAACCCCAGTCCCAATAAAAGTCTAACAATGAAGTTTGGGGGACTTTTCTGATTCAAGTCCCAATGGGTGACAATCAGTGGAGTGGTTGGACCTCCTCCAATGTGACTTCATTTATCTGACAACCAGTAGAGAGACTTACTCAGAGTCACATTACGTGACAAGAACCAGAGTGTTGGGACCTCTTCTACCCTAACACTCATTAGGGAAGAGCCGGCCTTGTGACAAAGCTAATAAGTGGATACCGTTTTACATCACCTTCATCAATATTTCACTTATATCCCAGTGGGGGACATTAGAAATGTGCTTCACACATTGCAAGCATGTGGGGAATCAAACCTAGGTCTTCAGCGTGATGAGCAATGATTAAACCACTTGCCTACCCGACCACACCTTAATCAGTGTATGAAATAAGGCCCATCCGACGCCTGGAAATGGTCCAGATTTCTGACGGACGGTCTAAATTTACAGCTAGCCAGCCCAATTGTCTGGTAATTTTTTTTAGATGTTCCATACATCTGAGTAAATTCACCATATTTGGTCTGGTAAAATCCATTTTTGGGCTGGTAACATTTTGAAGTTACCAGCCCTGATGTCTGGCTGGATTTTTGGCTTATTTCATACACTGCCTCGATGCTGTAATTATCTGAAAGTATTTCTTACCCAACACCCTTGATGACAACTTGAGGGTTCGTCTCCACTCTGGTACCTTCCTTCTTCTTGACAACTTGGTAGCCTGGAGACATCAACAATAGGTCCTTCAAGAACAAGTCTTTCTTTGTCGTTGTTTAATGCTGCACTTAGCAATATTCCAACTATACTATTCACACTTTGCTAAGGGTCAAATCATGGATTCAACAGAAACCTATGATGTGGGGTCAAATTTGGTTTAAATATCTAAGCTTATTGTAAGAATGGATCCTAGGTTTCAGTATGTCATTTCATCTTGTGGATCCCATACCTGCTATTGACAGGTGTTGTGTACTTGTCAATGACTTGTTCAATGATTTGCAAAATGGTTCATTGGTGCCATGAAAACCATTTTTATGGCTACTCATGTATCAAGTGGTTAGATTAAAGTGACTGTTTGTCTAAAGAGGGTTTCCATATTATTATCTATCCAGTTATAAATGGATACAATTCAAATTATATATCTACATTTAAGTAAAGTTGTGATTTTTCGTGATCCTTAGCAAAGTGTGAGTGGTATATATGGTTACAATCTTTGGTGAGGTGAGGTGAGGTGAAATTGGGTTTAAAGTCGTGCGTGAGAATATTTCGCTCATATGACGACGTGCATGCGTGTGGATGTGTATGTGCGGCTGCTTGTACTAGCCCAGACTTAAGCTGGTTTTATAGTGCTAGCCCACTGAGATACCATGCCGCAGTGAAGCATGAATACCCCACTCAGACACATTTTACTGACTCCGTGCCGACCAGTCCTTCTTGTACCCATTAATGCCGAGCGCCAGGCAGGGACCAACAAGTACCATATTTTAACGTCTTTTGGTATGATGCGGTCGGGGATCGAACCCGGGACCTTCCGCTCTCCGGACCACGGAGGCGGTACACACAATCTTTGGTTTTGTCTACAGTGTAGAGTGACTCACCTACAACGGTGGCAACGGTACTGGTGGCGCCCATGTCGTAGAAGATGTAGTACTGCATGGTGGAGTTGAAGTTCTTCCTCCTGAACACACCGTAGTTCAAAGCCACTGTGGAGACAAACATTGATGTTTAGGTTACGTTTCATGATGTTGACAAACATAATAGAGGCTTCCAAGGCTTAACGCTGCATTGGACAGCATTTTAGTTTTATCTTGTTGGACAAGGGAGAAATCAGGTCGGATGTGGCATTCAAACCCAGGACATTTCACTGGAATCAATAGACAGATCAAATTAAGGGAAAGGTGAGGTGAAACTGGGTTTAACATCGTGCTTGAGAATATTTCGCTCATATGACGATGTGCATGCGTGTGTATGTGTATGTGCGGCTGCTTGTACTAGCCCAGACTTAAGCTGGTTTTATAGTGCTAGCCCACTGAGATACCATGCCGCAGTGAAGCATGAATACCCCACTCAGACACATTATACTGACTCCAAGCCGACCAGTCCTTGATGTACCCATTAATGCCAAGCGCCAGGCAGGGACCAACAAGTACCATATTTTAATGTCTTTTGGTATGACGCGGTCGGGGATCGAACCCGCGACCTTCCGCTCTCCGGGCGGACGCTCTAACCACTACACCACGGGGGCGGTCAATTAAGGGAAAGCTAGAAAGAAGCACCAACATACCAGCTGCATTGTCACTCATCAACTGCAGAACGTTGAGTCCGATCATCTCAGCCGAGCTCTTGATGGCGCGTCTCTCGGCCTGGTTGAAGTATGCCGGCACGGTGATGACGGCATCCTTGATAGGGTGGTCTGCAGGGGAGAAATTAATTAGAAACATGACTCCCAGATCGGCTGCGAATATGCACAAAATTGATCACCACTTCTAATTTGTACTGAGTTGCTCATGTACAAATTTGGGAGAAAAATGTTCAATTTCAAAACATGGCTACCAGATTGGCTGTGAATGTGCACAAAATGCACACAAATGATCACCACTTCAGAATCTAAATTAGCTGCTTGTTGATATATATGGGGGGAAAATGTTTGTGTAACATCAAATCTGAGTAGTGAGCAACATCCGTAGCTATCTGACCAATAAAGCTCAGTCAGTCGGTGGTGTACCTGAACTTAGCAGGGTGTGGTTGTCCAAATATTTAAAAACAAATGAATACTGCTGCAATAGATATCCTGACCCCACCCCCACTTACCTCCGAACTCCTCAGCATATTCCCGAGCAGATTCCAGGATCATAGCTAGCAGCTCTTCTGGAGTATATGTCGTCTCCCCACTGAAATACACAGCCATGGTATTAGTGCTGGGTCTACATACCATAGCATACCACACTTCATACCACTGAAATACACAGCCATGGCATTAGTGCTGGGTCTACATACCATAGCATACCACACTTCATACCACTGAAATACACAGCCATTCATACCACACATACCAAATACACATGCCATGGTATTAGTGCTGGGTCTACATACCATAGTATACCACACTTCATACCACTGAAATACACAGCCATGGTATTAGTGCTGGGTCTACATACCATAGCATACCACACTTCATACCACTGAAATACACAGCCATGGTATTAGTGCTGGGTCTACATACCATAGCATATCACACTTCATACCACTGAAATACACAGCCATGGTATGGTGCTGGGTCTACATACCATAGCATACAGCATACCACTGAAAGAAATACACTGCCATTGCCATGCTGGGGTCTAGAGACATACCATAGCATACCTCTGCATACTAGTGGTGGTCCGATTAATTGAAATAACACTAAGCGACCAAGCAAATCGATCATAATTTCTCATAATCGAACACAAACAATTCTGGAACACTTGTTTTCATTAACAATATTTTTCACATGGTTGGTTTTGTCTGTTATATTTTTGAAGCACTACAAGCTCGTTTCAAGTCACGATTGAATTTATCTTAAAGATTCCAAGAAATTTATGTTCCTAACATACTAGTCATCCTTTAAAGATATGAATTTTGCCCAAAAAACCCAAAAGAAGTACATGGGTTTTTTTCCTTATTTTTATGTGCATTAACAAATTTCATAAATGATGCTAACCAATTATTTTCGATGATTGATCGGTAGTAATGAACCAATCATCAATTATGAGATTTTAACCAATTCCCAACACTACTGCATACCATACCACACAGCATATAGCATACAAACAGCGTACCACACAGCATATAGCATACGAACACAGCATACCATGACCTCAACTACTCTAATATCTTTCTGGCTTGTGTAAATGAAACATAGGTAACCTAACTTCATTTTCTATCACGTTAGAGTAATTGAGCTTTTAAATATGAAAGTTGAACTAAAATGGTCAGTAGACAGATGTCAGATATTAACAGCAACCATGGTTCTCCTATTATATGAAAATCTGAATCCCAGAACTTGTTCCACAAAGCAAAATACATAATATAACAAAAGCTGAGGATAGTCTTACCTAAGAGAACTTTGAGGAACTTGGAGAGTATCTTTTCTCTCTTAGCCATCTTAGCGGTAAGATGATTGTAATTTCCATACTTTAATTTAATCTCACTATAGTCATACTAAGACAACATTGGGGAACGGGAGATCAAATGAATCTTGGATACGGAAGCCAGGACGTTATTACGCCAAAGATAATCAGTAAGAGGCTTCAACTCACTCTTCTGTTCTGAACAGAACTGTTCCCCTCTCCTCGTCTTTCACCAAATCATAGAATGGGAAGCGTTCCCTGTACAGCTGAACCTGGGGGTCGTCAAAATGTCGACCAATGACGTGTGTCAAATACCAGAAAGCTTTGAGGGGAAATCGGACAGACTGAAACATCATCAACATGTACACATATAACTTCTCAAAGTAAACGGTGAGTGAGTGAGGTTAGTTTTATGCTGCTTTTAGCAATACTCCAGCAATATCACGACTGGGGACACCAGAAATGGGCTTCCTACATCGTACCCATGTGGGAATTCGAACCCAGGGCTTTAGCGTGACAAGCAAATGCTTCAACCAATAGGATACCCCACCGCCCCTATTCATGATGACTTGGAGCAGTGACTACTCTCCGAAACTTGAGTTTTCTATTTGTTCATGGAATAAAAAATATTTCAAAAGATCAAGAAAAAAGTAGCCACAGACGAAATTCTCAGGAGTCAAATTGACGAGGATCCAATGACTTAGCGACCAACGCTGCATAACTAAATCCTATGTGACCTGAACTGAGCACTGATACATAAATGTGAGACATGATTTGTGACAACGTCTCACCGTAGTGTATGCCTGGTTGGCAAACTGTCTCTCTCCGTCCCGGAATGCCACCATTGTACGAGTTTTGCGACTAGATTCCCTGTTTGTGACGATCTCCATGGGAACACCAGGCTAGAAAATATGATGGCAGCTAACGTGATTTGGATTTTAATTGACCTGACGGAAATTTAAGCATTTAAGTTGTGATGAAAAGTTTGATAATTCATGCTTCATGTATATTTCTGAAATGTATTGTAGAATTGCTACACAGATGATTTAGAAAACTTGGTTAAAACATAAATCGCCAAAACTGTACAGTATGAGATATATTTGCTTACATGGTTAAAGAATTAAAGAATGCCTGGTGTTTTATACAACCCGACAGCCATTGCTCCAGTGACAGTAATGACAGGCCAAATGCTGACAATGGGAGTCTCGACTTATGTGCTGTCTCTTAAAAAACTGGGCTTGAGTATGGCAGACTTGGTTGACACATGTCATTGTATCCCTGATGTGTAGATCGATGTTCATGCTCTTCATCACTGGATTGTCAACTCACCTTTACAATGGCTATCTTCATGAACTCAGCACCAAGATCAATGGACATAACAGCCACACCCGCTGAAAATATAACACAGAGAAATACAGGTACATGGTACCAGACAGAATATGGTGAAATGTCACCAGAGAAATTCCAGGTAAAAGTCTGACAAAATACATGTAAATATCACTAGGCAAAATACGGGCAACGTCACCAGACAAAATAAACGCATGTGGAATAACACGAATTACAGGTAAGCACTGACACCTGGATCACATTTGCCATGGGCGTTGTATGAAAAGTAGTCTACAATTTTCGGTACGATATTTAGGCATCATGGGTGACGGGGGCTATAGACATAGTGTGATTTCCTTGGGGACAGGCTGAGGCAAACCTGCATGGAGGCTGCACAAAAATCGTACAGAGCCTGTGCGACGTCCGTGTGGAGGCTGAGCGGAGATCGGTTTACCATGTACTTGGACCTCCTTCATGAACTGAGACAAATGATGGAACTGCTAGGGATTGCTACTGTATAACCCAGGGTAAAAATGGTTGGTCCATCGCAAGGCTGTCGCACGGACATCATGTGGCTGCCATGGGATGACCGCACAATGTCCGTTCCATTTCGTGGACACCGTGCGATGGCCATGCGGATATCCCATGATCACCGTATGATTGTTTGGAGCTAAGAAATCGTGTGTTTACCGCATGACATTCGTATCAACACCACACACCTATGGACAACAGGAGTTTTTCAAATTGTCAAACTTTGCTGTTTGACAAAATCGTAGAGGCTACAGCACCCGTAGAATTGTGAGATGATTGTACATGTGGCGCCTGGCGGTGCCTGGGAACTGCACGGAAATGGAGTTACGGGCAGTGATCGGGTGCCTCTGTTTCATAAATCAATTGGGATCAGTTGTATTCGACATAAAACTATATATTTGTTTTGATTTTGAGCGTTTACACTATCGATAAACAAACGATCAAACCGAAAGCATGTCAGGTGAGGTGAGGTGAAATTGGGTTTAACGTCGTACTTGAGAATATTTCGCTCATATGACGACGTGCAAGCGTGTGGATGTGTATGTGTGGCTGCTTGTACTAGCCCAGACTTAAGCTGGTTCATAGTGCTAGCTCACTGAGATACCATGCCTCAGTGAAGCATGAATACCCCACTCAGACACATTATACTGACTCCGAGCCGACCAGTCCTTGTTGTACCCATTAATGCCGAGCGACAGGCAGGGACCAAGTACCATATTTTAACGTCTTTTGGTATGACGCGATCAGGGATCGAACCACGCAACCTTCCACTCTATGGGCGGACGCTCTAACCACTACACCACGGAGGCGGTCTGGAAGCATGTCAGTGGATATTTTTCATATGCTCTGCACATGCGCGACAGTGAGTTGAAAAGTAATTTGAAACCAATGAATGTAGTTCAGGGACAGTGAGACATTCTATCTATCCTAATTGCAAAGATCCACGCTTATCATCACTATATTGTCTGCCCATGATTTGAATACGTAAGGACCACCATCTTACAGCTGGAATATTGCTGAATTCAGAGTTGAACCACAAACAAAGAAAACTAATCTGGCTACCCATATTGATTTGGGGCAGCCATGATGTGGAATGTTTACAACCAACCTGTTGCTAAACACAAAGGAAGTCGGATTCAGCTTGTTTGGGAAGAGCTGATCGTCCCTTACATAAGCATAAATACTATCATAATAAGCATAAATACTATCATTATCAATATGTTAAAACCTTTTTTTCTGCTGTGGGGGTGGAATATTACCTGTAAGTCCGAGAAAGCTGCACAGCACAGCACCAAGTACTGTATAACTCATCATCATGTTCTGGAACAGAAACAATCACTATTATCAAAGAGTTTGCTCTCGTCATTAATGAGCATTACATCATGAAACTGAAATTATATCAAAATGAATTTGAAATATTTATATCATAAATATAAAATAAATTACTAGTCATCAATTATACTGTATGCAGTGAATTCTGTGTATTTCAACATTGTCTGATTACATCAGTACGTAATTCACAACTTGAAATTGATCACTTCATCTGAAGTCTGTAATATGACGAATGATAACTATACAAATGAACCAATAATTCACATGTTATATACTTTGAAAATATGAATTATGATAACAGTCTATGTTGTACATCCATAAGCTTAGTTCCAATCTATCAATACATTTCGCACGTTCGGTTATTTTTTCGCAACATAAGAAAATATTCGATAGGTACAGTGTAATAGATTTCGTTGGAACAAGAGTGAAAAACATTTCAAAATCAATCGATATTAACAGATGTCTGTATTCATACAGATATTTCGAGAACGTCAAACGAAACACGTTGTACCCACGTGGAGTCTGGTATTGCCGATATACACGTGGAATCAAAATGGTTCATGTACGTATGGGGATGAAAGAAATGACTTACCGGTTCTCTCGAGCGTTATTGTTTATACTTCCCTCATACAAGCTGTTTTCGGGAAATTTAAGTCTCTTTACTAACTCTCACAGTCAGCCGGCTGATCGGGCTGTCAGGAGTTGCGAATGTGGCGATTTCTGATTGGTGGAATTATTACTTCCGGAACCGGTTTGGGTAACCACACGTACACTTCCGGTGTGTTCAATCAAGCGGAGATAATTGGATATAAAGATCTACTGGATATATTGAGGCTGATGCAATTGAAACAAGCTACTTTCGTGTCAGATTCTGATTAAATTTGATTCCGGCGATAATATCTTGACGACTTTTGAGCCTGGAGATATACTCGTTTACATTCAAGATAGTTGACAGATATTTGTTAGGTAAAAACGAGTGTGACACATGTAGATCTAGAGAGATGTATATTGACACTAGTACTGGAGTTCATTTAAGATTCTAATTTGGAAATTTGCATTTAAAATCTATCGTCAGGCTTTCAGCTGATATTCATGAATAACTATTAAAATATTTGGTTTGGCTGTGGATCACGAATATCGGGGTCGTTGTCGGTACGGGTACTACAGATCGATATGTACCCAAGATACGTTTCTGTACACAATACCCTTGCAAAATTCAGAATACAGAGACGTACCCTAGGACGAATCCATTCCGCATTGTGCCGTTTTCTTGATCGGAACTGTTAAAGTGCTGAATGAGATGCAGTAGACTGCGCTATGTAAGAAACGAGCGCATATACAGTAACAAATATTTCGCGATGCACAACACCGCTCGCAATCAGTTGAACGGGAACAACAACATTCGGTCGGTTGCGGAATATGGACTCGTTCGCCGTTTAAGTTACCGGGTACGTTTCTGTACTCTAATTAGGATTCATTTCTATATACAGAAGCGTACCTGGTGTACATATCTGTCGTACCTGTGCCGACAACGCCCCCTTCAGCGTAAATGAAAAAATGAAATTGTCATTAGTTGAATAATCGCATATATGCCTGTTTTGTTCGACTTGCAGCCCTGTCGGTGGGGTAGTCTAGTGGTTAAAGCGTTCGCTCGGCACGCCGAGAACCCGAGTTTGATTCCCCACATGGGTACAATTTGTGGGCCCATTTCTGGTGTACCCGCCATGATGACTGGAATATTGCTTATAACGAGGCGTAGATCCAAACTCACTCACTCATTCGTCTTGCAGTCGCACAAACTGTTTCCTTACATGGCATTTCTAGTAGAAATTCTCAAGGTCGTATAATGACCACACGGTTACTGCAGTGATTCGGGTGTCAGGATTTGCCCATGTTATTGTTAAACTGTCTCGTTAACATTCGACTGTTTACAGGGTCCCGGTACAATGTGTGAAGCCCATTTCTGGTGTCCCCCGCCGTAATATCGCTGGAATATTGCTAAAAGCGGTGTAAAACTAAACTCACTCTAATAAAGTAAACCTTTAAGAAAATATTTCATGTCATTTGCACTTTTACATGGTTGATCAAAAATGTTGTACAGAATGAGGTGAAATTGGGTTTAACGTCGTGCTTCAGAATATTTCGCTCATATGACGACGTGCATGCGTGTGTATGTGTATGTGCGGCTGCTTGTACTAGCCCAGACTGAAGCTGGTTTTATAGTGCTAGCCCACTGAGATACCATGCACAGTGAAGCATGAATACCCCACTCAGACACATTATACTGACTCCGAGCCGACCAGTCCTTGTTGTACCCATTAATGCCGAGCGCCAGGCAGGGACCAACAAGTACCATATTGTCTTTTGGTATGACGTGGTCGGGGATCGAACCCGCGACCTTCCGCTCTCCGGGCGGACGCTCTAACCACTACACCAAGGAGGCGGTCTTTACAGAATGATAACTCAATAGCCTCTGTGAACAATTTCGACCGTGAATGTAACACGCACACGATTTGAAAAATGTTCTTGTAGGTTTAAATTCGTTATTGTCAGAATACGAAATCACCTAAACTCTCGAACCCGTGACGGGTACAATCCGGGGGTTCAGCCACTCTCCTACCCAGAGTTCCATGCGGCAAGCCAGCATAGTATCTCTGCCACAGGCCAGAAAAATGTGACGATTCGTCACATCTTGCACCGCCCATTCAATATAATTTACATATTTCTCAACTCTTTTATTTTTGACGAGTCTACTCAACTAATTAAACATCTTTGATAGAATGGTTTAGTTTCATTGAGAAAATATCCTAAAACATGTTACACTATTTCGATTTGCGTAGCGATCCTTTGTTTACATAGGTTGTACGGCTCCACGTGCTGTCATCGAAGCTGATGGAGAGCAAACGATGCAGCCAGTTTGATATCTAAATATGTACTGTCATAGACCTTACTGTCGCAGTTGTGGAAGAATATATATGTAACAATGTAAAACATTATGAAGAGAGCGCCGAAAACCTTTCGTGAGTCCAGTCTCTTCTTATTATGAATATGCGCGTTTGATTACAAACAAGAGAAAAGTCCGGTCACGTGATATGCAAATTAGCCTGTGGCAGTGATGTTATGTTAAGTCATCGCTGTGCCGGAGTGTGGGGTTCAGCCAGCCGTACATGATGCCATTTTGAAATGACTCCAAGTAGTTTTGTTCCCCACAGTATTCTAGCTATGAGTTAGCTGTCTGTAAATGATCGGTCTAAGCCAGAATTTCCAGTGATCGATATAATGAGCACAGATCCGACCCGTGGGTCTTCACGCATTGTCAACAAAGTCACTAAACCTGACGACGATCCAATTGGTGTCCAATCACGACCAGCCTCGGACCTAAATATTAGGTCCTCAAGATGTAACGAACCTAAATATTTAGGTCCTTGGACCAGTGTTGCCTGGGGACTTTTCTAACCCGGAAGTCTCGCGGGTGTGTCTAAGATACAAGCGTGACAGAAAAACATTCAACCCGGCGCGGTTGCCTGTGGTTTCACTAATCGACTCACCTTATTTTATTAGGTTTACATTTTCGATTGCCCTTGGGCCCCGGTAGTCGGAACTGAGAGGCAACTCCCCGTTATTACGCGACTGTGAAGATCCGGGTTAGAATTTGTTTTCAACAACCCATGCTTGTCGTAAGAGGCGACTAACGAGATAGGGTGGTCAGTCTTGCTGAATTTGTTTACACATGCCATCGTATCCTAATTGCGCAGATCGATGCTCATATTGTTGATCACTGGATTGTCTGGTCCAGACTCGATTATATACAGACCGGCACCATATAGCTGGAACATTCTGAATGCGGCGTTAAGCAACAACAAAATCAACCCCGTTATAACGCGAGTGTGCCTATCTGTTGCATCAACTTCAAATGTGTACAGGTTTGAGTACATAAATGTAAATACACACCGCTCCCACTAACCAAACCTGCTCTCAGTTGATCTGTATTCAGCCAAGAGATTTCAGCAATGGCCTCGAAAAATATCGTCGACTTCAGACGTTAGGCAGGAACCAGACGACAAATAATGCACTTCCTATATTCTGATGTGCACACGTCACACTAAATCGTCTTAACACGACCCTCGTGCGAATTCCGGGTCAGAATAGGCCGTGAACCTGTGCTGGTCGCAAGTGCCGAGCGAAGGGTATTGGATGGTCAGGCCTGGTGCTCTTGTTGATTGGGTGGTAGTACCGACAGTGTGCATCGGTGCTCACAATGTCAGTCATTGCAATGCGCATTATTAACAGGCCGCTGAAATAAGATTTTAACAAAATGGCTGAGTGTTGCTTTAAAAACAGAGAAATACACACATTTCCCATCAAACGTTTAAACTAAAGACTGAGTGAAAGGTCTTCACGCCGCTTTAGTAGGATTACAGCAACATCACGGCTGGGGTTCACACATTGTGGGGAATCGAACCCGGATCTCCAGCGTGACGAGCAACGCTTTAACCACTGGGCTACCCCATCTCCTATTAGATACTGAACGACCCTGAAGATCCGGGTTTTGATCTTCAGAAGCCCATGCTTGTAAGAGGCGACTAACGAGATAGGGTGGTCAGGCTCGCTGACTTCGTTGACACATGCCATCGTATCCCAGCGTAGATCGATGCTCATGCTGTTGATCACTGGATTGTCTGGTCCAGACTCGATTATTTCAAATCACACCCATATAACTGGAATATTGCTGAGTGCGGCGTGCCTCACAACCGTCAACACTGCAAAGATCACAGACCTAGGTCGTCACTCACGTTCAGTGCACTGAACATGTTTCACCAGTTCTGGAAGTACGCAACAGGTTATATTTACAATTCAAAGAAGAAACTGAAGTCACGATTCTACTGCAATCTCACGACTTTGCCACCATCGATTACGAAGACATCATCACATATTCCGGTTTTGAGATTAGAAACTTGATAATCAAGCAAGGAGACATTGAGATTATCCGACACGCTGTATAATCTGACATTTTTTCCTGGTCCCAGTGAGTGCCGGATTATACAGCTTCCACTGTATATGGATGACACATATATGTGCAACTGCATCCGCTGCGAAGTTTGCACTTACTTCCCGTAAAGATGATGAGATATATATTTACCACTACTAGGGTTTACCTCCCTCGAAAATATTCCAGTTACAATGTATGGTACTGCTTGAAAAGTATTCAAGCAAGGAGACATTGAATTATCCGACACGCTGTATGTCTGTCCAACATTTTTCCTGGTCCCAGTGAGTTTTGTGCCGGATTATACAGCAGTGATCCAGTTGTGTATTGAATATTGTCATTAGGTGTCAATGACATTATATGTCTCCAGTACACAAGCATCAAGCTTTCAGATTATATGTTTATTTACTGTCATAACATATAAAAAACCATATCAACAAAACTATGAAAATTCACCGAAGCCTTCACCGAGTATTGACAGATAGGCCTACTAGTATTTATTTTTGGGGAAAATTAGTGAGTTTATGCGTTTTTTTTCATTTCAACGATGCTTTTTTCGGTAACATACCGAAAGGTATCATCTGCAATGTGTTATACGTTGCATGTGACCTTAAAGGAAACCAGGGGATCATTATCCAGTTGACAGATAAACTTTATTTTTGGAGTGAGTATGGTTTCACGATGTTTTTTAGCAACATTCCAGCAATATATCCGCAGGGGACCAGAAATAAACTTCACACACTGTAACCATGTGGGGAATCGAACCCATGGGCGGATCAGGTATTTTGAAGGGGTGGGTGGGGGTGGTGGTCAGGGGATTCAAACCCGCCATTGGCTCCGCAAAGAGAATCTTCAATGTGGTCTTACGTCATTTTCAAAGGGGATGGGGGTTGAACACCCCTAACCCCACCCCCACCCTCTGGATCCGCCAATGGAACCCACGTCTTCGGCGTGACGAGCGAACGCTTTAACCACCAGACTATACCGGACCTGCCCTCGTGCGCTGAACAGATCTCGACGTAGCAGTCAACAGCACCATTCTGGTGCAGGAGGCAGCGGTTTTCTGACCGAAATCCACTTCTGCCTTCATTGTTTGATTAACGCCCCATCTCAGCAATATTTCAGCTGTGTGAGTTATCCAGACTGGGTCAGAAAAGCCAGGGATTGATATTTTGAGAGACAGTTTATTTGTGTTTTACTGTGCGTGCATAAAGATCTTTGCATACAAACTTCCTTATTACTTTGTAAACCATTTAGTAGAAATATGACAGACAAACTATATAAACTTCCTACAGATTCCTACACGCATTCATCAATGATGTTTGTCGATATCATGTTGACCTAAACCATTCTGGAACTATACATTGCATTCTTACCAAGAGACGCTAAATAGAGGATATTATACGAGTGCCCATGTCATACTATGTTTACGACACGAGTGCCTAAATGTCGGTATTTCTCGAGCGAGAGCAAGGGATATACCGATATTTAGGCACGAGTGTCGTAAACATAGTATGATATGGGCACGAATATAATATTCTGTTTATTACCGAAGTCGTCAAATTGAGGAAAATAACCCAAATCTACTTTCAAACATAGGCTGGCTACCCGCCGTCGCCGCATGTAGAACGCAACGTCACAGAAGAAACGTGACGTCATAGCATTGTTCATGACGTCACGTCACCATGACAAAGTGATATTTTGCCCTAGGGCATCGTATGAAAAATATGAACCCCGATATGTTCGCCCTCGAAGGTACAAACCGAAACATGAGTCTCGTTAACCTATTCAGACGTTGACTTCAGCCGATCCGAATTTTCTCGTGTGAAATTGAAAAGAGACACCGCAAACAACTATGGTTACACTGAATTCCAATTCCTTGTTTCCTAAGAAAATGTTATTTACAAGTTTATTTTAATTTCAAACTTTAATAACATCGTATTTTGTTATTTTATGGCGAGGTGTAGGCCGCATGGCCTTAACTAAAACGTCACAGACTGCCCCTGTTTGATGAGGTCGTAAAATGATTCACAATTCATCTGGCTCATCTGGCTCACTGGTTACACCTGTTATGTGGTTTTTGCGCTTATTCAGTGTAGTTCTGTAACGTACAATGTGATTGATATAATATCAAGTCCGTACTAGACCGACACACTTTTCTTGCGGCAGAGCCCCGTTTTGAGATTTCCACGATTTCCAGATTTCCGTTTGTCAGAGCCCGCTGCACGACGTGTTTGCAAGGATTAGAAGGAGCGTAGTGTTGCAATATACAAGTGGTTAGATGTATCAAATAATACTGATTAATATTTATGTATCCAGTTGAATGAAATTGGTATCAAAATAATTCTGGACTAGTTATTGTACTAATGTGCGCACTAGGACGGAACCCAGTCAGCAGGGAACGAGACTGTTGTGTAATCAATGTTTTGACTTGTAAAATAGGTTATTTTTTGTTACCCTGCCTGGCGCACCTCATTATTGGGATAAACAAGGACTGGTCGGCTTGGAGATAGTACTGTGGGTGAGGCCTTGTTAGTTTGTTGTTTTATGCCGCAAACGCAATATTCCTGCGGTTTGATGGTGGTTTGTAAGCAACCGAGCTTCGACCAGGCAATCCAGTGATTAACATCACGAGTATTGACCGACGCAGTTAGCAGACGATGACATGAGTCAACCATATCAGCGAGTCTGACCACCCGATCTCGTTAGTCGTCTCTTACGACAAGCATGGGTTGGTGAAGATCATTTCTAACCTGGATCTTCACGGGTAGTGTGAGAGGGATGCATGTGAAACTGTCGCATTGTATGTAAGTATGCCAGCATTATACAACCGAGATTAGTCCCAATTAGTCAAAGTAATAGTGAATTTGTCAAACTTCCTTCTGGAATAAGATATTTCCCGCGTTCTAAAACCAACTGAGGTCAAAATACATTCATTCCTTTCAGCATTCGTCTTTAAACTGACAGTTAAACATACAGGTATGTTGTATGCATCACTTGTTACTGGCAGGGTTCGAAATTAACCTCGGTCCTCATACCCGTAGCCGACTAAAAACCACTCGAACTCACATCTTTTTTTTTCTGCAGGTCCTCATGGCCGACAGCTTTTTCATCCCCAATAAGTAAGAGTATTATTTTTCAGAAAATACCATTCAGTAATTTATAGTTTTGTCTCGATCAACAGCTGTTGTCTGTAAGTGAAACGACTATCATTTTCGAGGATTTTACATTTTTCACATTTTTTGTTTGCTGGGAATTACATATATTGTAGCTAAAATATAGGGCCTACACATTCTGATCAGGACACACAACTTTTATGGTTCTATGCCCTTAGGGCATGCAGCTGTTCAGGGTTAAGGGCAAACACTGGTTGCTGGGTGTGTTGCACCTCCTTTATTTGTTTTGTACAAGAGCGCTGTATTGCTGCAAAAATAATTCCTTTCGAAGTAAAAAGTATTATTAATATGGTCATGCTTAAATAGTTTCTTTTCATCCTTGCTCAAATCTTTATGATATACTTTCATTTTGGCAGATCGTTTGTAAATCCTTTTTACACATTTCGCACGATCTCGATTGGAGAGATTTGAACACGAGCTGTCAAAACAAGCTTGAACGGATGAGCGAAGTGTGGTGGTTTAGAGTAACGTCCCTTGGGGAAGTTGGCATCGTTTGGAAAACGTACAAAACAGAGGTGTTACATACAGCACGTGGAAGCTCCACTCAGATTGACATGATCTAAGGACCTTTGGTGGTGTTGTAAGGTAAAACGTGGTCACAGACAATGTTATAATTTTAACGGAAATGTTGAAAATAGACACAATCCAGTCGGCTTCATTTCATCATATTCTTATGAATGTCAAATGTGACATCTAACTGCTTGTTCTAATTACAGTTTCGTAGACAATATTAAAATGCATCCGGTTTAGATTGTTAGCTAGTTAACCGCGAGTGCTTCACACCTTGAAACAAAGGCAGGGGCACAGTGAGGACTCTCCCTAGATACGAATATAGTGTGTGCTCTCTCGTCGTCGAATTTACCATAAGGTTTGTTCACAAGCAACTGAAAATTAATTGGGTAAGGACCCTCCCCCCCCCAAATTTTGATGATGAGGAACAATTTCTTTGGGTGGCATTATTACTAATTTAAAAGAAGTTGGGTATGTCATTCATTTGTTCACATACAATTAAAGAAACAGGTTAAAACTTATCCTTATAAGATGAGGAATGTATTTTCTGGTGATTTGACTAGAATGAAATTTAAGGGGGGATATGGGCGGAAGTCTTTCTCATTGTTGTCACCATTATTGTATGAACAATTTTATAACTAACTATAATTTATTAAACATAAATTTATCCTAAACACAAGCCATCATTCTGTGTTACACAACACCCCTCATTACAACCCGAATGCTTCACTGCGGCATGGTATCTCAGTGGGCTAGCACTATAAAACCAACTTAAGTCTGGGCTAGTACAAGCAGCCGCACATACACATACACACGCATGCACGTCGTCATATGAGCGAAATATTCTCAAGCATGATGTTCAACCCAATTTCACCTCATTACAGCCTGAGTATGCACTGCTGTCCGAAAACTACGACTTTAGAAAACCTATAATCTGATGATATAATTTCTAGATTTGCCAATGGACCAGCAAACAGCTCAAGTTTTGTTCAAGGAGGGTGCCACATTCATCTTCCTGGATGTCTCGGTCAATACAGAGTTCGGCATTGACTACAATTCTTGGCAAGTGGGACCGAACTTCCGAGGGGTCAAGATGATACCTCCAGGAATACACTTTGTGTACTTTAGGTGCGTGTACTTCCTACAGAGTGAGTTTAGTTTTATGCTACACTCAGCAATATTCCAGCAATATGGTGGTGATTGTAAATAAATGAGTCTGGACCAGACAATCCAGTGATCAACATCATGAGCATCGTTCTACGTGACTGGGAAACGATGACATGTCAAGCAAGTCGGCAAGTCTGACCACCTGATCCTGTTAGTCGCCTTTTATGACAAGCATTGGGTACTACCAGAAACTGAACCCTAACACCATGTTTTACAAGTGGTGTAAAACCAGGAATAGAAATATCCTTGTTTGATGGGTTTCAGACACTTATGAATATCCATTGTTTTCTTTATTATCGGATGAAAAACTATAAAATGTGTAACAAACTAATTACACATGATTCATCTGAGTATTTACAATGTCTATGTCATGCAACCAACCTTGTTATAGCGAGTACAGTGAAGATTTGTGTTCGACCTGGTCGTCAGTCGCCCGTGCTTGTTGTAAAAGGTGATGAATGGGATCTTGTCGTCAGTCGCCCGTGCTTGTTGTAAAAGGTGATGAATGGGATCGGGTGGTCAGTCGCCCGTGCTTGTTGTGAAAGGTGATGAATGGGATCTGGTGGTCAGTCGCCCGTGCTTGTTGTAAAAGGTGATGAATGGGATCTGGTGGTCAGTCGCCCGTGCTTGTTGTAAAAGGTGATGAATGGGATTGAGTCGTCAGTCGCCCGTGCTTGTTGTGAAAGGTGATGAATGGGATTGAGTGGTCAGTCGCCCGTGCTTGTTGTGAAAGGTGATGAATGGGATTGAGTGGTCAGTCACCCGCGTGGCTTGTTGTGAAAGGTGATGAATGGGATCGAGTCGTCAGTCGCCCGTGCTTGTTGTGAAAGGTGATGAATGGGATTGAGTGGCCAGTCAGCCTGTGCTTGTTGTGAAAAGGTGATGAATGGGATATGGTGGTCAGTCGCCCGTGCTTGTTGTGAAAAGGTGATGAATGGGATTGAGTGGTCAGTCGCCCGTGCTTGTTGTGAAAGGTGATGAATGGGATATGGTGGTCAGTCGCCCGTGCTTGTTGTGAAAGGTGATGAATGGGATTGAGTGGTCAGTCGCCCGTGCTTGTTGTGAAAGGTGATGAATGGGATTGAGTGGTCAGTCGCCCGTGCTTGTTGTGAAAAGGTGATGAATGGGATTGAGTGGTCAGTCAGCCGCGTGCTTGTTGTGAAAGGTGATGAATGGGATTGAGTGGTCAGTCGCCTGGCGCTTGTTGTAAAAGGTGATGAATGGGATTGAGTGGCCAGTCGCCCGCGCTTGTTGTGAAAGGTGATGAATGGGATTGAGTGGTCAGTCGCCTGTGCTTGTTGTGAAAAGGTGATGAATGGGATATGGTCGCCAGTCGCCCGTGCTTGTTGTAAAAGGTGATGAATGGGATTAGTGGTCAGTCGCCCGTGCTTGTTGTGAAAGGTGATGAATGGCATTGAGTGGTCAGTCGCCCGTGCTTGTTGTAAAAGGTGATGAATGGGATTGAGTGGTCAGTCGCCCGTGCTTGTTGTAAAAGGTGATGAATGGGATATGGTCGTCAGTCGCCCGTGCTTGTTGTAAAAGGTGATGAATGGGATATGGTGGTCAGGCTCACTGACTTTGTTGACACGTGATCAACCAAATGCGTAAAGCGATGCTCATGATGTTGATCACTGGATTAACTAGTCCAGTCTATATTATTTACAGACCATGCCATATTGAATGTTGTTGAGTGTGGCGTGAAACAAACAAAACCACATAAATGTAAACAATGCCATCCAAAAATGAACGTGGTACAAAAAGGGTATAAAAACATTTATAAAAAAAGTAACACAATTATATAACAGTATCAGGGTGGTGGGGTAGCCTAATGGTTAAAGCGTTGGCTCGTCACGCCGAAGACCCGGGTTCGAATCCCCACATGGGTACAATGTGTGAAGCCCATTTCTGGTGTCCCCTGCCGTGATGTTGCTGGAATATTGCTAAAAGCGGCGTAAAACCATACTCAGTCAGTCAGTATAACAGTATCACAAATATAACAAACATATGTGGTAGAAAATAAACAAAGGGCCTACTTAATGAAACATTTCATTCCTGTTCTCAATGTTAGAGTTATGTCCCTTCCATCAATCTGTAAAAGATGTAAATCTATGTACATCTTTGGTCGAAACAGAAAGGTGTCAGTATGCCATATATATCTCTCATTGCAGTAAAGTTGCAATATTGCAGATTTGAAAGTCAATTGAGAAAAAAAAGCAGCTTGTTTCAATTCAAAGGGCAAAGTACAGTCTGTGCCCGACACATTTACGTTTACAAGCAACTAGTTGCATATCAGTGAAATGTTCGGTGCATTGAACTGTTGTTTTATTGACTGATCTATTAGAGTCCGAAATTTGGTTAAAGTGCACTGTAAAATCGCTTGATTTGTTTGTTGTTTAACACCGTTTTTAACAGCGTGAAGATCTGGGTTAGAATTGATCTTCAGTTACCCATGCTTGTCATAAGAGGTGACTAACGGGATCGGGTGGTCAGGCTCGCTGACTTGGTTGACACATGTCATCGGTTCCCAATTGCGCAGATCGATGCTTGGCTGTTGATCACTGGATTGTCTGGTCCAGACTCGATTATTTACAGACCGCCGCCATATAGCTGGAATATTGCTGAGTGCGGCGTAAAACTAACCTCACTCACTGATCCTAGTAGTAACCTGTGAAGATACATGTGAGAAGTCATCTGCAGCAACCATTGCTTGTCTTAAGAGGTCACTGATAGGATACGATGTAGTGACTTGCTTGATGCATGTCATCATTTCTCAGTTATGTAGGGGGACGGTGGGGTAGCCTAGTGGTTAAAGCGTTCGCTCGTCACGCTGAAGGCCCAGGTTCTATTCCCACATGGGTACAATGTGTGAAGCCCATTTCTGGTGTCCCTCGCCGTGATATTGCTGGAATATTGCTAAAAGCGGCGTAAAACTAAACTCACTCAGTTATGTAGATCGACAGTCATGATGTTTATCACAGGATTGTTAGGTTACCCCATTCGTTGTTTTGGCAATTCAGAAAATACATTTTTGCTCACTGCGATTTTTACTATCCTGTCTCCCCCCTGTAATAAATGGAAGATTCCACTGCTGTTTCAGTGCATGCAACAAGGAGGGACAGACTGCTCCCCGAAGTGGATTCTTCCATAACTTTCAACCAAGGGAGATTGTTGTCAGAAAATGGGACAAGTTGACAGAAGGTAGGTTCAATTCATTTTGTTGTGTTTATGGCTGAACTCCATACAGGATATACTATTCAGTACTCACACACATCTTTTAAAGCTTTAAGCAAGAACTGCAGTCATGTAAAATTACACAGAAAATATTCTTTTCCTGTCTTGTGTGGAATTAGTTGCACATGACGGGTTGGAACACCAGTCTAAGGAAACTTCGGCTCAGTATTATTCGTTACACTGCTATACTGAGTCTAACAAACCCTAGTAGAAGATCGCGTCAGCTAACCTTTGATGACCTATGACCGTCCAATCAAACACAAGACGGGAGAATGGATTTAACCAATCAGACAACGACTACTTGTTAGGGTTCGGCGGGACTTACAAAACGGTTTTTGGATTTTCTCTTCCCTGGTTGCTGACACTGATCTATCAACAAACGAAAATCCGCACGAAACACAGATATTTGACCTGCAGTATATATACGCTTAGTGGTTTCTAATGACATGGTTACTATTAGCTTATATTTCCGCAAGATGACATCCTTGAATATTGACAAAAACGCTATTTTTCAGTGATTGTTTACTCATTGCGTCCTACATGTGTATCCTCCGGAGTGATCGTGTGGAAAATAGCATTCGGAATCGTTTGAGTTTTTTTAGGTAAAGGTTCAAACGGTATGTGCAAATGTGAACTTTTGCGATTTGGTAAGCTGTGTTCTGATTGGCCAATCCAAAAGGTTAGCTGATGCAACCTTCTACTAGGGTTTGTTAGAGCCAGTATACCAGTGTAACCAATAATTTTGAGTCTAAGTTTACTTAAACTTGTTGGAATAGCAAACCGTGCCTTGTGTCATGATTAACAAAAACTGCCGTTTTGTGTCATTTTTATATGTACATCAATAAAAGCGCGGTGCTATAGCAGCGCTCCAGATAATTTTTCTTGATCAGGAGTACGTACTCCTTATTTATTCAATATAGGAGTACTGGAAAACCCTATTAAGAGTAAATTTAGAGTACTGAATGGAAAATAATGGCGTATTTGTAATCTTGTGTTTTGTTTCATATATGCACCACAACAATACTTTTTCAGATAGATACGTCTGTAAATGATTCTAAGACCGTACACCATTGCTGTGGTGCGTATCTGCTACGCTTTCTAAACTATTTCCTACCGTATCTTGCATATTTTTTATCCGTACATACGCCGATACAACCCTTATCTGGAGCCCTGTATAGAAATGATACATTTGACAGCCTAACGTAGTCTGTGCGAGAAACAATGTTTAATCATTTAAAGGTCTTACATAACCTCTGAGTGAAACAGATATTGCTGTATATTTCAACAATATAATGATGTAGCATAGGGATTTGTGTGGTGATGTATGACATTACATTACATGTTATTATATACAAATACTGTACTGTACTGTATTTGTTTTCCATTGATGTGATGACAAGACTACAGAACACAGCTATGGAAGTGTAATCCCACATATAAAGTCTGTTACATCTGACCACTTTCTAAATGGCGTTGTGTATTCAAAACAGAGACATTTTCCCTTGACACCGAATGGAATAACTCTGCTATGCTTAGAACTAGGTCTTGGTGAGAAATATAGGTGATTATGTGAGTGTGTTTTGGGATGGTTAATATCCTGCATTAGGAATAAACATTGTATTTAGCAAGCCTTAACAAGGTTAACACTGACAGTCGCAAATACAGGCCGGCCTGACCGCCCGGGACGGGTTATTTTCAACACAGACTGCCAAATTCTCAAATTCACCTGCCCAACGGCCGGGTTAAAATTTAGACATGTATATGAAAAAATGTTTGTGGGCAGGTAAGTTTTGTTCTGGCTGGCAAGTTTTCCATCTAACCAGCCCTGTGGCCTGGCTGAAATTGTTGGGAGTTTCATACCCTGCTTACAGTGATAGACACTCAAACCTTGCTGTGTTGAAAATGGATGTGTCAAATTTCAGGTTGTCTTGAAGTCATGTTCAGGTGTCTGTGAATTCCACACTATGATGTATACCGTCAAATTCTGGTAAATAAGGGTCATCTCTCCCATTGTAATCACTAGACCTTCAGGGGGCGGTGGGGTAGCCTAGTGGTTAAAGCGTTCGCTCGTCAGCCCGAAGACCCAGGTTCGATTCCCCACATGGGTACAAAGTGTGAAGCCCATTTCTGGTGTCCCCCGCCATGATAGTGCTGGAATATTGCTCAAAGTGGCGTAAAACCATATTCACTCACTCACTCACTAGACCTTCAGGTAACTGCTATTTACTTACAACTTGTCTCAAAACTAATGCTATTTACCTACAACTTATTCCAGACATGACCAGCGAAGGAGTGACTGCAGATGACATGGAGCGATTCTCATCCAACATGCAAGACCTAGACAGGTTCCTTGGACCCTACCCGTATGAAAAGTATGTATCATATCAACACATTGCTGATTATTGTTTATTATAGTACTGTGATCCACATAGTCATATATTATAGTACTGTGATCCACATAGTCATATATTATAGTACTGTGATCCACATAGTCATATATTATAGTACTGTGATCCACATAGTCATATATTATAGTACTGTGATCCACATAGTCATATATTATAGTCCGTCAGAAATCTAGCCTGTGTAGCGCGGTTGGACAGGACTTATTTCATACGCTTCTTATAGACAACTGTTATCAGTGTATGAAATAAGCCCAAAACCCAGCCAGACATCAGGGCTGGAAACTTCAAAATATTACCAGCCCCAAATAGATTCATCCAGACAAGACAATCCAAAGAAACTAACTAAATATTTAGTTAAAATGAATAATTAGATTTTAAGATATGGTGGATTTACTCAGATGTATGGAACATGTTATCTAAGTTTTTTACCAAACCATCGGGCTGGCTAACTGTAAATTTAGACCTTTCCTCAGAAATCTAGCTTTTGGTTATAAGAGGTCATGTCAAAAATCATTTGAGCTCAAGAGCTTTGAAAATATGGTTTTGGCTACAAGATTTCATGACAAAAATAAGGTGAGATAAAGAGGCTTGAAAATACAGTATAGGTTATAAGAGGTCATGACAAAAATCAGCAGTGATAAAGAACCTTGAAAATATGGTTTTGGCTATAAGAGGTCTTAACAGAAATCTGGTAAGGTATAGAACCTTGATAATTTGGTTTGGGCTAAAAGAGGTCATGACATAAATCTGGTAAGGTACAGAACCTTGATAATTGGCTATAAAAGGTCATGACATATACCAAGATGAGGAAAGCATTCATTACAAATGTTAGTATAATAAAATAATAATAATTTCTCATTGCAGTTACAAGAAGTGGGTATCGATGACCAACCACATATCCAACACAGTCCTGGAACATGTGCTGCCAGACAATGGTATGGTACATTCTGTCACCCAGTTCGAGTCCAAGGCAAGCACTTCTCAGTCCAGGAAGCGAGACCGAGAGCAACAGTCAATGGAGACCGATTCCACGGAGAATGCGTCTAATAATGTGTCAGCAGCGGAAGACAGTGAGATGAAGTTTCTGCCTCGCATGACAGTCCTACCTGGAACCAGTATTCGATACAGCAACATCACAAAACGTCGATACCCGCCTGGCGCGACTCCTGCCGAAGTCACGCGATACAGCATGGATTCCTCGTTTCTCCTGGAGACCATTCTCAATGATTGGTATTCCGATTCATCCCTTGGGATTCTCGGAGAAATTCAGTTTGCATTCATCTGTTTCTTGATTGGTCAGAATTATGATTCGTTCGAACAATGGAAGAAACTGGTTCACGTTCTGTGCACGAGTGAAGAGGCTCTGTCAGTCCACACGGAACTCTTCCTTCAGCTGGTTACCGTTCTACATTTTCAGATTCGGGACATACCAGAAGATTTCTTTGTTGATATTGTGTCACAGAATAACTTTCTGACCACAACACTGCAAGAGTTTTTCTCGAACCTGCAGTCAAATCCTGTTGACAGTAACCTTAAACGCAAGGGGTTGAAGTTTTGTGATCATTTGACGGAAAAATTTAAGTGGGATTTTATGACAGAACCTGAGGACTATGCACCTGTTGTTGTTGAAACTGAATAATAAACAAATGAAGGATTAAGTATTATATAAAAGTTTTCTGTTCTGTGAATGGACAAGGCCAGTTTACCTCAGTGGTCTAAAGCAACTTTTACCTCGGCTGACTGTCCGTGAGTGCATACTTGGCGCACCATTTGTAATAACATCTGCTCAGAAACTACTGAACCAGTGAGGCTATAACCTTGCAAGCTTGTTCCCCATTGATGGTATTATTTTATTGTTCAAAACGTTCACTAGACTAAGCTAAATCTCTGAATATATATGAATGTATATATAAAGAAAAGATTTCCTTATAGATTGACAAGGAGCCCCTGTGAGACAGACTAGATGTTCAAATCTTATTTCCAGTATGGCGATTTTTGCAGCCATATTGAAAAACCTATTAATGGCCAGTGTATGAATTAATTTTGAAAAGTCACTGGCCAGGTGGGCTAGTTAAGTAAACATGTTGCTGGGCCACATCATACTTCACTGGTCCAGCAAAAGATCAATTTTAAAATGCACAGTGGTCAGAATTGGTGTGATGTTTGGTAATTGAAAATGTTAAACTAGCACTAAACCTTTGCAGGCAGACTTTTAACACCTTAATAACTGAGTTCATCATATTCATGTGTATTAAATAAAAAACATATTATCTTAGATTTTGAGCTTGACAGTCAGGATAGCTTTAACAATATATTACTGGCCCGATCCACAATCAGCTAGCATTTGGCGAGCAGGCCAGGAGCTGTGTCGACCCCTGTTAATGTCCGTTACTGAACTATTTCATTTTTACAAAAAATTGTTACAGTGGACAAAGTATGTTTATTTTTCCAATTATTTGAAATTTTGTCCCTTTTTTTTGAACGAACAGTGGATCACAGCACGCTAAGGGAGGTAACTTGGCAACTTGTTTGGCCTTCTCGTATGTTGGACATTTCGTCATCTGTCCATTCTGTAAAATATTTATAATATGGGATGCTTGCAGTGAATGAGGATATTCCGATACTTAACACCCCACCACAGCTAGGCGGATACAGTGACACACACACACACACACACACACACACACACACACACACAAAAATCTCTTTCAGTGTTGTCACAACCCCTGGTGTACAGTGCACAACCCTGTGCACTTAGAACCCACGAATCCGTTGGTATATGACCAGATGGTACAGCAACGTGCAGTAAAACTTGGACAAAGTATTGTCACGTGTCCTAGTCCATCCAGCTGTGAATGGGTACTTCGTAAGGATAGACAAGCCACATTACCTAGGTGCGCCTAAATTACTGCAAGAGTTGTATGATCCCCAGGGAGTTTGAAAAAAGATTGAAAAGAGATTGAAAAATACGATGTGCCACTGAAATTGACATCCTATGATCGAGGGAAAAGAAAGCGCCTTTCAGCAGCTGAGCTGAGCTGGATATTGGCGCTATACAAATATCATATATAATATACTATCGTTCGTGCGGGCGGTGGGTTAGCCTAGTAGTGGTAAGGAGCATCCGCTCGTAGCACCGAAAACCAGGGTTTGTGGGTACAACACGTGAAGCCAATTTCTGGTATCCCCCGCCGTGATATTGCTGGGATATTGCTATAAGCGGAATATATGTGAATACTTCGAGTTATCCGAAGCACGAAACAGCAAAGCAGGAACAAGACTTAAGTTTCAAGACAAAATAAGGTCGTAACAATACACAAGCGTCTGTTCTAAAATATCGATTTATATAAATTTTCAGTTAAAATCCTCTAGCACTTCAACGTAAACAAATGTCAACTCAGATTTGAAGTGGTGTAGATTTCACGCAGCTGTTTCGCTGGCATTGTCGCCTGTTGTCACGGTTACGAGTTCAACCAATCAGGGCCCACTTCCGCTGCACGAGTTTTTCCTGCGCGTTAATTCAGAATCCATGAACGAAAGCAGACGTGAGAGTGTTCTAAACAACTGCACCAGAGAATGTGAAATTAATTCAGGTAAGAATTCTTTTATTATCGGTTTTAACATAAGCCTAGTAGATGCTTGAAGTTTCGACTATATACAATGAAAGTTCGAATATTGAATATAATTTGTGAACATTTTTCAACGCGAGGCTGAAAATGGCGACATGCGAATTGGAGGAATATAAGCTTACCAAACAAATGTCTGTCGTTATGTAATGTACAACTCATTCATTGACCAAATCAAGTAATTTATTCTCAAAACCACCCACGGAACATATTTTGCATAATATAACTCCATACATACTTTGACACGATGAAATGTAGACCGCTAGACATGCTCAACCTAATATGATATCAACATAAGGCCATGTATAAACATATTCTTGTTTCTCATTACTCCCGACCCGACTCTTAAGATAATGTTTATTGTTAACACTAGAGAAAATGCAACTTTGACTCAAAATGTGCATGAATTTTGAACACTTCTAAGTTTTGATTTTCTACCGGAGAAAAGGTGTAAATTCCACAGAAATCAAGGGGTTTGGGACATAAAATAAGATAAAATGGAAAAATAACATCCGCCCGCCCGAGCCATATTTTTTTGAAAAAGTGATGAGAAACCAGATTATTGTTTTATGTGGCCTAATGGATTGTTGGCAGTGTCGAAATAAATTTGGGAAGTTTCATGACAACTTTTAGACCTAATGTATAAAATGTAGGGTTATGACAAATAGAAACATTTTGAGTGACTGCCTTTAAACAGTATGCTATAGCTAGAGATGCACTGAACGATTTGTTTCCGAATGCTCGTTAATTGTGACATTGTAGTACGGAATTCGGATATGGCATAGAGTTTGTTTATTAGTCAAATTAGTCGGTTCCCTCTTCTGTCGACTCTGATGGCTGGAGGACCAAATAATAATTGTAAACATGCAACATTGACGCATATCACAGCATGTTAATCAACATAGTGATGTGGTTGGACTGACTGACTGACTGAGTTTAGTTTTACGCCGCTTTTAGCAATATTCCAGCACTATCACGGCGGGGGCCACCAGAAATAGGCTTCACACATTGTACCCATGTAGGGAATCGATCCCGGGTCTTCGGCGTGACGAGCGAACGCTTTAATTACTAGGCTACCCCACCGCCCCCCACAGTAAAATATGTTTAGTGACTGACTGAATGGCTTGGTAATAATGTAATTGAATAATTGTTATATGCTGAAAGTAGAGCAGGCAGGAACATTTTGACAATCAGTAGTCGCAAATATTTTCAAACACATTTTGTCTTCACACTAAAAAGGAAAGAAATTGTACTGGCCTAAAAACGAAAAATGCTGTTTTTTTTTTTATCGCTTTTTCGCTTCGTTGGTTAACGCACAAATGCATTCTTTTCAAGCTGTTCATTATGCTGTTTAACATCTATTTAATATTGTGATAAGAATATTGTCAGTAAAATGAGGCTTGTAGTGACTGACTGAATGGCTTGGTAATAATGTGCTGATAACTCTACTAATGCACTTTAAATGTTCCTGTTGACTTGTCGCTCTTAAATTAAACATTCTGAATCAGCGCGATTGATAACTCCGGACTGGCTTCATCTCTTCACACACAGCCCTCTTGATTCTTCTGAGAACGGCTCCTACGCCCTGTTGGTAATGTCAAAGCATGAGGCTGTTAACCTCATTTGAAACGTGTTATATTCCTCCCGGTATAATGAGTGAAACCCATCCCGAGTATCCTTCGTGGTTGTATTTAGGGAATATTGGCCAAACATTTTAAACCAACATCAATATTCACTGATATCTAACGTCCCGTACATAGAACTGCATACTGCGAACATTCCTATATATTGTGTTGTGGCAGTTAGTGTTTTGTTTCAGTTTGTTTGAGATTGTTGGAGGTGTATTTGGAGTGATTTCCATTGGCATGGAATCCGCAGTGCAGGGTATCGCCCTTTGGGCATACCAGAAATCTGTAGTGATGGGAAAGTGAGTGAGTGAGTGAGTTTAGTTTTACGCCGCTTTTAGCCCTATTCCAGCAATATCACGGCGGGGTACACCAGAAATGGGCTTCATACATTGTACCCATGTGGGGAATCGAACCCGGGTCTACGGCGTGACGAGCCAACGCTTTAACCACTAGGCTACCCCACCGCCCCAATGATGGGAAAGCAAAATGTTGGTTAAAGGAAGAGAGCAAGATTGTTTTAGTAACTATTACATATATCAACGAAACCTGTGATATTCCCCTGAAATCATATGATAAAGAAACACTTGCTGCACATAACTGCGCCCCTTTGGGTGAAACCTGTGATCTTGGATTCGAATCCTGGATCATGTTTCTTGGATTTCCAACATCACACCCATGCACATGGGTTTCACAAAAGGGGTGAGGTCTAAATAATGCAAAATGTTGCTTTACACGAAAATCGTACGTTTGTCGAGTTGTTTGTAATTTATAGATTATAAATGTTTCGCAAACATTGACGAGAATCAACATCGGTCCCTTGAACCCCATTTTAATGTTTACATGCTCGATGCTGACATGCTATTGGTTACCAAGCATATGTTGGTTGCTTGCAGCCAATCAGATAACTTATTTGAGTGACCTTTTAGAAGTTGGGACATACAATATTGAACACACGTTTCGATACACATTCCTGCTTGACAACGGTACAGGAATCTGTAAACGTCGCACCCACGAAATAAAGGAAGTTGTTATCCATAAGGTTTGTTTAATATAGCTAATCAGATACTTGTTACTTAAGTTTGTTACAAAATAGCGACGGCATTTGAAACGAAACAAAGTGACAACAACATATTATATTTTGTCGTGTGCAAACTCAAGTTGGCAATTTTATTTTACTGAAGCTGCCTTAAGATTTGTGTGACTTCGGGATTTCATCCCACGTTATGCCATCCTACCTCACACACGAATGTCGGATTGTGATTGGCTGAGACCCATTCTATTATATTCAATGTACCTGGTAAATGCCTGGCTGTGGTATTCCTGCCGACGACAGTATACATTTATAACACATCCCTTCGATATGATTTGGTGTGTCGTAAGATGACATCGTCGTCCAGCGGTTCCCAGGGAGACATGATTTCATATAGCCGAGAGTGAGTGAGTTTAGTTTTACGCCGCACACAGAAATATTCCAGCTATATGGCGGCGGTCTGTAAATAATCGATTCTGCACCAGACAATCCAGTGATCAACAGCATGATCATCGATCTGCGCAATTGAGAACCGATGACATGTGTCAATCGAGCCTGACCACCCGATCCCGTTAGTCGCCTCTTACCACAAGCATGGGTTACTGAAGATCTTACCCGGACCTTCACGGGTCATATAGCGCAAAGAACATAAAATAGTAGGCCTATAGATGATATATAAACCTATGTTTCCTTCGAGAGGCGTAGGCAATTTACAATGTAACTTAATTACATATCAAAGCGGCATAAAACCAAATTCATTCACTCTTGTGCCAAAAGGCGATAACGCCTTTGTTCTGTACATAAATGCCCGATGCATGTCAAATGATAAAACTTAAACGTGATTATAGCCCAGGTACCACTGTTTCACTAATCTTTGTTGACAAATACAAGATATCCACGTGATAAAGCACGCTTAACCAAGAAGAACGATAAAACAATGTTTCGTCATTTCTGAAGATTAGAACAAAGGCAACATGTAGGTACAGGGTTATTCCATAAAGATTTAGCTTGACAACGCAGAGAAATATTGCCAGGGCGTTATCATTATTTATACAAGTGTAAATAAGTTTGAAACTTGTAATTTTTAACATTCTTTATTAAGCTGTAAATAATGTATCTCATGTAAGAAATATACGACTCATCATTGTTTTATCGCTCAATAAAACACTACATGTAGAATACACCACCAATTGTCCCACGCCAACGAGTAATAAATCCTCCCTGGAATGTTCTTTTGTAAACAAAAACAACGACCACGAGTCGTACGTTTCTTAAACAAATATGTTTATATCAACGTCAGTTTTTAAAAGTTAGTAAAGAAACCGTACCATGGATAAGATATAGGTGTATGTTTAATGTTTAGAGATTTGGGACACGAGTGTTGGACACCAAACAGACATTATCTCATTAATTTGATCTTTATTGACTCGACGATATATCACTTAGACAAAAAGCCTATTTTTTTCGGTAACACGCAACAGGGGCAATACGGGGCCATATTCGAAGGTCATCATGACATATTCGAAGGTCACCATGACTTTAATTTGACATAAACTGAAGTCCTATTTCCTATGTAAGTGATATCTAGATGACCAGGGGCCCATTCCACAAAACGATCGTAGCACTAAGATGATCTAACTCCCATACTTTAACATACACTTACTACGACTGTCGTAGCGCTACAATCGCTTTGAGGAACGGGGCCCAGAGTGCTTGACGTGGTTTACATATCACACATCATTATTACACCTTTGGAATATATTATCAACCGGTATTATAATATACACGCAGAAAGCTTAATCAAGCACCACCGGCGTTTTATATGATAATTGGAAAACACAACATGCGTTTGGATATGAAAACCAAACCTTTGAAAATAAATAATAAATATCAACACTGCCGGAAAGCATGGGCACCATGTCAACCAATCGGACTATCACGCAGTTCTCAGATAATGATTATGATGACACCTCTTCAGTACGGGGTAGTTAATGGTAGCCGACCTGTTAAGATCCGGGTTAGAATTGGTCTTTAGTAACGCGGGTGTTTTGGTTAAGTCTCCATCATTTACAGATCTCCACCATAACTGGACCATTGCTGGGTTAAACAACAAACAGACACGAGGTGAAACGTGGTTTAATGTTGCTTTCAAGATTACGGCCACTCGCATGCGTATATCACTATCTTCTTTGAGAGGCATTTTACAGAAGTTGCAAAACTATATCTAGACGACCAAGGTGCTTCGACATGGATTACACACTACAAGATACTGTCCGTGGTCACGTGGGCTCCATTCTGAGAAAGCCATGCTGTGCTGGACTTTCCCTGTGAAGAATGTGGTCAGTAGATATAGGGGGTGTATTTTGCTGGTCAAGATGTTCCGAGTAGCGGGGAAAGTATAACCTTCCGCATGCATGGTGAAGTGAGAATGAGTTGCGGGTGCTGTCCACGCCCAATGATACCCCAGTTACCGTAGAAAGACAGTGTCTGTCGAGGTCAGGAAGCCTAGTCTGGTATCTATGTAGACAAGGCATAGGTCTTGCCGACGGTATGGAGAAACGTTTGCCATGGTAATAAGGTAGTACTTATTTCTGCTGTGTTTGACAGCGGTTCCATGATGTCAGTTCTTGAGGGTTCAAGGGATGCGTTGAGGTCTTATCAAGCCAGTCTCACTGGGTGCGTTTGATTATGAATAGCCTGCCTACGGTACAGCAGTTGTAGTCTGATCTACTGGAACGTAAATAATTCATATGTGTCAGTCTTGTGCAGAAGTCAGCAGAAAGACACAGAACCTTAGCTTACTGGTACTCCATATTTCGTGAAGTGTAGGAAAATGTAACCGTAGGTTTTTTTCTCTCTCACTTATCCAACATCAGGTATATTGTGGGTTTAGCTCCTAGTTTCTAAGTTGTTGTTTAACGCCACATAACGTCTAGCTATATGACGCCAGTCTGTATATGAGCGAGTCTGGACCTGGCAATCCAGTGATTGACGTTATGGGCACCGATATGAGCAACTGGAATACGATGACATGTCAACCATGTGAGCGAGATACGCCACCCAATCCCGTTAGTAGCCTCTTACGACAAGCATGGGTTCCATAAGATCAATTCTAAACTGGTTCTTCATGAGTCACGAAGTCCATTGATTATGCTTGTTGGAGGGTTGTCAGCATTGTACCTATCCAGAGTTGTATAGATGATTCTGTTTAAACCGGACCGCCGTGTCCGGCTCGGACGGAAATCCGTTTCTGTAAAGATTTATCTCCATTGGCATTTCGTACGAATCTAAATTTTGGACCGAAATGTGGTCCTGTATTGTCAGAGGTCTGGATTAATCATAGTCCACTATGGACAGATCCTATTGTAATAACCTCAACCCCAAGGTTTTCTCGATGTTTTGAAACACTGTTTAAGATCAAGTTAGAGCTAATGCATTATTCGAGGCTCCTCTTGTACGTGTTCGTTTTCTGTAGGTAGTTTTCAAGCGTCTTTCGTCGGACTGTTAGCCATAAAACACGTGAATTCAGATCGTTCGTATAAAATTTAATTCACAATATGTACACTCTTGATTATACATTTCATTTGACAAAAGAAAAGATCCTCGGATCAAGATTCAGCAGTGACTATTGGCAATTAACAAATGTTATTCGCTTTTTGTTTCATCATTGCAGTTGGTCTTTGCCCTGTGTTGTACAGTTAATCTATAGATTTGAGAAACCCGTTACAGACACCATCCGCCTTTTCAGTTTGAAAGCTAAGTCCTGGATGGATATGTTTAAGCTTAAAAATACGTCAGGAGTTTCGTCATAAATTATTCAAGCATATTGAATCATTATCATAAAAAAGTTCGTTTTATATGTTTTGATAATTTACCATTGTGCCGTTGTACAAAGCAACATTTGCGCTTCGACTGTCGTAAGTCTCTGTTAAGGTATGGGAGTTACGATCACCTTAGGTCTTGCGGCACGCTACTTTTGTTGTCAGAGACTCCAGTTGATGTATGTGATTGCAGCTGGGTGCCCAGTGGTGGTAGTAATTATGATGCTTATTAAAGGACAATAATATATATTTCACAAGATGAGGTACACTTATGTGTGAATGAAGATGGCCTCGATAGATACATCAGTTCATTGCAATACACCTGTCATCGGAGACGGCAGTACGTTCACAAGAGTTATTGTGATGTGATTCGTGAGTATTCGCCACTTTCCGTAAGCTGCATCCGACTCATCCGCCTGTTGGGTGCATCTTGGGGGCGAAACCAGTCAGAAGGCGTACACGTCTGTGGGTTTACATTCCCTGTGTAATAGTGTTTGTTTGTATAGGACTGATCCATTTGGGTCAAACAAACCACAGCTAGAATCACATTTGTTTCACCACACCGAATAATAAGTTGTTATTTTAGGGGAAAAGTGACACTGTTATATTCAGAAAATATCCATGTAAAAGTTCAAAGCATAAGCTGTGGTAAAACGAGTTGATTCTTTCCTACGCGTTACGTAGACTGAACCAAGTTCATCGGACTACTGTTAAAGAGGCACGTGTGATAGTTTGTCCCAAGACGGAAATACGTCTATGTACGTCTTTGGTTTGTCTCTGAAAACCACGGGCGGTCCAATCATTCATGCATACGTATTTTATGTGGACGAAATGTGTATATTTTAGAATGCAGGAAAACCCTCCTCATCTCAGTCCTGCAACTTGTAAATATGCACATTTTAGTAAAGGTCAGGTGATTTTGTAAGGCACCGGGGATTTTATATACATATATATTAACGGTACATAAAATGACTTATTCACAACCCGAACACGTTCCTGGAATTTTCCCTGAATAAATGGCTTCCCTGATGAACAAAATATGTAACTGAATCATACACTCTTTCGTATAGTTCCTAGTGCAATATATTATATAAAGCACTCATTCCCAAATTCATTCTCGGCGTCATCCTATTTTCAGCCGCAGCAGCCTATGCTCATCCCGTTCCTAGCCGCAGCAGCCTATACTCATCCTACCCTGTACCCATCCCCATCCTCAACTCTGGCAGCCTTGGGCTGGGCATTTTGGGTGATAAAAGAAATACATTGTGTACATTGAAACGAATAAAGAACATGATATCGATGTATATTCTGGTTAAGCAATAATGCTACAGCATATATTGGCTAGTGTTATGACTGGGCTCCCGTCCACTGATACGAGCAGGAAGGCGGTGGCCGATTGGACGACACCTAACCGTATTCATTATTCGTCGGAATTAGATGCCTTATTGTTTGTAAAGTAACATTGCAGATCAGTAACATTTTCATCGCCCCAAAGTACTTGATGCAGACATATCTCAACGTTGATTTACATTGGTAATTAAGGTCACTACGCACGTGACCTGGTAACTGGTATTTTACACGTTTGCACTTCACATTGGGACCCCGCCTGGCTAAAATCGCTGTGCTTGTTGCGTGTACCAGCAGTAGAACGAGTTTATGATGTGTCCTGATCTTCTTGTTATTATGAACGATTCGTTTTTTATGAAAGGAACGGCACAAAACCATTAACAAAATATGGAGTGTAGTAAAATGATAGGACATGGTAATAAATGCACTATTCACAACCTTTTGTGCACCAGTGATAAAACAGAAACATTGTATAGACTCTCACGCGATATATCAGGCACATCAACACTCGCCGATTAAACTTGTGAAACTTGTATACTAGTCTGCCGGGTATAACTTTGGCAAGCTCATAAACCTTTTATTGCTTCATGTTGATATGCCCGATATCAAATGACACGTGGGTGAGATACTGTTTATCATCCAAGCGAGCAACGAGAGATGATGTCATTTGATTGTGACGTCATTGTCACGATGACATTTTCGAAGGAATGAAGCAAGAAAGTTTTCGTTGAAAAAAACATTTTCCATTCATGATCTGAAGGCCAGTTTGATGATAAGACACTGCGGTATGCACTGTTCACGTGAAAAGCTATTGGCAAAACAAACCACCTATGAGATAAATCCGGATGGCCGATTGTCGGAGATATGTGAATAATGGAAACAACTGGAATTCAACTCCAGCCTCATGTGAAATCTGGCCTCAATGTGAGCACAGCTATTGGGCTTGGGTATCAAAGTTCATCAATGCTAACTGTGGGTATGATAGGCGTCTGGTCAGAGTAAGATTCTCTTGGGTCAAGGTCACTCAACTCTGTGTCGCTGAAACAAAAACAGCATTGGTTAGGAATCTGTCCGAAACTTTTGTATTAGCAACCCCACACCAAATGAATAACGTCAGCAGCACATCTAATACTCGTATCAACCTTACTTTGCTGTTGTAAGCTTTGAACTGTGGGTATTCTGCCCGTCGTCGGACGTGACCTTTGTCGCCTTCTGGTCAAGGCCCTTCGCCTCGCTGAAAAAGTGAATATCGGCATGCGCAAATTATTATTGGGTCTTTATTTATTTTATTCGACGATCAATACAGACAAGTACAAGGGAAATGTAAATAAAGTTTTGAAAGATGGTGTACTTTGGTATCCAGTCCTGTTTATCTGAAAAGAAAATTCCAGTTAGGAAAAACAAGAATCCCGAATCCCATCTGACTATGTACTCACACGTTACCATTCACACTGGGTTTGAGTAGGTTCCCTTGGGTATTCGAAATATTTGTACTTGAGTATACAAAGTATTTGTACCTGGGTATTCAAAATAATTGTACTTGGGTATTCAAAATATTTGTACTTGAGTATTCATAATATTTGTACTTGGGTATTCAAAATATTTGTACTTCAGTATACAAAGTATTTGTACCTGGGTATTCAAAATATTTGTAACTTCGAGCAAAGGGATCGAACTACCGACCTTTCCCTTTGTAGGCAGGTGCCCTGTCCACTTGACCACAGATGCTAAAGACTAAGGGTGCACATGTAATATAGGCATGATATAGAACTGGCGCACATCCGTATTTGAAGTGTCTCTGTCACCTAGAGAACACCATTAACACTTTAACGTCATCAAGATGAGAGCGACTCATCTGTAGCTGGCAGATTCCCTGTCCACTTGACCACAGATACTAAAGACTAAGGGTACACATGTGATATAGGCATGATATAGAACTGGCGCACATCAGTATTCGAAGTGTCTCAGTGTCACCTGGAGAACACCATCAACACTTTAACGTCATCAAGATGAGAGCGACTCATCTGTAGCTGGCAGATGTCTGCTACGCTGTAATGATTAGTATTAAAACAACCCCCAAAACAACAACAACCCAGCAACAACAGATTAAATCACACCCAACCAGACAATCCAGTGATCAACAGCATGAGCATCGACCTACGCACATTGGGATACGGTTATATGTGTCAACCAAGTCAGCGAGCCTGACTACCTATTCCGTTGGTCACCTCTTTCGACAAGCATGGGTTGCTGAAGACCAATTTTAACCCGGATCTTCACGGCTTCATCCAGATAGCAAACGGGTAGATACCAAACTCTAATATATACTGGACAAAATAAGTTAGGGATATTGGTATTTTTATGATTGATAATATATCAGTGTGTCAATGAATAAACAGATTATTATTAATAATTTCAAAAAATACATATATCCGGATACTATTTTTGTCCAGTATATTAAACCAACCTCTCTGAGCCTCGTTCTGGGCCTTCATTAAACACTTCGTCCTCTTCCTCTTCCTCAATGCTGGAGTCACCGGAGTTCAAGGTCATCAGCTGGCGGATGCTGGTGATGGTGTTGCCCTCCTCGATGGCCGACAGCAATGGCGGCCTGGACACGTACTGTTTCTCTAGTGTCTGTAGAATCTGCCCCGTCCTCCGTTTCCGGGGCTGTTCTTGTTGTTCCTCCGGGGGAACCAGCTCCACAGTGAACCTAGCGGAGATAACACATAGGTTTCACAGCTACAGACCTTTCTCTCACATCAAGCTGACATGTGGTAGCAGAAACAACTGCGAATACTGTTCAAAGCGGTGTTAAACTCAACTCACTCATCAATCAATCACTTACTTCCCTACTCGCACACTCCTTGTTTGTGACCAGCTACAGATAACGTTTTGGGTCATTGATACGCACACGCTTGTGTTTATTTCAGTTGGGCATCCTAATGTTCCTTTGAGTAACCAAAATAATTGTACTCACCTCAAACTCAATTGGGTATTTTCCATTAATTTTAAAAACATAATACAGTTTAATGTTAGTGTTTGTTATTTACATTTGATATGTAATATAAAAAACGATAAGAAAGACTGCAAGTTGTCAAGTTCATGTCCTGATATAGAACCTCTCATTATACCTGTTATTTTATCAAGCTAAGATTTGACATTTTTGTGTGTACCATGTAAGATCACATTTATTGAGTATTTTCAAAAAATTCAAGCGTACTTGTATGCAATAGACTTAATAGGAATTGAGATTTCATATAAATATTTGCGTAATTTACGCAGATACGCAGCTTATCTGTATCTCTGGAGTATTGTCTTCAACTTTTTGATTAAAAATGTGTCATTCAGTAACACACCACATTCAGTTCGAGTCACAAGCAACATAATAATGATAAGGAAATAGCATAATTGAGACTGGTTCTGACTCTGATATAACTGAAATATTGCAGACTTAAAAGTATGTACTCATACAGCCTCAGAAAACGTCGTACCTTGGTTGCTTTGGCGACGCGGGAGGAGGCTCCGCTGGTCTCTTGGTTTCTTTCTTTGAAAAGAAATTAAAATTAAATGGTGTGCTGAATTTGCGTTTCACTTCAGTCTTCGGCAGTTCTCGCTCGTCAGAGTCCGTATTCGCTCGGGTCCTTCCTTCCATTCGGAGACGCTCGACACTATCCGAGATGTCGGCAATATCAATCGAGGCGCGGCGAGACGGATGTTCCGATGTCACGATGATGGAGGGCACCTGCAGGTAGCCCATTCTACCGTTGGGAACACTGTAGCCTCGTTCCTGATAATAAGCGGAATGCAGAGTGTCCCTGGAATCGTAGTGGGATTTTCTGAAAGAAAACGGTCTCCTTTAATTTTGAACACATGCGAATCAATAACGTATTTAAACGTTGCTCGAGGTAAAAGAATTGTGGGCGAACACGGTCTATTTCATCTAAACTATCTATTTGCACCTAACTGAAAAATGTATCCAGTCTTTAGTACGTACGGAAGAGACTAAGTTTAAGGATACGTACTGTCTAAAGAGGCCGAGCGTCAAGGGACGTACTGAGTATCAGGGTACGTACTGTCTGAAAAGGTAAAGTGTCAAGTTACGTACTGTCTGCAGATGCTGAATGTCAGGGTACGTACTGTCTAAAGAGGCTGAATGTATGGGCACATACTGTCTGCAGAGGCTGTGTTTCAGGGTGCGTACTGTCTGAAGAGACTGAGTGACATAGTTCGTACTGTCTGCAGAGGTAAAGAGTCAGGGTACGTACTGTCTGCAGAGGCTGAGTACCAGGGTACGTACTGTCTGCAGAGGTTGAGAGTCAGGGTACGTACTGTCTAAAGAGGCAGTGTTTCAGGGTACATACTGTCTGCAGAGGCTGTGTTTCAGGATACGTACTGTCCGCAGAGGTTGAGGGACGGGGAACGTACTGTCTGCAGAGGTTGAGAGTCGGGATACGTACTGTCTAAAGAGGTTGAGTGACAGGGAACGTACTGTCTGCATAGGTTGAGAGTCGGGGTACGTACTATCTGCAGAGGCTGTGTTTCAGGGTACGTACTGTCTAAAAAGGCTGTGTTTCAGGGTCCGTACTGTATAAAGAGGCTGTGTTTCAGGGTCCGTACTGTCTAAAAAGGCTGTGTTTCAGGGTACGTACTGTCTAAAAAGGCTGTGTTTCAGGGTACGTACTGTCTAAAGAGGCTGTGTTTCAGGGTACGTACTGTCTAAAGAGGCTGTGTTTCAGAGTACGTACTGTCTATAAAGGCTGTGTTTCAGGGTACGTACTGTCTAAAGAGGCTGTGTTTCAGGGTAGGTACTGTCTAAAGAGGCTGTGTTTCAGGGTAGGTACTGTCTAAAAAGGCTGTGTTTCAGGGTACGTACTGTCTAAAGAGGCTGTGTTTCAGGGTACGTACTGTCTAAAGAGGCTGTGTTTCAGGGTAGGTACTGTCTAAAAAGGCTGTGTTTCAGGGTACGTACTGTCTAAAGAGGCTGTGTTTCAGGGTACGTACTGTCTAAAGAGGCTGTGTTTCAGGGTACGTACTGTCTAAAGAGGCTGTGTTTCAGGGTACGTACTGTCTAAAGAGGCTGTGTTTCAGGGTACGTACTGTCTAAAGAGGCTGAGAAGGGAGCCTGTGAAGGCACTGCTGAGTGAGCTTTTGCTTCGCCGCCTGATACTGCTGGTCTCAGGGACGAACATCCGCTGCTCCTCGAGACCAATACGACTGTAAAAGAAGGAATAGATGGTTTTGTGCCGCATTAAATATTGGAATATATAAAGCCAGAGTAGGCCTATATACGAAAGCGGGCCATCCACAGATAGTGTACGCAGGTTTTGTGAATCAAAACCTCAGACCAACTCTGTGAGGTTTTTGCAGAATTTATGTCCTAAAAATAAAAAAAGTTGTTTAACAAACTATCATTAAAATATCGACACAATTCACTATTTGTTACGAGGGACGAGTGCAGAGAAAGGGACAGCCAGGTGTGCGAGAAAGGATGGAGACGGCACAGTACAAGTTAATGAATCAATAACGTTCTCGGCACTTGTGCACGTGCTTCTCTAACACCTGGCTGTCCCTTTCTCAGCGTTTCATTGAGTATTATATGTTTATTAGTTTTCGAGTTAGATTGCAATTCATCGGTCCGCTTTTGAGCCAAACGGACTATAGTGTACGCAGGTTTTGTGAGCTTTGTTCTTTGCAGTATGTCAGAATAATCCTAGTTTGAAATGAAGTTGATGACTTTGTTAGTAAATCGCCATACATTTAGTAGCACGAAATGCAGACAATTCCAGGATTATGATAGAAACTATGGTGCATCTCGAGACATACGAGATAGAAGCAAACGTTAGAAATTCGGGACTTAGCAGTTGGTAGCCCTGCCGGACTGAACGTCCACTCCGGACTGAATCAAACCACTGACCTTTCGGTCTGTCTCCGGATAAACGCTCGGACACGAAGTGACGGAGGGTAAATCCAAAGCATATTGGTAAAAACCTATCGCACACAAATGCTACAACATCAGTGGAATCACCTATATGGGTTCTAGGAACCGCCATCTCGCCTCCTGTCTCTGATATGCTGTATAAATATTGACTCATGTGGTCAGCGTGATCGTTCAGAGACAACTTACGCTATGTTGAAAGTTGACCCCATGAAGTTGGGTTTCTTGGAGTGTTTCGACGCCTCGGTATATGGAAGGTCGGGAACTACCACGTCATTCCAGAAGTGGTCTTTCACGAACGGAGGGTGCTTCCCACAGCACTGGTCGACTAGCGTAAACGCAACCTATAAAGAATTGGATTGATTGGTTTGTTGGTTTGTTGTTTTACGCCGCACTCAGCAATATTCCAGCTATATGGCGGCGGTCTGTAAATAATCGAGTCTGGACCAGACAATCCAGCGATCAACAGCATGAGTATCGATCTACCAAACTGGGATACAATGACATGTGACAACCAAGTCGCCTTTTTACGACGAGCAAGGGTTGCTGAAGACCAATTCTATCCAATTTGATAGAAATGAAACCAGGTACTGTGCTGACAAAAAGATCATATTCAGTACGAATCAGCCATTAAAACTCGCAATCAGCCAATCCTGGCGTTACCAAGGAACTCAACTCTGCACAGTGCATGACTTCCGGCTTCTTACACCAGCTGGCTATTCTATCAACAATGACCCGTGAAGATCCGGATTAGAACTGATCTTCAGCAACCCATGCTTACGTAAGAGGCGGCTAACGGGTGGTCAGGCCTCGCTGACTTGGTTGACACATGTCATCGTATCCAATTTGTGTAGATGTTCATGCTGTTGATCACAGGATGTTTCGATCAAGACTCGACTATTTACAGCCCGCCGCCATATTGCTGGAATATTGCTGATTGCGGCTTTAAATAACAAACAAACCCATCAGCAATGGAAGCTTAAGATCAAATTAAACAAACAGTTGTGATAAAACGCGTGCTCTTGCAGATAAGAAGCAACCTATAGCTGTAGGAACCTGATCGTACGCACCTGCATTGTATTACTGTCTATAGAGCGATCAAAATGATGGAAATATATATGCTGCTGTATAGAAACTTTAACGATCTGCTTTATGTGCAGCCCTAAATTTCTAAATTCATTGCATCATTAGAAACAGGAAATGTTCCGATATAGACCGGATGGGCTTCACTCACCGCCGTGTGCCGATCTAGAAGCCAATTAATGTCGAAGTCGTCATCATCCTCGCCGAACGGGTTGATTAGCTGCTCAGCGACCTGTCAATCAAACGGTTGTAAATAGCAGATATATACACGAGCTAATGAAGAGCTTTCATCGGCTTTCTACAGATCGGTGCAGGTGTTTAGGAACCAACCATTTAAATTCTTTCGAGAAAGAATATTTTTTTCAGTCAGTGCTTCGATTAATTTCTTTTCTCTAAAAGTAGGAATCAAGCAACATTTTTTTCAGATATGTTCAGCTGTTAATCTAGTTTTATGTAAAACTAAATATCCGACTATTTTCAGAAAAGATTATTTTCTTCAACAAAAGTACCCCTAACCGTCCTAATTGGAACATGTTTAGACAAAAAGCAAGGTGCCCCGAGCAATACATTTAGATTAATTATTTACTGATTTCATATCAACCTGTAACTACGGTTTGAAAGCCTAAAATAACAGTCACTTTCGAACATAATCTGTACATGTAATTGAGCTAAAATTACTACTGATGAACACTTCCATATTTATAACCTGCACCTGGTGCTACTACTACAACTACTACTATTGCTGCTGCTGTTGCTGCTGTTCTTACTGCTACAACAACTACTATTAACACTGCTACAACAACAACTACTACTACTACCACTAATCATACTGCTACTACTATTTGCTGCTACTACTACTACTGCCACTACCATTGCTACTGCTGCTACTATTGCTACTGCTGCTACTACTATTACTACTACCACTGCTACTACCACTGCCATTGCTACTACTACTGCTACTACACCACTACCATTGCTGCTACTACTCTTACTGCCACCGCTACTGCTACTACTACTACCATTGCTACTGCTGCTTCTGCTACTACTGCTACTACTACTACCACTACCATTGCTACTGCTACTACTATTACTACTGCTACTACTACTGCTACTACTACTACTACTACTACTACCACTACTACCATTACTACTACTGCTGCTACTACTACTCTTGCTACTGCTACTACACCACTACTACTACTGCTGCTACTGCTGCTACTACTACTACTGCTACTGCTACTACTACCGCTACTTGCTACTGCTACTACTACTACTGCTACTACACTACCACTACACTGCTGCTACTACTGCTGCTACTACTACTACTACTACTGCTACTGCTACTGCTACTACTACTACTACTGCTACTACTACTGCTACTACTGCTACTACTACTACTACTGCTACTACTGCTACTACTACTACTACTGCTACTACTACTACTACTACTGCTGCTACTACTACTACTACTACTACTACTACTACTGCTACTACTGCTACATCTGACCTTCAGCCATCTACCATGCTAGAAGAAGAACTGCGTGATGACCTTCAAGTAAACACAGGAATGTAGTAAAGTCGAATGTAGAAGTCGTATTCGTAGCCGTCGTACTGTTGGAGAGGGTCCAGAAACTGACGCCCCAGAATGCACGCCGCAAAAAACATGTGCACGGCCAGCGTCACAACCTGCAAATACCCAAGTATGTGATTTCACTGAAATTACCTCATCGAACATACTTAAAATACTTCTCCGGGGGACCGCCTCCGTGGTGTAGTGGTTAGAGCGTCCGCCTGGAGAGCGGAAGGTTGCGGGTTCGATCCCCGACCGCGTCATACCAAATAGACGTTAAAATATGGTACTTGTTGGTCCCTGCCTGGCGCTCGGCATTAATGGGTACAACAAGGACTGGTCGGCTCGGAGTTAGTATAATGTGTCTGAGTGGGGTATTCATGCTTCACTGCGGCATGGTATCTCAGTGGGCTAGCACTATAAAACCAGCTTAAGTCTGGGCTAGTACAAGCAGCCGCACATACACATACATATGCATGCATGTCGTCATATGAGCGAAATATTCTCAAGCACGACGTAAAAGCAAATTTCACCTCACCTCACCTCCGGGGCGGTGGGGTAGCCCAGTGGTTAAAGCGTTCGCCCGTCACGCGGAAGACCTGGGTTCGATTCCCCATATGGGTACAATGTGTGAAGTCCATTTCTTTCAAGCCCAGTGCCCCCCGCCGCGATATTGCTGGAATATTGCTGAAAGCGGCGTCAAACTCACTCACTCATTAAACATATTTAGAATACTTCTCACCAAATACCAATAATGGCTGTAAGTGTTAATCCCAGTGGAAAGCTAAGATTGGCGCATGTATCTGTATATTTTTAGTCGTAACTTTGTGCACAGAATAGCCATGACATGAGTCACGTTTAGCGGCATCTGCCGTCATTGGTGCATCCTTCTTCGAATCAGTTACTGAAACAGGTATCAGTTTTGGACTAGATGTGGTAGGATTAATAAGTGAGATCAAGTAAACTATAGGTTGACAGTAGGATCTATTGACTAAATGTCACTCTCAGTCAATAGCTCGGTGACACGTCATCGTATCCCAGTTACGAAGATCAATGCTCATGTTGTTGATCACTGGATTGTCTGGTCAATTAAGACCGGCGTCATATTGCTGGAATACTGAAGTGTATGGCGTTAATAAACAACAAACAAATTAATTATTAAACAACAGGGAAAGTTTTATGGATTTAAACTTCTTTATTATTAAAGTAAGCGACGTTTCGGTGTAGATGCCGTTATGCAGCAAGTGCAAGTCATCATCCATAGAACTTTCCCCGTTGTTCATCACACCAGCTTCTAAATGCCACCCAAAGAAGTCGATTGACTGATCAACTAAAGCGAGAAAGGGAAACCCAATTCAAACTCTTGTTTTCGGTTTAATGTCATTGTTGCATCTATTTCTTGAATTCTACTGGTTGATAACATGGACTCAAGCGAACCCACCTGTGTGTAAACGAGGGGGATTGTGATCCAGTCGTACACGAAACACAGAGAACATTTATCTCGGAACGTTGCCAGTTGCTGAAACACAGACATGCGCTGATAAGAGCATCTGAGTGGAAACGATAATTCATACAGACAATAAGTTACACAGCAGAATTCATGCAATCCTTATCAGTCCCCAAAGAAAGCTAGCTGGTTTAAAACAGAACATATTCTACATCGCACAGAATAATGAGGTAAGAAATCCCATGTCATAGATGTGTTCGGGTGCATCAGCAGGGTTCTAGTGCAAAAGAATTAACCGTCATAACCTGCGAGTCGAACTTCCTACTGACGGCACAACAGACTGTTGGGGCATACATGCCAACTACTGACAACGAACAATAATCGGCGTGTTGAAGGTATATGAAAGATGGCCCTAATCAGCCACCATAGAAATCGGGTTAGACTGATTGTGTCCTACGATGGTCTCGTAATGGTCTCTGCTCCAGGTACAAGTTGTATCCACATAAATAGTTACGGATTTTGTATTGGGCCGACCACGAATCATGTTCTGTAGTCTATTGCTTTCAGGGCCGGTGGGGTAGCCTAATGGTTAAAGCATCCGCTCGACCCGGGTTCGATTCCCTTCATGGGTACAATGTGTGAAGCCCATTCCTGGTGTCCTCCGACGTGATATTGCTGGAATATTGCTAAAAGCGGCGTATATCCATACTCACTCACTCAATCTTGCCTTCACTTTTAATACAGGAACTATACTGGTCAAGTGATCAGTCGTGCAGACTTAGGTCACATGCCATTGGGTCGCCTCTGCGGATCGTATAACGCGGCTGGGGGTCGAACCGCCGACCTTCCGTTCTCCGGACAGACGCGGAGATGTCTTTACAACATTTTTGCATGTCATTCAAAATTTGTTTCTTTGTTTGCCCGCAATAATAGCAGGTTGTACAATTACTAAATAGACACACCGTACTATTACTGAAATACTGTTCAAAGCGACATGAATCCTAATAGTGCAGGGGCTTATGTAAGAAATATGTTTTCCGTGGAAAGTGCATGTTAATTTTTGGAACCACTGATAATTGTAATCAGTATTGCATATGGATTCAGAAAAACCATGGTTCCATTTTTGTGATGATTGTAAGTGTCAATCTGGGGTAACTGAACATCGGTACCCATAATGACATGTAATTCCCACGGAATGACACAAGCCCCTGCACTATAACTCGCTCACTCACTCACACAAACGTTGTACAAAATATATTCCACACAGATTCCTAATTTTGTGATCTCAGTGTAATCTAGATCCACCCAGTTGAACTAGATTCAACTAGATTCACCCAGTTGAACTAGGTTCAACTATTCGCCCAGTTGAACTAGATTCAACTAGATTCACCCAGTTGAACTAGATTCAACAAGATCCACCCAGTTGAACTAGATTCAACTAGATTCACCCAGTTGAACTAGATTCAACAAGATCCACCCAGTTGAACTAGATTCAACTAGATTCACCCAGTTGAACTAGATTCAACTAGATCCACCCAGTTGAACTAGATTCAACTGGATCCACCCAGTTGAACTAGATTCAACTAGATTCCAGTTGAACTAGATTCAACAAGATCCACCCAGCTGAACTAGATTCAACTAGATTCACCCAGTTGAACTAGATTCAACTAGATCTACCCAGTTGAACTAGATTCAACTAGATTCGCCCAGTTGAACTAGATTCAACTATTCGCCCAGTTGAACTAGATTCAACTAGATTCACCCAGTTGAACTAGATTCAACTAGATCCACCCAGTTGAACTAGATTCAACTAGATTCACCCAGTTGAACTAGATTCAACCTTAGTACAGGAGTGTTGAAAGCAGTTACATGTCGCAATTACCCACTTGGGTAATGTGCAGAGCTTATTTTGCGTTTCTGCTAACATTACTGCTAACAGCGTAGAGAAACCCAACACTCCCACTGATTTCGCCATTTGCAGTTCATACCTCGATGATCATTCGGAGACCAAAATCGTTCTCTATCTTCCCCTCCCGTCGAGCTTGAACCAGCACGCTGTTGGCCCACATAAGGGGCACCCAGAACTTGTGGAACTGACACTGTGTGTCCTCAAACGTCATAGCTTCGTCCTTGGTGATGAAACCTACAGCAGCAAAACAACGTCATGAACACCACCTCAGCCAGATCGGGTTTCGTTAACTATGAATGTGTCGCTGCTATCTATTACATTGGTCGTCCCAGCGATACAACACAGGCCCCTTTGTTTCAAATCCAACCCGGGTTAGAAGTGATCTTCAGTAACCCATGCTTGTAAGAGGCGAATAACGGGATCGGGTGGTGCAGCTCGTTGACTTGGTTGACACGTGTCATCGTATCTCAATTGTGTAAATCGATGCTCATGCTAGTGATCACTGGATTGTCTGGTCCTCACCCGAATATTTAAAGACCGTCGCCATGTAGCTGGATACTGCTGAGTGCGGCGTAAACCAACAGCCAGCCAACCGAAGACTACGTTGGACAGTAATCTAGGAGTGAGTGAATGGTATTTAACGTTCGAACCCCCTGAACCCCCCATTGGCTCCGCCAACGCAAAAGAAAAATCTTCAATGTTATCTTAAGTAATTTTCAAAAGGGGGAGTTCGAAACACACACACCCCCCCCATCCCCCATCCCCACCCCCCGACACGACAATGAGTACTGAGGAGAAATGTTTCACCCCGGAAAACGGGATTGCTTAAGCAGGTATGCAGGGCGGCAAGTGCTCATCAACATTGAAAACACCGTGTCTTTGTTTTCTTGCTGCCACGCGTTCTGTGAGAATCGTTGATTTTTTCGTCATACGACCTTGTGAGAGACCCCGGGCTCGTTAGTCACTTTCTTCAAACCTTAAACATTAATCATCTAGTTCAAGCTACCCTATGTAACAGTTACTCCCACCTAGTCCTTAAGCCTGATCCTCCTCGTCCCACTCCTCGCCCCGCACCCCCTAGTCCTCCTGACCCCACTCCAAACACCTTACAACTGAGTTTACAAGTCTCCTAAGTTAGGCTTGACCTTTACTTAGCCCGGTCCCAAACAAACGATCCTCATCGCCCGTCCTCAAACAACACACAACACAGTTCATCGGTCCCTGAAAACCTACTCGCCCCGCTCCCTTGACCTCCTCGTCCCACCCCTTGTCCTCCTCGCCCCGATCCCTTGTCCTCCTCGCCCCGGTCCCTTGACCTCCTCGCCCCGCTCCCTTGACCTCCTCGTCCCACCCCTTGACCTCCTCTTGTCCCGCCCTTGACCTCCTCGCCCTCGCCCTTGACCTCCCTCGCCCCGCTCCTTGACCTCCTCGTCCCACCCCTTGTCCTCCTCGCCCCGGACCCCCTTGACCTCCTCGCCCCGGTCCCTTGACCTCCTCGTCCCCTCCCTTGACCTCCTCGTCCCACCCCTTGCCCCGACCCTTGACCTCCTCTGCCTCGCCCTTGTCCTCCTCGCCCCGCCCTTGTCCTCCCTCGCCCCGCTCCCTTCCCTCCTCGCCTCCTCGCCCCACCCTTGACCTTCTCGCCTGACCCCTTGTCCTCCTCGCCCCGACCCCTTGTCCTCCTCCCCCAAACCCCTTGTCCTCCTCCCCCGACCCCTTGACCTCCTCGCCCTGACCCCTTGTCCTCGCCCCGCCCATTTCTCCTCCTCACCCCGCCACAAACAACACAACCGGGTTTACCTGCCTCTACAATGTGGTCAAGAGTTGGGAACCGCTTCATGACAGCCACGCTGACCGAACGACAGATCAGGATGAGCCCAAACAGCATGTACCGAGCCACCGTCCGTCTCATTATCCGGGACCTTTCGTCCAGCCCCGTCAGGTACGTTGTCATAATGAACAGTGTCCTGCATCAAACAGTGAATGTTATTGAACTCCTCGGAAGCAACAGTCACATCTAATATCGTATGCACGTATACAGTTGAAAACACTGTCTGAGAAGCGAGGTTTGTTGTGTACAGTACACAGGGCGCCGTTCTACACAATAAAATTACCGCTACGAGTGTCTCAAGTCCACATTAAGGATGGGAATTACAATCACTTCAGCCTTAGGTTCACTTTCTACAATGACACCCTTTCCCCCGTAACATAACTTCAGTACGCACTATTACAAATGTCTTCATCATCATTAAAATCAAAATATTAACCATAGAAGTAGATCAAGTGTCATTTGAACCTACACCTATTGAATGAATATACAATATGCATGACGTCACAAATGGATGACGTTTCGTCATTATAACAATAGGTTTGACACTTCCTATTTTGTTCCCCTTCATTTTCTCTCTGTATCTGTGATACACATCTGAATAATAATAATATCTGCCCCTCCTAATTATATGCTGTAAATCTTTCGTCATATATCTTGATGTGGTTTAAGATTTATGGGGTCGTTCTGGTTTCTCATGACACCCAAGAACGTTCTTCCCACTTCTATTTAGATGATGATTGGGTCCTTTCAGCAAATTCAACCTGCTTCACGACTGATGAGTCGTTACTATTGCCTATTAGAACGGGCCATAGACCGACCTCTTGTCCATAATACTTGTCTATTTGCAAAATAATTCATCCTTTCCTATTCACAAAATTATCCCTGACAATCTTAAATATCCTTCCAGACACTTAAAATCACGTGAAAATGTTCCCCTACAGCTTGTTCAAATAATCGTTTATCCAATCCTACTTTAACGTTGGGTTGGCGCCAATGTTGATATTTTACAACCAAACCCGATATAAAGCCTCGAGCGACAAAGAACACGTGGAGCCGAAACTGTGTCTGGTTCATCCGGAATTTCTACTTGACCGATTCCTGTCATCAAAGCCAAACGGCGGTAACTGAAGAGTAGATAAATGTTGTTTAACTTCACAGTCAGCTGTTTTATTATCCTCCCCACTTGAAATAGAATAATAAAAGTTTGTGAATTTTATTTGACCATGATTGTTACAGGTGTGCCAACACTTATAAAATGAAAACCGGCAATTTCGCCTCTCTCTACACAAATTGTAACCACGGGATCAGAACTCAATGGTAATATTTATCGCTAGCAAAAGGCACACTTTGGAATTTTTGTCATTTCTGGAAGTAATATACCTTATCTGCGGAATGTCATGTTTTCACTTTATAATTATCAGCACATATGCAATATTCTCCGTTAATTAACAATTAATGTATTTTAGATGCATGACGTATGTAAAGTAAGAATGTTCTGGCCAACTCTTTGACTGAAGTTGTTGCTGTCATGCGCGCGTTCCGATTGCTTTGTCGTTTTTTCTCACATCACGTTTATCGATATTGGGACGAGTAGACTTGGAAGTTACGGAAAGGTACGAGTGGTGACGAATGGGGCCAAAGGTCCATTCCACACAGCGACCACAGAACTAAGATTCTAGTATATATTATACATCTTTGGTGATATTCATCCCAATGTTCAACACGACCTTTTCTCCTTTGAGAAAATACATGTACATAGTCCAAACAAACGACCCCAAAACAAAACAAAACTATCTAGATTTCGTCGTGCTTAGGTAGCTCACCTGTCCGGCCAAGGGACGTTCATGAACTGTTGCCACCATCTCCGCACGACTAAGGACACGTAGAAGCCGAGCACGAAGGAAACGGGGATGAGGCTGGTGAAGCTGTTACAGTGGATAACGATCTTCTCGAATACTCTGAAACAGATTATACGTGTCTTAAACACGTGAGAAACTGGACATCTGTTAACCATCATGTGACACAGCGTACATCTGCTAAACATCATGTGATACAGTGTACGTCTGTTAAACACCATGTGACACAGTGTACATCTGTTAAACACCATGTGACACAGTGTACATCTGTTAAACACCGTGTGACACAGTGTACGTCTGTTAAACACCGTGTGACACAGTGTACGTCTGTTAAACACCATGTGACACAGTGTACGTCTGTTAAACACCATGTGACACAGTGTACATCTGTTAAACACCATGTGACACAGTGTACGTCTGTTAAACACCGTGTGACACAGTGTACGTCTGTTAAACACCATGTGACACAGTGTACGTCTGTTAAACACCGTGTGATACAGTGTACGTCTGTTAAACACCATGTGACACAGTGTACGTCTGTTAAACACCATGTGACACAGTGTACATCTGTTAAACACCATGTGACACAGTGTACGTCAGTGTACGTCTGTTAAACACCGTGTGACACAGTGTACGTCTGTTAAACACCATGTGACACAGTGTACGTCTGTTAAACACCGTGTGACACAGTGTACATTTATTAAACACCATGTGACACAGTGTACGTCTGTTAAACACCATGTGACACAGTGTACGTCATTAGATACAGTTAAAACACCATGTAACACAGTGTACATTTATTAAACACCGTGTGACACAGTCGTACATCTGTTTAGTTCGATTCCTGTTTGTTTCAACACGTGAAACCCATTTATGGTGACCCTTCACTCATTATACAGGAATAGTTCTGACGGACCAGAGCGAGGCTCAGAAAGGTTGGTTTAAAATTAGCTAGGGTTGGATGTTCTGAATGAACCCTGGACGATCCGGCTTAGAATCGATCTTCAGCAACCTATACTGCGCGTAACTAACAGGATCGGGGTGTCAGGCTTACTGAACGGGTTGATGCACGTCATCGTATCCGAACTGTATAGATCGATGCTCGTGATTCTAATCAGTGTAATCACTGGATTGTCTTGTCCAGACAGCATGTCATATAGCTCGGATATTGCTGGGTGCGGCGTTTAACAACAAACAAACAACGACGTATGGTTTCACTTATAAGCCATATCGAACATAAACATTGTTCCTAATTTTTCAACTATCGATAATTCAAAATATCTTAGCAGTGGTTAAAGCGTTACGTCACGCCGAAGACCGGGTTCGAATACTTCAAGTATATGTCCCCGCCGTGATGGCTGGAATACGCGGCTAAAACCCGTAACGGTGCATGTGATTATATTTTTTACGCCTCCGTAACGGTGCATGTGATTATATTTTAATTTTCAACTACAACTAAATTTAAAATAGGGTATTAGGTCGAAGGCAACAGGAAGTACGTGTGGATCAACTCGTTCAAACTGAGAGGTTCGTTAGCTCCACACAGAGCCTGGTTGATGCACCGTGTAGGGAGTTAAACATCTGATGTTCAGCTGATGGTCGACGGTCGCAGTGACCTATATCGAGGTCACCTTGGATACTTACACAGTCGCCAAGAATAAAAAGTGTACACCTAAAATAGAATGAGTTTAGATTTAACGTATCCTGGTTGGTCTACCGTTGATCCTTATTAAATGTAAAATGATTCAAAATCATCCATTGCGTGATTATGTACTTTTTGGCAATTCCTAAAAAAACTATGAGATGGGAAATATATAAAAGTTTAAAATGTTTTTAAATGTTCATATAAATTTATGTTGTCGCTAACGCCCATCTGCCAATCTTTACACCAAAATGAAATTAATTGTTTTCTTAAAAAATGTGTTAAATTGTAAACATAATTAACAAATCTGAAATAAGACATTCCGTAAGAAATTCTCTTCGTCTAAATGATGAAAATAGGTCAGCGTGTAGAAAGGCTCCATCTTCCAGACAACTCGGTCATAACTGTCAGTGTGCTGTATTACAAGTCTTCAGCGTATTGTGCACAGCTTCCCTCTCGTCGCCCAGGCATAGGATGTGTCATATTTTACTGCCTGCTGGTTTTAATATGGTCACAAACGACTTGGGTTAGTGGGTTGACGAATGGTGGGGTGACGTGACACTCTTGTCTGATTATGTGGTACTGGACATGTAGCTTCATAAACAATAAATGTCAGGAATAACGTGCTGTTGTCCATCCTCGAGCTCCTCCTCTCTCCTCCTCATTATCATCATCATCACCATCATCAACGACGTCGTCGTCATCATCATCATCAACGGCGTCGTCGTCGCCATCATCACCATCATCAACGGCGTCGTCGTCGTCATCATCATCATCATCATCATCAACGGCGTCATCATCATCATCATCAGGGTCGTTGTCATCATCAGCGTCTTCGTCATCATCATCATCATCAAAGGCGTCATCAACATCAGCATCAAGATCAACGGCGTCGGCGTCATCAAAATCATCATCGGACTCGTTGTCATCATCAGCAGCGTCTCGTCATCACAATCATCATCAACGTCATCGTCGCATATCATCATCATCATCATCGGGGTCGTTGTCATCATCATCATCATCATCATCATCATCGTCATCATCATCATCATCATCGTCATAACCGACGTCATCGTTGTCGTCAACATCATCATCATCATCATCAACGTCGTCGCCATCATCATCATCATTATCGTGCATAATCATCTACATGTATATTAAGCCTGGATCTAATCAGTCGGCTGATTTACTGAATACATAGTGTGCCAAATCCAAACCCTAAAAAAGCATTGTCTAAGCGCCTATATTATTAGCGGTATCATACAAAGTGGTCACGATCTCCAAGAAAATTTAATATTTTTTGCGCCTCCTAAGTTCTTAACAGAGGGCATGAAGGCTCGGGCGGCTAAATGGAACCTTGACCACTTGTATTTCACAAACCTTGACACTTTTCAGACTTTAGTTATTCTGTCTGCACTCATATCTGTGAGAAGGATTGGTACATCCTTGAGTGTCTGAATCTGTCACCACAATGATGTGTACATGTTTTTATTCCAAAACACGCCGCCATGCTCTATAAAAAAATGTTAATAAGTGAGTGAGTGAGTTTGGTTTTACGTCGCTTTCAACAATATTCCAACAATATCACGGCGGCGGACACCAGAAATGCTCTTCATGGGTTAGCCTAGTGGTAAAAGCGTTTGCTCGTCATCCTGAAGACCGGGTTCGATTCCCCACATGGGTACAATATGTGAAGCCCATTTCTGGTGTACCCCGTCGTGATATTGCCTGAATGTTGCTAAAGCGGCGTAAAACCAAACTCACTCACTCACTCGAACTGAAGATATTTTAAAGCCTACCCATTATGCATTTTAGTCAAACCTCTGTATTTCATGTTGCTGTAAGTGGAATTCTAAGTGTTCCACTTACAACTCCAAGAGCCGAACATGCGAGATGCACCCCGCTTATAATTGCTTCATTTGAAACCTATTCGGTAATATTCCACGCAGTTACATTATTCATCCTCTTGAGCAGGTAACACATGACTTCAATCCTAAACATCTTAGTAAAATATGTGAAATAATTGCAAATCCCAATTTCCACATATTCAGCCAGCTTTATTTCTTGTGAAAGTAGCGATATTTCTCCACTTGACTTTAACATCGTTCAATCTGACGGAACGTCTGTACGTAACCGGGGCCACCCTCTTTATACCTGCTTGTAAATGTTGCGGGCGTCATAAATGTCGGCTAGCATAATGTCGGTTGTCGAAAACACTGAAGTAATTTATTCTGAAGGTCTTGAGGAAATGTATTAATGCTATTCATGACCATTAATATATAGGGCTGGTTCCCGACTTATTTGAACTGACCTTATTTCCGTTCAAGAATTATCAAGTCGCATAGCAACGTTCTTTTATCACAGCTGTATCAGAATGAACGATGAGAGCTCAAAGTGATGTAGGTCAGTGTGAACATGGCTATCAGAATATCCACACTAAAACTATTTGGTTGAAGTCTCGGGTTTTACGAAACAATGAATGTGATGATGGATGTTGAAAGATATTTTGTGAAAAGTATTAAAAGAAATCTGCCCCTAAAATTCCCGGCCATCGCCCCAAAAAGCCACATATACCACTGTAAATAAATAAATAAATAAAATGGTATGTTTAACACACACAAAAATATAACAGCCCGTTAACAAAAACATTTTTAAACGATTATTGATGCAATTACCAAGAATATTTCACTTGAAAGTTTGATTTGGATCGGTAAGGTGGCAACCAAGAAATATTTTGCCTGGTCTGTACAAATATTTTAAATCCAAAATCTGACAGTTGTGATTCATTGCAATTTTCATTGTCAAAGCGGTGCTTTCCGTCAGTGGTGTCATACAGCCCTTGTCATTCCGGTTAATTTTTTTCAGGAATTTTGATGTTTTAGATCGGCGGATCAGTGCACCAAGCTGAAATTTCTTTTTTAAGACCTGAGAAAATCTGGTCGTTTTCTATGCATACCAGACAAGGAAAATGTCTGTTAACAGAATTAATGGCACAGATATATCTCTTTTTGACGCTTGAGTTTTTCATGATCAGAGTCGGCCATTGCATATTTTAATACCAAGTGTGGTTTTAGTTCAGCCAAGAGCGTCGTCGCTATGTTGCAAGTGACAAGCTTATGTGAAGATGGAGGTGAGTTGATGAGGTAACACTGCTGTGGCCTATCTGTCTCTTGAAGAAGCAGTACTTGTTCATACAAGTGACTTGACAGATTCCTACACGTGACTTGACAGATTCCTAACCATCTTTGCCTATCAAGTTAATATTTGTCACATTTTCAATAAAAAATATCTAACACACTCCCAGTTAAAGGGACAGACAGAATCACAGATTCGTAACCCTCGTCTTCCTATCAGGTATTTCTTTCAAAGCATTTTCGATAATAAAGGTGAAAATGCTTGTCTCTCGTAGACGCCTTTCTTTGAAAGCACCACACACCGATAAATGTTCATTCGGACTAACTTGCGAGATGAGGTGCCGTTGAATATTGCACATATTTAGAGTGAGTGAGTGGATTTGGTTTTACGCCGCTTTTAGCAATATTCCAGCAATATCACGGTGGGGAACACCAGAAATGGGCTTCACACATTGTACCCATGCTGGGAGTCGAACCCGGGCCTGTGTTTTTTTAAAAATTTGAATTTATCTTTTGTAGTTTGGGTTTGTTCTGTTGTTGTTGTTGTTGTTGTTGTTGCTTACAGTGTAGCAGACATCACCTGCCCAGTTACAGTGTAGCAGACATCACCCGCCCAGTTACAGTGTAGCTGATCTCATCAGGAAGACATTAACATGTTATTGACGCATGTCATCGTAGCCTAATTGTGTACATCGATGCTCAAGCGTAGATTGATCATTGATCACTTGATTGTTTGGTCCAGACTCAATTATTTACAGACTAGAACATTGCTGAGTGCGGCACGAAAGATATAAATACTAGCTATAGTAACCTTTTACCTTCTCTGAGGTTCAGTAAGTAGCAGGCGATACAACAGGCTGATCGATGTGTACATAAATCCAAATATCATCATCTCCTTGAACATCAGCTTGTAGACGCTTCCCTTCCACGCTGCAAGGAGCTTGACAAAGCCCCCAGTGACGTTGTCGCCACCCGGTATTGGTAGATGATCGTCATGGCAACAGCTCAAACAGATCATCACTGACAAGATGGCGGCATTCTAACTGAGGGCGTCAGGTCGCCAGAACTCCATTCCTACGAAACGAAACAGAATTAATATAATTTTAGTCAAAACATATAATAACAAAACAAAGGTGTGTTTTAAACAATGAGTCACTTCAAGCAGGCGCAGTCGGAGTCATGTTCGCACTTCAAAGGAAGTACTCTCTTTGTCTATTATTAACGCCGCGCTAATATTAACATGGGGAAAATGAATGGAGTTTAGAAATATCTTTGACGATTATATGGTAGTGGAACTTGGAAATATTATAGACTAACTGACCTCGTGAGTGAGTGAGTTTAGTTTTTCGCCACACAGCAATGTTCCAGCTATATGGCGGCGGTCTGTAAATAATCGAGTCTGGACCACACAATCCAGTGATCAACAACATTAGCATCCATCTACGTAATTGGGATACGATGACATGTGTCATCCCGATGATACCCGATCTAATTAGTCGCCTCTTACGACAAGCATGGGTTACTGAAGATCAATTCTAACCCGGATCTTCGGGACTATCCGAAACCTGCCAAAGGTCACAAGTGATACTCATTACATGGTAAATATTTTGATAACGTAGACGAGAGAATTTCTTACCTGAGTAAATAAACGTGAGTTTGTTGGACAACCACCGAAAGATTTGTGACTGTCTGTCTTTCGTAATTTATACCAATTCCAGCTATCACAGATAATCGCATTTACTGATTAAACCGACGATAAAGTTGTTATTGTGAACTTGAGATTATATCATTTAGTTTGACCGAAGCATCGACGATAAATGTGTATAATGGGTGACCAGTATGCCACGAAGGTGTGTGTGGCATACGCGTGATTTGACCAACATGGAACATAAACATCCAATAGAGATAAACGCATCGATTGCACCTTGGCTCTGTTAGCTTAAGAGATACTGGTCCCGGATTATGTCCGATGTTGATTGTGACTTGTGACCCTTGGCAGGTTTAAGATAGTGGAACGTAGTCAGTTAGTCTATGATATTTCCAATAACATATGATCGTGAAAAATGTTTCTAAACTCATTTAATTTTCCCCATGTTAATACTAACAATATTCTGAACGACGGAAATCTGTAGACAATGAAGTCTGTTGTAGACAATAGAAGCCCTGGGCCCCGTTTAACAAAACTCTCAAGCTTAAGATCTCGCAACTTTTCTCGTAGCATTCGTACCTCCCATACTGTGACATAGGAAGTTCGAATGCTAAGAGGAAAGTTACGAGATCTTAGGGCCCCATTTCACAAAGTGATCGTAGCGCTAAGGTGATCGTAACTCCCATACTTCAACATAGACTTACGACAGTCGTAGCGCTACGATCGCTTTGTGAACGACAAACGGGCCCCAGGTATTTACACGACCAACCAACCAACCAACCAGCCAACCAACCAACCACCAAACCAGACCAGATCAGCGGTTCAGCTGAGCTGCCACTTAAAGCAAGGTCGGAAGACTAATTTCGATCCGAACAGCTACGACTCTGAATCTTTAGGCTGTAACGATGTAACGAAAGACATTCGCTACCATGCGGGACTGAAATACTGTTCACAGCGGGATTGAACGACACTGACATATCCTAAACATAAGCACACCATTAAAGGCATGCTTGGATTTCCTGACTTAACTGACTCGAAAACTGAAAGATGTTCGTGGGTACAATGTTCCATTCCATGGGGACAATGTTCCATTCCATGGGTACAATGTTCCATTCCATGGGTACAATGTTCGATTCCGTGGGTACAATGTTCCATTCCATGGGTACAATGTTCCATTCCATGGGTACAATGTTCGATTCCGTGGGTACAATGTTCGATTCCATGGGTACAATGTTCCATTCCATGAGTACAATGTTCGATTCCGTGGGTACAATGTCTGAAGTTCATTCTGGTGTTCCCTGCCGTGATATTGCTGGAAAATTGGTAAAAGCGGCGTAAAAACAAACTCACTCACTAACTCCGGGCGTGAAACTCTGTTACACCTCTCTCTGAAGGTGCGGACTAGAAAGGTCAACAGTTGTGATGTCCTTTGACATTCACATCTTCTTCTGAACGGGACGGAATGATATCCAAGAAAAAACAGATCCCACTTAATGTTTACTTATGATCAGAACTTCTGTCATGAAGTGTAACAGTTTCTTTCGTAAAGAAAAATCATTAGTGTGCTCAACAGTGAAATCACGCCATCTTGTAGTGAAAGTATAGTGAAAGCTGCCTATCATTTACTTCTGGGCGTGGTAATATATGCAGTTCGGGCGTCGGAGAAGACAACAAGTGACAGCTAATTTGACTCTCAATGGAATGATGTATATCACAAATATTGCCCACGGAATTTAAAGTGTCTATCCCTGCTGTTATGTAAAAGTGTGCTTTAATTAAGCTGATACCTGAAACACGAGCTAAATATATACATTTTGTAGTTTTTAAACCTGGAATTCTGAACATGACACACGGAATTTGATGATTGTAGCATAGGTCGTTAAAGAAACACAATCATCCTTCCCCACTCCGGCTAGGGGGAAATAACAAGAATATCATTTATAATATTAGTGGCCATGGGGAAACCTAGCGTTTAACACGTTCGCTCGTCACGCCGAAGACCCGGGTTTGATTCCCTACATGTGAAGTTCATTTCTGATGTTCCTTGTCGTGATGTTGATGAAATATGGCGAAATGTAGCGTAAAACCATATTGACTCACCCACTGAGTTCGGTTTGCCGATATACGATATAGTGCTGCCTGATCAACGATGAAAATCGAAACGAATTTAGGATTGGAGTACGTGATCATTCGTTCCTGGCACAACTAAGAGAGATTACTCTGCACAGTGTTCAGTCCTACTCAGAAAAGAAAGGAGGATAAAGATTTTATTATTTTGGATTTGTTTCCTTGTTAAATGCATTTGGTATGGTTTGGTTGTTGCTGAACGCAGTAATCAGCAATACTCCAGCTATATGGCGGCGGTCCGTATATAATCGAGTCTGGATCAGACAGTGATCAACAGCATGAGCATCGTTCTACGCAATTTGGATACGATAACATGTGTCAACCAAGTCAGCGATCTCGTTACACTTAGACTGTAAGAGACTCATATCTCAACATATTCATTCAAGTAAAACGTCTGTTACTGTAGTTTATATACATGTATTAGGTATTTGCCGAATCAACTTTCTCAATAATTTCTGAGAATACTATATATTTGGACCGGAATTGATAACACAGCCATTAATATCTCTGCGACATCCTTGTTCATAAATGCCCCGATTTGGTCTGTCCTTCTTCGTTATGCTCACATCCTGATGTTGTTCAAAGAAGTGATGAACCAGCGTAACTCTTATGTTAAAAAAAGCGCTTCTGTTGCACATTAAGCGTATTTTCTATACATACCACAAGTCCCCATATCCGTCTCAGTGAGTACATTTTGCTGGAAATATTCCACTTGCTGTTCTGAGTCAACACGGACGTTTACAGATCAGGATATGGTGCAGGAAGAAAAATATTTAGTGTTGACTGACAGAAAGGGTAGATATTATCAGTTTTCCTGACACTGAACATTTCTGTACGGAACTAGATATGATTGTTAGCCTTCAAAATGAGTGAATGAGTGAGTTTAGTTTGACGCCGCACTCAGCAATATTCCAGCTATATGGCGGCGGTCTGTAAATAATCGAGTCTGGACCAGACAATCCAATGATCAACAGCATGAGCATCGATCTGCGCAATTGGGAACCGATGACATGTGTCAACCAAGTCAGCGAGCCTGACCACCCGATCCCGTTAGTCGCCTCGTACGACAAGCATGGGTTGCTGAAGGTACATTCTAACCCGGACCTTCACGGCTGACCCTCAAAATGAAATATATTTTAACATGAGCTGGGATCAAAGGATACTGATAAGATGTCACAGAACCCACAAGGAATAAATACAATTTGATACGGCAAGTTGGATGGGTTTAAAAAGAATAATCTAATTCGAACCAGTTATGTGATTGGTTAAAAGTAGGTTATATTGAATTTCATCCCGAGATATGACTGGTTGAAAATAGATTAAACATAAAGTGTTCCCGAAATTACATTAAAACATAGGATGAAGCGAATCCAGTTTTTAAAAGAGGTTGCTCTTGTATTTTTCAACCCAAACCTACAAAATGACTTTTTATATGACGTCATACATTTAATACTAACAGGATATCCAGTTTGACATTGAAAGGAAAAGCGTCTGTATAGGAAATTATATTGCACAATGTATACCGAGTTGTGTAATGAACATGGCTCTCCTTGTAGCTCACGTTGTCACAACACCGGTAAACATCATGCTTTTGTCCGAGTTACGTCAATAGCTTGGTGCCTGTCATGCGGACATAGAATCCCCAATAGAAGCAATAAATCTGAAAACGATTAACGTTACCCACAAGTGAAGGGTGTCATGTCAAAAAGGTCAGCACGTCCGAGCATCAAGGTTTTCTGATTTTGATGATTGACATTTTTATATTCATGATGTTAATGCTGGTGCAAATATTGGCGCTGGATGTTAGAGTGAGTGAGTTTGGTTTTACGCCGCTTTTAGCAATATTCCAGCAATATCACAGCGGGGGACACAAGAAATGGGCTTAACACATTGTACCCATGTGGGGAATCGAACCCGTTTCTTCGGCGTGACGAGCGAACGCCTTAACCACTAGGCTACCCCACCGCCCCCTGGATGTTAGATCCACTAATGCTTCAAGTTTATAGTGAGTGAGTGAGTATGGTTTTAAGCCGCCTTTAGCAATATTCCATCACTATCACGGCGGGGGGACACCAGAAATGGACTTCACACATGGAATCGAACCCGGGTCTTCAGCGTGACGGGTGGACGCTTTAACCACTAGTCTACCCCACTAAAGTTAAGAATATTTTGCACTATACATCTATACTTGCACTTAACTGAGCACGTATACCTTTAAATGACATATTGTTATATGTATTCTGAATTTCAAACTAAACTGCCTTTGTTAAAATTCAGTCTCAAAACAGCGTCATTTCAAAATGTTTCAACAGGCATTGTGGCTCTTTGGAAGTTCAAATACCACATTACGGCCCCAGCAACGAATAATCACTAAAGCTGCATAAAATTGAAAAGTTATGTACAAACAGTCATTATGTTTATATTTAACCAACAAACACCTGTAACGAGCTGAGAACAATATGGCGTCGAAAGGTCAAGGTTGTTGCCACAGTAATCAAGCATGCTAGGAAGGCCATGTGTTGACAATGAACAGTAATGTTTTAAACGTTGGCAAACAAGTATGATGGCAAACAACTGCCACCTGTACGAGAATGGAGGTACATATCTACACGCATGTCGGGGCAGTTTTGTTTTCACTTCTGTTAACCTTGAACAGGAGTTCTACGGCCTTTTGCTTTGCATGTCATTGCGACATGCACGTAGGATAGGTTCAAGGTTCAAATGACACCATTACTTAAGTATTCCAGCAGATTATTATTATTTATTATTATAGGATATTTATATAGCGTGCATATCCAGGCAACTAGTGCATGCTCAAGGCGCTGGTATTTTCTCCCACGATCATTGGATGTAAATCTCAACGGCACATCGTATTATCAATCTCAACTCCCTTGGGAGTATACAACTCTTGCAGCCACTAGGCGCACCGAGTTATTGTGGCTTTCTCATCCTAACGAGGTACCCATTCACAGCTAGGTGGACTGGGACACATAGTCACAGTACTTTGTCCAAGTTCACTGCACGTTGCTGTACCCGCAACTGGGTGTTTGCACGTATTCATGTGACCACCATCTGGTCATATTCCAACGGATTCGTGGGTTCTTTTGAGTGCACAGGGTTGTGTACTGTACACTAGAGGTTGTGACAACACGGAAAGAGTCTGCACACAAAGTTGACTCCAGGTTTTCACACCCGGTCACAGGTGGGCTCGACCCCGACACCTCAACCCCGCTGGATCACTAGCCTGGCGCCTTAGCCAGCTCGCCCACCGCGTCCCACAGTACACAAACATACATGTTGAGTCATCGTAATGTGTCTTTCCAGAAACACATAAATCGAAATCAATCATATTTTTAAAAAATCCCAATTTAATCTGTACATTTAAGTTCTTTTGACTGACACCGCACTCAGGCATTTTCTAGCTACAGTGAGTGAGTGAGTATGGTTTTACGCCGCTTTTAGCAATATTCCAGTAATATCACGGCGGGGGACACCAGAAAAGGGCTTCACACATTGTACCCATGTGGGGAATCGAACCCGGGGCTTCGGCATGACGAACGATCCTTCTGGTCTAAATATTGTATAAAACTCGACTTTTATTTGTCAAACATTAAGTAACATTTTGTTTGTTTCAGGAAGTATCAGATAATGGGGCACGAACACGTGTTTCGATGGTGTAAAGAGAACGGTTGAGAACAAACCGCGAGTCTGGTGCATATCAAGTGTTTCATGCCTGGCACGATCCCCACAGGTTATTCCGCGCAGTGTGCCGCCCACACACTAAGACTGTTACTGCGAAAGGTTAGAAAAGTGTGGATATATCCATGCATTACCCGGTCTATGTATAATGGCGGATGATGTATTACTATGGCAACACGAAACTTCAATTTTGTATCATGTTTATATCATATCGACTTTTATCATCTCGAATCGTTAAAAATGATGATGATGACGACGACGAGTGAGTTTAGGGACCGTTCATAATTTATGGCTAGGGGGGGGGGGATGATGACTTTTATGGAGAAGCATGTACAATGTGGATGACCCCCCCTAAAATTTATGTACAAAATAAGTAACCCCCTGCATGTCATGTACAAAATCAATGACCCCCCATCCCCTTCCCATAATTTCTAAGCATAATTTTAAACATATTTTTATGTATAAAATTGATGACCCCCTTAGTACGTGTGTACAAAATTGATGACCCCCTAGCTCCCCAGAACAAAATGGGTGACCCCCCCTAGCCATAAATTATGAAATGGCTTCACACATTGTATCCATTTTGGGAATCGAAACCGAGACTTCGGCGTGACGAGCGAACGCTTTAACCACCTGGCTACCCCACCGCCCCTACGACGAGGATGATGATGATGATGATGATGATGATGACGACGACAGTGGTTGTGCTGATGAAGGTTGACATATTCATGATTTAAAATGTATAAATAGTTTTTTAACTCTTTTTCGGACAGAAATATAGGGTTTGGCAAGTTATAGCCCGTTCAACCTGCGGTGACTTGGGAAACGCCTTGTGGGACGTTAAGGAAGGTTCCTGTGTCTGAGTCCAACTAGAAGGGTAATTTTATGAAATTCCTTCCTTGAGAGAAATGCCGGGTCCAGGGTGCGATCGGTGTTTTCTACAATAGCCACCAGCTGTGTTCACGGCGAGGGCATTAAACAACTGCACAAATATAGATCCCACTTGAGCGCGTGTTCTGGACCGTGCTTTGCCTGCTGAGTGCTCGACAATAAACAAACACTGATATATGCCAACAAATGGCTCATGAATCTATTTTTAATAAACCTTCGTGATAAAATTAAGATACTAAAAGGTTGATTATCTTATGAGGGTGTTGTAGAGTTTACAATTTTATAATTTGAATAAATGGCATCGACGTTAATCCTGAACCTCCATAGTACGGAACCTGTTATTCTAAGATTCTGTTAATGCTGGACATGTCTAGTTCTTAACTGTATTATCTAAAACTCATTCATTATGCACATCTCTAGTCAGGAACTTGTTAATCTGGGACCGTTAATGAACCCTTAATCTACATGAACCTGTTAATCATGGAACTTGTTAAACCCGTTAATCTAAAATTCTGTTATTCCTGAACCTCTCTAGTCAGGAACTTGTTAATATGCAACTCGTTAATCTAAAATTATGTTAATCCTGAACCTCTCTAGTCAGGAACTTGTGAATCTGCAACCCTTTTATTTTAAAACTCCGTCAACCCTGAACGTCACTAGTACGGAACGCGTTAATCTACAACCCGTTAATCCTGAACCTTTCAATCCAAAATTCTGTTAATCCTGAATCTCTCTTGTCAGAAATTTTTTAATCTGCATCCTTTTAATTTGAAATGTCCGTTCATCCAGAACGTCTCTAGTCCGCACTTGTTAATCTACATCCCTTTAATCTAATCCTTTAGTCCTGAACCCCTCTTGTACAAATCATGTTAGTCTACGACCAAGTAGACGGACCGATAATCCGTTAATTCCGATTATATGAACACCTCCACATAATGTCTGGATATCTGAATTTCATTTAAGTTACGTCCCATGTGTTCGTGCTTTCCAGTATGCTAGAGGGGTGGTAGGGTAGCCTAGTGGTTAAAGCGTTCGCTCGTCACGCCGAAGACCCGGGTTCGATTCCCCACATGGGTACTCTATGTGAAGCCCATTTCTGGTATCCCTCGCCGTGATATTGCTGAAAGATTGCTAAAAAACGGCGTAACAACCAACTCACTCACTCACGAGTAAAGATCCATGCTGTGAGGGAACAATGACATACATAATACAAGTGGGCCTACATTGTGACAACCTCCAAACGTTCCTTGGCTTATTGTGCTTGTTTGGTTTGTTGTTTTACGCCGCACTCAGCAATATTCCAGCTGTATGGCGGCGGTCTGTAAATAATCGAGTCTGGACCAGACAATCCAGTGATCAACAGCACGAGCATACGCATTTCGGATACGATGTGTCAACCAAGTCCGCGAGCCTGACCACCCGTCCCGTTAGTCGCCTCTTACAACAAGCATGGGTTACTGAAGATGAGTACTAATCCGGATCTTCACGGATATAGGGAACCGGATACACACTGTTATCGGGGTTAGTATACGTGGTGACGTGAGCTGAAATTGGGTTTAACGTCGTGCTTGAGAATATTTCGCTCATGCGTGTGTGTGTGTATGTGTGGCTGCTTTTACTAGCCCAGACTGAAGCTCGTTTTACAGTGCTAGCCCACTGAGATACCATGCCGCAGTAGTACTCAGACACATTATACTGACTCCGAGCCGACCAGTCCTTGTTGTACCCATTAATGCCGAGCGCCAGGCAGGGACCAACAAGTACCATATTTTAACGTCTTTTGGTATGACACGGTCGGGCATCGAACCCGCGACCTTCCGCTCTCCGGGCGGACGCTCTAACCACTACACCACGGAGGCGGCGTAGTATACATGGACATGTCATTATATTTCATTAAGTGACATCCATTTATTCCTTCACTGACAGGAAAATATACGGGATGATGATCGTCTTTTTAACGAAATGTAATGACGTAAACGAAAAATACCCAAACAAACAAACAAACAAACAAAAATCAGACTGGTTTTGAAAAGTTTACATTGTGGATGTCATCAATGAATGATCCACGTGCTGAGAAAATCTGCCGGGAGAAAGTAAATAAACTATTAAAACACGAATTTATTAAAATTCATTAAAATTTCAACATTCAGTTTAAAGGTTTTGAAAAATGAAAATCTTGCAAATCAACCGGTGGTCAAATCTAATGAGCTGGATGAATTTAAATATAACAGATTATCAACACCTGCCTCCACAGGGCGACTGTGCGCCACGTCGGTTCTGATAATAATTATCAGGCTCGATTTAAATTACCCTCCCTGCTGATGGTATTATCGCATGTTCTAGAAGGGTTTAATATATCGGGACGGGTCCACACATAACCGGATCATGATTAAAACGAAATCTGCATTCACCGATGCACAACTTAACAGGTTCTGTTCGTGTGATTAAGGGGTTTGACGGTGAACGGTCAGATTGGAATTTTCGTTGCGTGGCCATCGCGATCGTTTGTTTATCTTTACTGAGAGTGTTCGAAGCTCAGCTCAGTGTTATCAGTACAATATCTCCGTCCATAAGGACAAAAATGAAAGACTGGTTCCAAACTGTTTTGTGATTTTAACTGATTCCAACTAATAATATTTTTCGAATGGAACCACAGCATTTTACTTGACCTACAAAAACCAAAGGACCCAAAGCTGCTACTTTCAAAGGTCCTGGCGTAAAATATGACGATCTTGTTAAGTAATGAGATGATTTAGTGTACAGGGGTGGAAATAACTTTAAAATTGCTAGTGTACTCCGGTACAGTGGCACATGTAAAATCACTTGCGCTGATAATTTTTTCCACTATACAGGCCATTTTCTGGTTGATTTTTTAAATAAACAACATAATTCACATTGGAATATCAACTGGACACCGGTACAGTGTGATTATACAAATTTGCTTGCCCGACAGACAAAAACACTGGACTCGGGCGTCGGGCAATGGGATATTTCCACGCCTGAGTGTACTGTAAGATTTCATAGTTACTTTAATTAAATAGACTTTATACATACCGACAAGAATTTGGAACAACGAATCTGTGCGTTCTGGACGCATGTTGATGCTTCACATGAAACCCTACAACCGTTTCAGGTCCGTAATAAATGCCAAAAGTTGGAATTCTGGATTCCATATGTACTTTCTTCATGACCTATGTTATATTTATTCATGACCTATGTTATATTTATTCATGACCTATGTTATATTTATTCATGACCTATGTTATATTCATTCATGACCAATGTCGACATTTATTCCAACTTATGTTTATATTTAGTCATGATTTAGTGACCTATCCTAACATTTATTCATGACCTCATTTAATATATATTCATAACCTATGTTAATATTTATTCATGACCTACGTTAATTTTTATTCATGACCTAATTTAATGTATATTCATGGCCTACGTTAATATTTATTCACTACCAAACTTAATATATATTTATGACCAATGTCAGTATTTATTCATGACCTAATTTAACATATATTCATGACCTATTTTGATATTAGGGAGCGTTTTAACATTCATTCAAGACATGTATACACATTTATTCATTATGCATGACGAGTGTTCACATAATTCATATATTACCTTCCATCTCACTCGTTAAATACCAGAATAATTACTCTCGTTTCGCAAAATTCCGTATGACACACATGCTCTTATACTGAAACGCATATATTTCATCATGACGTAAGTTTGCACCTAATTAGGATTTATGACATTTTATGTTCATTGTTATGCAAAACATCTTCATGTTTATTCATGACGTATTTTCATAAGTATTCTTCATATATGTTCATATTTCAGGAAGACAAATCAAAATTCTCAATAGGAGAGCACTTGAGAATCGAATCCACAATAAGCGAATCCCGACACAAGAAAGGGACGCAACTATGTACAAGTCATCATAACACTAGCCTCTCGTTTCAGAATAGTCAACGAACATTCACAACATGTATGTACAAATACAAAGCAATGATATACCAAAATATTCCAGAAATACTTACAGATGTAGAATATCCTCGCAGAATGTTTATCATAATATGAAAAGCAACAAGACAATCATATTCCTCCATCAAGGACACATTTCTGACCATCCAAAATAGCCATACACTTCCTCAGAACACAACACACAAGCCCGTTGTACTCCCAAGTAAGATTCCAATGTGCACTCGCCTTGGGCAATGTCAGAACGAATGGAACAGCACCCATCTACTAAACTCTTAGCGCCCAGCTGTACGGAGCCTCCAGTAGGCATCGCTTGCTTGGGCCGAGTGTGGAGTACATAAACGGCCATATGTTAAGTAAACTATTGTTGTCCTCCCAAACAACTAAATCCGGTTTGCGGTTTCAATGCGCGAACCGGTTAAGTGTTATGTAACAGGTTTTAAGCAGGTGGTGGCAAAAGAATTCAATGCCTTGAAAATATAACGTGTGACGTCAGAAATGACGTGACAACTGCCAGATGAAAATACCTGTCCAACAAACAAGTTATTTTGCTTGCTAGGGTGCAGACGTTACCTGTACCCATGCTTACTACAGTGGAATATAAATAAAATTCCATTTTAGTAGCGCGAAACTCCTTACCAGTTTACATGGGTGGGGGTTTGGTAGTCTAGAGGTTAAAGCGTTTGCTCGTCACGATGAAGACCGGGTTCGATTCCCCACATGGATACAACGTGGATACATTTCTGGTGTCTGGCTGTCTGGGATATTGCTAATTGCGACCTAAAATACAAACTAACCCAGCGTGAAACTCTGTGGACACCTGTCTGGGAGGTAGCGGATTAGAGTGAGTGAGTGAGTTATATTTAACGTCACATGGGCAATATTTCAGCCATACCGTGACGAGAACATGTGTATATTATAAAACCTGTCATCGAAGGACTGTAAAACACCTAGAATATCACAATTATATTTAAAACTAGCGTGGAAGGTTAAAACTAATAGAACGATTTGGACAATACAAGATAAAAACAGGCTATAGATCAACAACTGAAGGTCAATCAGGTAGCGGATTAGAAACGTCACGTGATGCGACCTCCTTTGTCCTTCGCATTTTCATCTGGACGGAACGGAATGATACCCACCAAAAAGGATCCGACTTTCCCTGAGATATGTGTCACGATCAAGTACATTGAAGCATGAGACTTTCTCTAGTTTTCTACTACATTCTACACTGACGTAGCAGTGTTCAGCCAGGAATGATAGGTGATACTGGCTTACCGGGACTTCTATACCATCCACAGACACATTGAACACTGAGCTTTCTTTTGACAAATGCCCACAAATACTGTGAATACTGAACTTTGACAATGCCAGTTCATGAGTATATGATATACGGAGATGTCAAACTGCGAATATATTCTATACTTTGCTGAACCTAAAATGCTAGGTGATATTTGGTTTCCTGGTCTTCTACAACACCCACGCCCACTCAATACTGAAGGTTCTATTGACGTCGCCCATAAGTACAAAATATGCACTTTCATCACACAACGTTCCCTATGGTATCTAATACTGTATTTTCATTTGACAGCGCCCATAGACACATAAATATTCAGACACAATCAGACAAGGTTCTTCATGATATGGGGCGGTGGGGTAGCCTAGTGGTTAAAGCGTTCGCTCATTACGCCGAAGACCCGGCTTCGATTCCCCACATGGGTACAGTGTGTGAAGCCCATTTGTGGTATCCCCCGCCGTGATATTGCTGGAATATTCCTTAAAGCGGCGTAAAACCAAAACTCACTCACTCACTCTTAATGATATGTAATATTGTAATATTCATGTGTAATAGTGAATACCATTAGACACATGGGTATAAACCTTAATAATTAATATGGACTTTTATTTGATAAAATTCGTTAGATATCATGAATTACGCAACACCATTGGTTAAATGGTACATGAAATACTGTGCATTCATTGGACAACGCGCCTAATTATGTGAAATACTGAACTTTCATTGGACAACGCCCTTAATTATTTGAAATATTGAAATTTCATTGGACAACGCCCCTAATTATGTGAAATATTGAACAGAAACATCATGAATAGAGGCATTTGATTACAAAACGACTCCACATGTCAGGGATACATGTACTGACATTCAGTTAGTCATTAACACTGATACATTTTATATACAAATTCAAGAACAAATATTATATGTTTTTAAACATAGGGAGAACGCTGGAGAAGCACATCCACTTATTCAGGTATAGCAGAAAACAGAAAGACACGAATCTGTTGTATCCAGCAGCAAAACAAGATGTCAGACCCGACTAACAAGACTCTTTTGGAGGAAAACACATTGACATTTGTCACTGACCACAAGCAAAGGCCTGACATACCTAAAAATCAATCTTGATTAAGAGTACAAGTGAGGCTTGAAGGTTTCAAGTCTGTCGCTCGATGCTGTTGTTACTACTACTACTACTACTACTACTACTACTGCTACTACTACTACTGCTACCACTACTACTACTACTACTGCTACTGCTGCTACTACTACCACTACCACTACTACTGCTACTACTACCACCACTACTACTACTACTACTACTACTACTACTACTACTACTAGTGCCAGCACCGCCGCTACTACTACAACTACTTTTACTACCACCACCACTACCGAAACGACTACTACGTCGACTACCGCCATTACTACGACTTCTACTGTTACTGGTACTATTGCTACAACTTCTACTCTTCTACTACAGCTTCAACACCTGCAAGTATAGTAGCCAGAAATTATTGAGAATTTTAGGAATATGTTTAATTGGATTTCTAGTATAAACAACCTTGACCAGCTATCAAGTGCTTTGTTTCATTCAAGAGAGACAACTCCGTTAATCCTTTTTCATTAGTTTGTGAAGAGTTATCCCCCTTTGTTAACTTGCTAGCAGACGACATTTTCAGTGATCCTCAGTATGGATGATTTAGAGAAGAGGAAGTTGATTTTAGAGTATTATAACAAGGACATCAGATCAGCTAAAGTGATTTCAAGTAGAACAGGCATCCCTTTGTCCACTGTTTATCGTGTTTTGAAAAATATTGCAAATGGATATGGCACTGAGCACCAGGGAGGCGCAGGTAGGCCCAGATATTTGACTGTCGGTGACAGGAGGCGGCTTGGTATTCTTGTTTCTAAAAACCAACGAAGGAGTTTAGAAAACTTAAGGCTTGATATGATTGATAGAGGAACTGTGGCTGTCTGTAAGGAGACAATTAGAACTGAGCTGCGTGCTAATGGGTTTCAAAACTGAAAAACCTTTGTATCAGCGCCCAAAGTACAGTCCGAAATTTAACTTTTGGGGTTGCATATCTGTGTTAGGGGCAACGCCCTTCTGGTATTTGAAGGAAATATGAACAGTGAGCGGTACACAGATATTCTCGAGGGACATTTACTTCCATCTGCTCACGCGTTCTATGGAAAGTTTTGGATTTTCCAGCAGGACAACGACCCAAAAC